AAGATATTAAGTCTTGATGAATAAAAAAAAAAATCATCAAAATTAAGCGATTTTATGTGGAATTTTCCACCATTTATGACACAACGCTTTCCCACTACTGATCAAATTTCCCACCATTTATGACGCAACGCTTTCCCGCCATTGGCAGAATTTTCTGCCATTTATGACGCAACGCTTTCCCGCCATTGGCAGAATTTTCTGCCATTTATGACGCAACGCTTTCCCGCCATTGGCAGAAGTTCCGTCATTTACGACAAAACGCTTTCCCGCCATTGGCAGAATTTTCCACCATTTACGACACAAAGCTTCATCATCATTGGCAGAATTGTCCGCCATTTATGACGCAACGCTTTCCCGCCATTGGCAGAATTTTCTGCCATTTATGACGCAACGCTTTCCCGCCATTGACAGAAGTTCCGTCATTTACGACAAACACTTTACCGCCATTGGCAGAATTTCCACCATTTACGACACAAAGCTTCATCATCATTGGCAGAATTGTCCGCCATTTATGACGCAACGCTTTCCCGCCATTGGCAGAATTTTCTGCCATTTATGACGCAACGCTTTCCCGCCATTGACAGAAGTTCCGTCATTTACGACAAAACACTTTACCGCCATTGGCAGAATTTTCCGCCATTTACGACACAAAGCTTCATCATCATTGGCAGAATTTTCTGCCATTTATAACGCAACGCTTTCCCGCCATTGGCAGAATTTCCGCCATTTACAACACAAAGCTTTCCCGCCATTGGCAGAATTTTCCACCATTTATGACGCAACGCTTTCCCGCCATTGACAGAAGTTCCGTCATTTACGACAAAACGCTTTACCGCCATTGGCAGAATTGTCCGCCATTTATGCCACAACGCTTTCCAGCCATTGGCAGAATTTCCCACCATTTATAACACGACTCTTTCCCACCATTGACCAAATTTTCGGCCATTTATGACGCAATGCTTTCCCGCCATTGACAGAATTTTCCGCCATTTATGACACAACTCTTTCCCACCATTGACCAAATTTTCGGCCATTTATGACGCAATGCTTTCCCGCCATTGGCAGAAGTTCCGTCATTTACAACAACACTTTACCGCCATTGGCAGAATTTCCCGCCATTTATGACACAACACAGAATTTTCAGTTAATTTTCTGCCTAATGTTACTGAATGAAATGAGATGTTAGAAGTTTTTCAGAAAACAAGACTAGTAATTCTGCCTCTTCAGTCAAAAGTATCTTGTTTTAAGAATGTTTAGATATGTGTGCTGGAAAACAAGAGGAAGAAGAGTTTTCTGCAGTGCAGTTCACTCAACAGAACATCACAGAGCTTCATGAGTATTTCACACAGAGTAAGAACACAGGCGGTCTTACAATCGGTCCTGGTTTTCCACGTGGTCCTGTTGGGCCGGGATTCCCAGCCGTTCCCTGGAAGAGAAACACAAATAAAACTCCTCGCTGTCTGCATCAAACATCAAATCCATGGACATAGAAAAGATTCCCAACCCTTTAAGACCAGTTAAGTTTCATTACTTCACCTGAAACAAACTATATAGAAATATCCATCCGTTTGTATCACTCAGTTTTAACATGAAAAACCAATGAAAAACTTTAAGATAAAACTGTGTTATCAAAATGAATGGTAATATTAAATGCAATTCAAATACATAAATGCTTAAATTTAAGCCATTTAATTAATGTATGTGATGAAGCTTTTGATTTATACTTTCTTTAGTCTTCAAATGTCTCCAGAAAGACCATGAGTGGACAGTGTGACTCTCCTGACTCTCACCTTGTCTCCCTGATATCCCCTTTCTCCTGGTTCACCCCTCAATCCAGGCTCACTCTAGATCATACAGCACCACAGATTACAGAAAACACTCAACACACGCCGACGCCATTAAACATACACAACACAAGAGTTTGCACGTATGTTTTCACATTAGAATCAATGTGACAAACATCATATTTGAGCTTCTTCATTGTCTTGATTCCAACTGGTGTTATTTTACCATCAATGAGAAAATATTAGAGCTTATATCTATTTTTTTATGTCTATTGAAGTTTTTCTCATTTAACACAACAATAAATTTAAATCTTTTGGGAGTAATTTCTCAGTCAGATTTGATTTGCGATTAAAATGCGATCAATCTGGTACATCATGCGATTAGATAAAAAATGTAATTTGATTTTATTTCAGTTAATGTTTTAAAATTATTTACATTTATACATTTATTTGAAAACAAGAACTGCACTGTTTTTTAATACTTGTTGAATTGTATTTATTTAATTATTATGAAATAATGTATACTGTAAACCTTAAATTCAATTAAAATGTGGTAAAGGTTTTGGCACTTGCTGTGAGCACACACACACACACACACACACACACACACACACACATAAATCATGGATGTGATTGGAAAAGGTTAAACGGTCCAGAAATAAATCGTCACACTTGTATTTCTCGCGGTCAGAAATGACGAATTGGAAATGAGTGATGAGTTTCCTCTAGTGGAAGCGTTTGGTACTGCAGCAGAACACACTCATCTACTGAGATATCAACATCAAATTCGGAGCACGACTTCTTAATGCCTTTGATTTTCTTGCAGTTTTTGAGTAAAACATGATTTTAAAAAGAAATTTTTCAAAATTCAAAATTTATTTTTGTGCATTTTTCATAAAAATACTCGTAAAATTCTATAACTTTTTTAAGTAAATTTTTTTAAACTTTTTTCCAACTATAATCCACCAAGTGTCATCTTTGAGAAGAGATCAAACCTCAGTCTGTCGCTCTAAAGCATTCGAGATTTACCACAGATTAAGCTGGAACTTACATTTTCAGGTCTATGCTCAAAAAGTGAATAAATAGATTAGAAATACATCGTAAATATAATTTAGTATAGAAAATCCCCTAAAAATACAAAAAAAAAAAAAACATTTACAAACTAAAATATAGTACATTCATATTATTTACAAAAAAAATAAAATACTTGACCGACACACGAAGAGCACCAATGTTTAGAAAACAAGACAAAAATACTAAAGAAGAAAATAATTTTTTGATCCGAAGACCATGCAAAGGAATGAACCTTATTCGTTCACGTGTTCACTGCAATAATAGAAATATTTAAATCACCTTATCACCTTTCATTCCAGGAGGCCCCGCCCCTCCGCTCAGGCCCTGCCAATGAGAGAACAAGATCTTCAGTGTCCAGCCAATGAGGTTAGAGATCACACAGCTTGAGGTGTAACTGACGGGCCGTTACCTGAGGTCCCACAATGCCAGGAATCCCACGGGGACCCTCAATCCCGGGATCTCCCTGTGGGAAAGAGGAACAGACTCGATCGATACAACAGCATTCATCTTTACTGTAGTTCAGTGAACAGATTCACCGAATGACAGATTTGTCAGGACATTCTCAGCGGTCTACAATCATAGCAGCTTCCGCACCGGTAGTTCTAGGAACGAGCCACCAGGGTGACCCCAAAAATTAATGGTCTAGTGCTGGTCGTGGCCATTAAAACGTGTCTTACTCTGGCCGTGGGCTATTATCTGTGCTTACACTGCTTTTTTAAAAAGCGGGTTCTGGGGTTTTGTGTGGGCAGCAGCGGCCTTAAGCATCTGGGGGTCCGTTTCAATAAATACTATCGGGCACAACCCAAATAAAACAAATATAATAGAGCAGAAAAAGCGAGATGGTCCTCACTGCAGAACATGACATCCACGGGGAGGAGTCGGATCCAGATCCAACTCATCCCACCTTACATATACCTAAACCTACCCACCCCCTGATCCCTAAACCCACCCCTAATCCTATCCAGCTCCACCCCCTGATCCCTAAACCCACCCCTAATCCTACCCAGCTCCACCCCCTGATCCCTAAACCCACCCCTAATCCTATCCAGCTCCACCCCCTGATCCCTTAACCCACCCCTAATCCTACCCAGCTCCACCCCCTGATCCTAAACCCACCCCTAATCCTATACAGCTCCACCCCCTGATCCCTAAACCCATCCCTAATCCTACCCAGCTCCACCCCCTGATCCCTAAACCCACCCCTAAACGTACCCTGCTCCACCCCCTGATCCCTAAACCCACCCCTAAACGTACCCAGCTCCACCCCCTGATCCCTAAACCCACCCCTAATCCTACTCAGCTCCACCCCCTGATCCCTAAACCCACCCCTAAACGTACCCAGCTCCACCCCCTGATCCCTAAACCCACCCCTAATCCTACTCAGCTCCACCCCCTGATCCCTAAACCCACCCCTAAACGTACCCAGCTCCACCCCCTGATCCCTAAACCCACCCCTAAACCTACCCAGCTCCACCCCGATCCCTAAACCGACCCCTAAACCTACCCAGCTCCACCCCGATCCCTAAACCCACCCCTAATCCTACCCAGCTCCACCCCGATCCCTAAACCCACCCCTATACCTACCCAGCTCCACCCCGATCCCGAAACCCACCCCTAAACCTACCCAGCTCCACCCCCTGATCCCTAAACCCACCCCTAAACCTACCCAGCTCCACCCCCTGATCCCTAAACCCACCCCTAAACCTACCCAGCTCCACCCCCTGATCCCTAAACCCACCCCTAAACCTACCCAGCTCCACCCCGATCCCTAAACCCACCCCTAAACTACCCAGCTCCACCCCCTGATCCCTAAACCACCCCTAAACCTACCCAGCTCCACCCCGATCCCTAAACCGACCCCTAAACCTACCCAGCTCCACCCCGATCCCTAAACCGACCCTAAACCTACCCAGCTCCACCCCGATCCCTAAACCGACCCCTAAACCTACCCAGCTCCACCCCGATCCCTAAACCCACCCCTATACCTACCCAGCTCCACCCCGATCCCTAAACACCCCTAAACCTACCCAGCTCCACCCCTGATCCCTAAACCCACCCCTAAACCTACCCAGCTCCACTCCCTGATCCCTAAACCCACCCTAAACCTACCCAGCTCCACCCCGATCCCTAAACCCACCCCTAAACCTACCCAGCTCCACCCCCTGATCCCTAAACCACCCCTAAACCTACCCAGCTCCACCCCGATCCCTAAACCGACCCCTAAACCTACCCAGCTCCACCCCGATCCCTAAACCGACCCCTAAACCTACCCAGCTCCACCCCCTGATCCCTAAACCCACCCCTAAACCTACCCAGCTCCACCCCCTGATCCCTAAACCCACCCCTAAACCTACCCAGCTCCACCCCGATCCCTAAACCGACCCCTAAACCTACCCAGCTCCACCCCGATCCCTAAACCGACCCCTAAACCTACCCAGCTCCACCCCGATCCCTAAACCCACCCCTAAACCTACCCAGCTCCACCCCGATCCCTAAACCGACCCCTAAACCTACCCAGCTCCACCCCGATCCCTAAACCCACCCCTAAACCTACCCAGCTCCACCCCCTGATCCCTAAACCCACCCCTAAACCTACCCAGCTCCACCCCCTGATCCCTAAACCCACCCCTAAACCTACCCAGCTCCACCCCGATCCCTAAACCGACCCCTAAACCTACCCAGCTCCACCCCGATCCCTAAACCCACCCCTAATCCTACCCAGCTCCACCCCGATCCCTAACCCCACCCCTATACCTACCCAGCTCCACCCCGATCCCTAAACCCACCCCTAATCCTACCCAGCTCCACCCCTGATCCCTAAACCCACCCCTAAACCTACCTAGCTCCACCCCGATCCCTAAACCGACCCCTAAACCTACCCAGCTCCACCCCGATCCCTAAACCCACCCCTAAACCTACCCAGCTCCACCCCTGATCCCTAAACCCACCCCTAAACCTACCCAGCTCTACCCCCTGATCCCTAAACCCACCCCTAAACCTACCCAGCTCTACCCCCTGATCCCTAAACCGACCCCTAAACCTACCCAGCTCCACCCCGATCCCTAAACCCACCCCTAATCCTACCCAGCTCCACCCCGATCCCTAACCCCACCCCTATACCTACCCAGCTCCACCCCGATCCCTAAACCCACCCCTAATCCTACCCAGCTCCACCCCTGATCCCTAACCCCACCCCTAAACCTACCCAGCTCCACCCCCTGATCCCTAAACCCACCCCTAAACCTACCCAGCTCCACCCCGATCCCTAAACCGACCCCTAAACCTACCCAGCTCCACCCCGATCCCTAAACCCACCCCTAATCCTACCCAGCTCCACCCCGATCCCTAACCCCACCCCTATACCTACCCAGCTCCACCCCGATCCCTAAACCCACCCCTAATCCTACCCAGCTCCACCCCTGATCCCTAAACCCACCCCTAAACCTACCTAGCTCCACCCCGATCCCTAAACCGACCCCTAAACCTACCCAGCTCCACCCCGATCCCTAAACCCACCCCTAAACCTACCCAGCTCCACCCCTGATCCCTAAACCCACCCCTAAACCTACCCAGCTCTACCCCCTGATCCCTAAACCCACCCCTAAACCTACCCAGCTCTACCCCCTGATCCCTAAACCGACCCCTAAACCTACCCAGCTCCACCCCGATCCCTAAACCCACCCCTAATCCTACCCAGCTCCACCCCGATCCCTAACCCCACCCCTATACCTACCCAGCTCCACCCCGATCCCTAAACCCACCCCTAATCCTACCCAGCTCCACCCCGATCCCTAAACCCACCCCTAAACCTACCCAGCTCCACCCCTGATCCCTAAACCCACCCCTAAACCTACCCAGCTCTACCCCCTGATCCCTAAACCCACCCCTAAACCTACCCAGCTCTACCCCCTGATCCCTAAACCGACCCCTAAACCTACCCAGCTCCACCCCGATCCCTAAACCCACCCCTAATCCTACCCAGCTCCACCCCGATCCCTAACCCCACCCCTATACCTACCCAGCTCCACCCCGATCCCTAAACCCACCCCTAAACCTACCCAGCTCCACCCCCTGATCCCTAAACCGACCCCTAAACCCACCCCTAAATGTATCCAGCTTCATGTGAGGAGATCGTGAATAACAAGGTTGATTTCATACCACAGGAGCAGAAACTTTTATTTCATAACCTCGTGGTCATCTACCTTGGATGGTTTAGATATTATGGCTGAAAATCAATATCATACGGAGCAAATGAATGGGATTTTGCTGGTCTGTGGGCCCCCTTGAAGGCCGGGTCCTGTTTCAGTTGAAACGGGTGATTGTAGTCCTCAATCCACATTATCCTGTGATTTAACCCTCACACACAGGCTTGTGCAGTTCCCCGCTGAGGCACACGTGTGTTTAGTGTCACTCAAGATCAGGACAGAAGTTTTAATGGACGATATCTTGCAGGAGGAACTGTTTTTCTTTTACAAGCATTCTTTGAGGAAATGTCATGTACAAATCAAAAATCTCATATTTGTATCTGTATAAGAAGTCAAGATCCGGCGCCAGCTCTTCAGTTGTTTGTGAGGCTGTTTCTCATTAAAGGCTTTTAAACCATTAAACCGCACGCATGTCTCCGTTCACCTAAAGCCCGCAGGAAAACTGCATATTCATCACTGATGCTTTCAACTGAGCAAAAGTGACAGTAAAGACATTTATAATGCAACAAAAGATTATATTTCTAAGAAATGCTGTTCTTAATTTGAACTTTCAGAGAAAAATAAAATGTATGACAGATACATTGAGATCATCAGATCCTCATATTAGAGTGATTTCTGAAAGATCATGTGACACTGAAGACTGGAGTAATGATCACAGGAATAAATGACTATAGATTCACATCGAAATATTTCACTATTTTCCTGTATTTTCGATCAAATAAACCCAGTTTTGGAGAGTATAAGAGACTTTCAAAAACTAAAAACCAAAGACTTTTAACCGGTGGAGTATGAGTGGCTGTTACGAGTGAACGACAAATGATGTACTAGAGAGACTAAGCATAATTTCAAAGTATTAACATTATACCATGGCATTACCACAGTACATGAGCAAAGAACATGGTAGACGAGTGGCTTGAAGGAGATCTGCACATCTGGAGCTGAAAGAGCTCTTAATGGATACACACATCACACACACACGCCGTAAAAAAGCTTTTCTGTCCGCCGCACGTGATGAAGAAGTGGCAGAAGAAAGAGAAGAAGGTGAAAAATGACTGTGAGATGCAAAACATCTGAACTGGGAGAGAAATGTATAATCAGATCATAGTTCATGCAAGCTGATAAACTAATATCATAAACTAATGAAACACTCGGGGCTGTTTTGAAGGAAGACTCATCAAGGCTGCGTTTATTTGTTCAAAAATACAGTAAAACCGTGAAATATATTTATTTACAGTGTAAATCGGTGTAATTTATTCCTTTGATCAAAGCTGAATTTATCATCATTACTCCAGTCTTCAGTGTCACATGACCCTTCACAAATCACTCTAATATGAGAAACAAACATTTATGATTATTATCAATGTTGAAAACCGTCATGCATGTTATTTTTCAGGATTCTTTAATGAATGGAAAGTTCAAAAGAACAGCATTTATTTGAAACAGAATCTATTGTAACATTATAAATGTGCTTACCGTCACTTTGGATCAATTTAATGAGTCCTTGATGAATAAAACTATTAACTTCTCTTTAAAAAGTGACCCGAAACATTTGAACGGGAGTGTATGGTTTAGAGTTTATATTTATGTATATATCGGATCAAGAACTGAAGCAGGTCTCTAAAAGTAAAGCTTCTTAACTAAAGGTTCTTTATAGAGGAAAAAATGTTCATCACACACTAAGAATAACACTAAAATGTCCTTAAAGGGGACATATCATGCAAAATCCACTTTTTTAGGCCTTAAATGCATTTTGTTGTATATTTGGAGTGTTTATAAGTACAGAAAAGATGAAATTATTCTCTTCAGGTGCTTCGTTTATATCTTTATATTATTTTATATTATCTTTATATTATCTTTATATTACTTTATATTATAAAGTTTATATCTTTATACTATTTTGGTCATATTTTTCAACCTGTTCAGATTTTTCTGTTCTCTATGACGTGATTTGAAGTATCACGTATATTGTATATCTCTTATCAAACTACAATAATGGCCGAACGGGGGAGTTGAACCGACCGTGAACTCATGGACCTGGAGAGCGGGTGGGGTGTGACGCATCTCCTTTTTATTTAAAGGGGCCGCTTTGAAACGGGTCGCTCACAGACGCACATCAGAAAAGGGGCTTGTGGAGCTATAATAATGAGGAATTCAGACCCAAGCATTGCAGTTATGCTTTATATAGACCACAACGGTATGATTTATAATGATTTAAAAGCATGATATGTACCCTTTAAGGGAAGCAAAAATGGTTCTTCTACGGCATCGCTGAGAAAAAACCCTATATTTGTTATTTAGTCTGTATTTCATGTACTGTACGCCTCGATTCAGCGTGTGCGACTGAAGGTTTCGCATCACGAATCTGCAACATCCCGCTTTAAATCATCCCGACAGTCTGACATCTCAGTCCGCCGCTTTACGAGACTCTGGGGCTTCGGCCAGCCTCGGACACGTGTGTTTTAAAGCCGGAACGACCAGAGGAGTCCTCGACTGTTAGACACTGCCTACTGAACATGACATGATGATCGGCTTCTTTAACCCGAACACATGGCAGCAATCAAACCTGGAAACACGCATCACCAATGAAGGAAAACAGTTGAAGAGGAATGGAAGGGTGAATTTACAGGGACATTAGCTAAATCTAAAACCAGGAGACTTGTTACGTGAAATAAAATAAACTTTAACTGAAGTTTTTTACTTGATGTACTAAACTAAAACGGGAAGAAAAATGTATAAAAAGACATATTTATATAAAACAACAACAACAACTAATAAAAAATCATGGATGGCGAAATTAAAAAATTAAATCATTAAAAAATATTTTAATAAATGATTAAAAACAAAATAAATGTTTTGATAAAACGTAAATATCAATTCATTTATTAACATTTTAGCATTATTTTGTGTACTAAAATAACAACTAAAATAACGAAAGCTGAAATAAAATGAATAAGAGATATGTAGACTTAAAAACACACACACACACACACACATATATGTATATACACACAGATACACATACAACTTTACAACAAGGTCTGAATCTGATTCTGTATTCATGCGCAACAGAAAGCTGGACACAGTTATGCAAACAAACTATATTACTTTGTAGAAGTATTTTGATTATTAATGTAATGTAACTTACATTATAACATTAGTGGTGTATTGAGGTTGAGGCAGACCAGTTTCTTTATTTCAGTTGACATTTGTTTTATTTCAGTTAATGAATACGTCCCATAAATTAAAGACGTTATTTTCACTATCGGCAGCTCATACTGTGTGTGAAGAGAATCTCTCTCGTGGCGAATTTAGGGTTGTTGAAGTTTATGCGAAACTAACGCGATAACAGTTAAATCAACGCAGTCTATGTTTGAAAATATGAAGTACAATAACCTCATCATCTTCCTCTTTAGTACCAGTTACAGCAGCAAATACACATCAACGAACATCCGGAGGAATGAGGAAAGATTCAGAACAACTTCCTGAAATCAATCATCATGAGATCCATCAATCCGCGTTTAAAACAACGTCTCATTTACCTCAGGAGAGTTATCTGAAGCTCAGAGTTCATTAGTTAGCTGTAAACAACAGACAGAAGCTTATTTACTGTGTGTTTGAATACGTTTGTCATACGAGTTACATACTAACATTTCAGTTTTTATTTGAGCGTGATTATTATTTCTTAAAAGAATTGCTGTTATAAAGGGCTCTGTTGTTGATTTTAACCCCCAGTATTTTAGTATTTTAGTGAATTTTAGGGGGAGATTTGTTTTCCTGAAGTAATTTTGTTTGATTTGTTTTCCATTGTGAATGATCGGTTATCGGTATCGGTGATATGTGAAGTCATATCCGCACGACTCCAGAAATGACGAGGATTCTGCGTCAGACGTAAGAAGTAAACACTGATTGAGCTCTGTGTGTGTGTGTGTCTGTGTGTGTGTGTGTGTGTGTGTTTACGACTCACTCTCAAGCCTGGGAATCCACTGCTGCCGGTTCCTCCGACGGGCCCCTGAAACACACACACACACACACACCATGAGAAACAGCTCTGCACTTCTGTCCGCATTTAGCATCATTTCCAAACATCTTTCAACTTGATTTGCTTTTATTCAACAGTAATTCTGTGCAGAAGACATCATAATATTCTTCAAAACCATCTATACTCAAAATATCCTATAGAGACTCCTGTTGGGATTTCTGTCATAATTTGGAATAAATTATAATGAGATTAAACAATGAGAATATGAGTATCTGGATACATTTTTACTTGATACTTTGTTTAATTTTGGACATTGTTACATGACGTCACGTGGGAAGTTTCGGCCTTTTACAATAAAGTATGTAAGATTTCCTATTCATAATCACAATAGCTGTATTGATATGTGATAACGTTTATGTTGGAATAAAATTAGGATCATTTAGGTTTGGTTCAAATTATGATTAAATCAGATGCTTTAAAAGAGTCTCTTCTGCTCACCGAGGCGGCATTTATTTGAAGAAAAAAATATTACAGTAAAATTGTGAAATATTATTGCATTTTCTAAAATGTAAATTTATTTGTGACATCGCAGCTGAATTTTCAGCATCATTACTCCAGATTCGAAACATTCAGATAGATTCACTTAAAGTGCAAATATTAAGTCTTGTTTTCAAAAAACAAGACTTTGCCAATTGGGGTCAGAAAAATAAACTCAACTTAAAGGGAAAGAAAGACTTGATATCTTCAATAATTTTGCTTCTCAAGTAACTGCATCTTAATCTAAAGAGCCCATATTCTGTCCTTCCACAGTCCTGATGTGTTCAGGCTCTCCTAGATCAGGTTTTCCTGCTTGAATGTTGATTATTCTCCTCATATTCTCCATTTTCTCTTCCCAGTCTCTCAGTCTCGCTCTGTTTACTTCCTGTCTCTGTGAAGCCCCTCCTCCTGAAGCACACTGTGCTCTGATTGGTCGGCTGAAGCAGTGTGTTGTGATTGGTCGAGCTCTTCGAGAGTGTTTGGAAATGTCCCGCCCCTTTCGATAACCGCCAGTTCAAATCACTCAACCAGGCCCCGCCCCTTTATTATGCGCATGAATTATTATAATGAGGAATATTGAGACGTGTTCACTCGAGACTACAGTGGAGGCGTTTCAGGAGTTCAGGAACACTGATATAGAGGAGAACTCAACATCAGAGAAGAACATGGTCTTGATGGCAGAGAAACACGTACCTGGTTTCCATCAGGTCCAGGAAGTCCTCTCTCGCCCGCGTCGCCAACAACACCCTGTAACAGATCTCAGATCAGTGTCCACACATCTGAGCGCTCGTGTCAGTTCGTTTGGCTGTGGTTTGATTTCTCTACACATGATAAGTGCATGTTGCTCTAAAGTCCAGAATCTGCAGTGTAAATGCGAGTGTTTTACAGTACGCATGTTTGCCCAGGGGCCTCTGAGGCTTCCAACAAGCTTTCATCCTCACTGGAGATGCCTGGGATTAATCATTCCTGCAGACGACGGGCCGCGAGCCGAGCTGGCACGAGCTCCAATCAGCTGAGATCTTACACACTGATACTCACTTCATCAGGAGCCTCTCACACGGGGACACTAACGTCATTACTTCATTATATATGGAGCATTTCCACTGAGAACTTAAAAACACTGCATTATAATATAGGCCTTATCAGATCATGGGCAAATCTGAATCTTTTGAATTCAATCTTTATATTTAACATTTATTATTGTTCTATGATTTATTGATGTACATAACATTTATGAACCCAAATGATAATTAAATAATAATAATTATTATTATGATATAATAATTATTGTTGTTATTATTATTGTGGAATTTAATGCAAGAAAATAAAACTGCTGAACCTAAATGTTGCATATAAAATATTAAATAAAATCTAACACTTTTCTTTTTGTTATTAGCAGTAAATAGAATTTAAATGTGAAATATTTGTAATAATTAATATTAATTAATTTAATAATATTTCACATAATATTTATTCTAAAGTCACAAAAACAGAATGATGAGAATTATCACAGTCCAATGAATAGCAGATTCTGTGGCATTTCTATTGTTTTTTTTCTTTAGAGACAGAAACACATTCATTAGAATAACCTTCACGAATTAAAGCAAAGTTTCTTTTATACATGCATAACATCTTCCATCTGCATAATGCCATTGGCTTCACAGCTGGACGGCAGATGAGAAGAACAGATTCTTTTCTTTACTCATCAGTAATCGACGCATCGTTCATTTGCATGACTGAAGCTTATAAAAGGAAGGGAGAGTTTACCTGTCTTCCTTTGGGACCCTTGATTCCCAGCGGACCCGGGACTCCCTGGAACACATCGAGATGATCGCACTTACAAACAAATCTGATCCGACACACATCGACCGTGTCTCGTGTGTTTTCAGGATCACGTCATTCTTTTGGGAATTTGCGTCTGTGTTGAGAGTAGTTGTAAATCCCAGAATGATGGCAGATTTGATAACATTCAGCGCTAAACATCCCGTGTGTGTTTGTCAGGTTAACATGTCCGGACGAAACATTAGCAGCATTATGCTGAGATCAGGGAATACTGTGAGATATAAACCGTGTCCATCAGTTGGTGAAACGAGTGAAGCTAGATGTACAACACGATAGCTAGAGACAATTCCAGGAGAAACTGACTAGAGACAGGACTCATGTTAAAATGTAATGTTTAATTGTTGAAGCTAGTTGAATACTTTATTCACATTCCTGCATGCTGGCCAACTAAATATCCAGCGCAAGTGCTCTACTGTACTGTGATTCAAACTGAGGTCAGATTCAAAAAGATTTTCTATAGTATCCGACAGCATGTTACCTGTATGATTGTGTATAATTGTGCGTTTAAACTCACTCTCTCTCCCTCCAGTCCTGGCGGTCCTGCAACTCCCGGAGGTCCGATGAAGCCCTGATACAGAAAACACAAACGTCTCCGATAGATCAAAATTGCAGGTTTACATTTTTCAAACTTTTAGCAAATACTCCCTAAATTGTGGTCACATAATCCTGCTACTATGTTGGGCGTAAGTTGTTAAAAGCGCTCTGATGGACCAATCGCATATAATGCATCAAGAAATTTGACGGCAAGGCACAGGACGGAAGGCCGTATCTCGAAAACACTTTGGCAGATTGGAACGAAATTTGGTGCATGTCATCGCCACCATACCCTGATGGCACTGGAGCAGTTACGAGACAGCGCCCCCTACTGGACAAGAAATTTCGAATTTTTAAATAAGACATGAGCCGAAAATCTCCAACTATATTATAAATCTACTTACAAATTTTGTTCAATTGAGACATTTGGCCACATTGATTTACAAATATGTGCACATACAGCACACACTGATTCACCCTGAACTACAAGATCCAGCTTTCAATTATCATCCTCACCTTATAAAACTGTATATTGCTGTTCAAGTTATTTACAACTAATGTACACATAAATCAGCTTACACACTTTGATAAAACAAGAGCAATGTGATGTCAGCATCAGGTGTGATTTCATCTCTTCCACATGCACAGGACACAAATCCTTCACAGCGGTGAGTGAGAGATTGGCTGGTATTTTTGTTTTGCTGTAGTCGGACGAATCGCTATCTGTACAGTTCTTCTGTCTTGTTAAGTGAGATCACATGTACTATCAGTCAAAGATGAAAGAAACGGCCCTCCTCCTGTCTGCGCGCATTCCTGTGCCGCGGCACACTGCCAGATGTTGAAAGCAATCGGGTTTCTGAAACACGCAAAAATCTCTGAGATGCAGCAGTCTCATTTACGACTTCATACAGCTCACTGATTCTTCAGGACTGGGCCGAAACAGGCGAGAGGACTGCAGAAATAAGGCTCATATATCACAGGATTGTTTGAGATGAGAGTCTGTTCTACATGTTCAGATGGATCATCAGCGTGCAACAACACGTTTTCTTCCCTTAATCACTTAGAATGGGTCAACAGCAACATCAGATACAAAACATTTCAGATATTAATGATAAATATTGTACAACTACAGGATGTTTTGTTTTACACTGACTTTTAGCTCCATCTATTGATGAAAATCTAATAGGTGCTGACCATAAAGGTATATATTTTGCATATGTATCAAATGAAGCAGCCATTTGATTTATTTTTTTGCTGCTACTACTAACAGGATCTACTTAAATTGACAGTCCTGAAACTATATTAAAAAAAAACTCTATAATCTTACCATTTGTGCAGCCTTTTTTAAACTCAGAGCAAGTTAAAGTTAGACTTTTGTACAGCAACTTCAGATACAGAATAAAAAAACAGTTCAAATATGTTTTATAAATATTGAAAGATCTGGCATTGAACTTCAGGAGGTTTAAAAGTGATTTTCAGCTCAATCAATTGATGAAAATCTGATGTCGACAAAGATATTTGCATTTAATGCAGCAGCTTTGTATTTATTTATGCATCATGTTGCTGCTACAGTGGGATATTATCTAAAAAATCATGAAATCATAAAAAACCTTTAAAACTCACCAGTTGTGTTGCCTAATTAAACTCACAGCATATGAAATGTTTGATATTTGTACTTTGATTTAGCCAGATTTTATGAATGTTTAGAAGGGACTTTGTGAAACATTATACAAGAGGAGTATTTAATATCTATTGGAATCTATTTGAAGTTTTGCGTTACGGTCATTGATATGTTACGGTTGTTCTGATGGTCATTTTCAGAAGGAATGGCAGGTAAAGTTGTGGGTTTTGTCCCACGAACTGATCTTCTCTCGATTCTTCGATTTCTCTCTCTCTCTCTATTATTTGGTCCTGTGGCTCACCCTGAGATAATGTAAGAGTGAATGTAACGCATGAGACAACAGCCGTACGTACATTAACACCTTTAGGTCCTGGGTTTCCCTCTGGTCCTCCCAAACCCTGAGAGACAAGAGACTTTAATGTTACACACATTAACATATCAGACATATACACACATCAGACATCATGAAACTTTAATATGTCAACAAAATGAACACTGGCTTTATCCAATGTTCATATTTCAGTTCTGGAAATGTATGCAAACTGTTGCATACTGCTCATTTCATACTGCTCATCATCTATTCATATTATTTATACATATTTAAACATAAAATTTCAGAAATCTAATACTAAACAATTGTTTTGTGTTCTTTGATTAATCAATTTGAGAAGTATGTAGTGATATCTTTTCATTTTTTGACTCTATTCACCTGTGGTGTCTTGCCTTAAAATGTTTATCATTGTGTATTGTGTAATGTTTCACACAGTTTTGAACAGTTGCCTGAAATTACTTTTAAATTAAGCATCAAAGTGAATATTCCAAAATATAATTCAATTTGACGGCAAGGCACAGGACAGAAGGCCGTATCTTTAAAACACTTTGGCAGATTGGAACGAAATTTGGTGCAAGTCATCGCCACCATGCCCTGATGGCACTGGAGCAGTTACGGGACAGCGCCACCTACTGGACAGGATATTTTGAATTTTTAAATAAGCCATGCCACCTATGTCATGATCAAACAAATCTACCAACAAGAATTAAGTTAAATATTTTTCAAATTTAGGATCAAGAAGTAACAGAATTATTTTTGATCATATATTGATATTGGACTCAATGTCAAGGGTTGGGAGTTCACATACTACTTGGCAATGCACAGTATACCGCGCGGTCCATTCTGAACATCTGTCTGGAATTCATTTTAAATTAAGGATCAAATGTAAAGTAAGAGTGACACACAATCGGTAAGACTTTTTTTTAGAGGATATCGGTCACTGCACCTGCCTGCCAGGGTAACCTGCCGCCCCAGATACGCCTGGCAATCCTGGCAAACCCTGAGGAGAAAGGAAAGAAAAACGTGAATGAGAGATGAGAACGGCTGCCAGCGGACGAATAGAGACACTATTGTTCCCCGCGGCATCTCTCTCTCAAAGCATCCACGGGCCGGACCGGCTCTCGCGGCCTGACCCTGGCTGAGGTCCAGACGGCGGCTCCTCTCAGCTGCGCGACTCCAGCGCGGATCATCTTTGCATCAGGTGACTGCATATAAAGACTGCGCTTTGTGACTGAATGAAAGTCTCCATGTATTGAGTTCCAAACCTTCCGGACTCGGTTATTGAGGAGGTACAAAAGGTACAACTCATAGATCTGTTTAATGCCATGTCAAACACGCAGGGAGGGACGGAGAGAGGATCAAACCTGATTGGACCGGCAAAATATGTGCGGCAGGAGGGCTGATAGACAAAAGATAGGCCAACTACAATGCTGAAATCTAGCATTCAACTTCAGGATGTTTGAAACAGCTCCATTTAGAAAGATATTGAAAATTAGCCTTTCACACATGCATTTAATGCAGTATTGTATATATTTATTTATGTTGCTGCTATTAACAAGACCTTGAGGGACGTTATCTGAAAAATTTGTTATTTTTGTCCCATGTCCCATGTCATTTGACTACTAAAATAGGATCTGATGGCTAAAATAGTACGACAGCATGGCAATAAAGCTACTAGCTAAACATACAGACAATGACTGAAACAGCAAAAAGTGTTTGTGAAGACCTCACAAAAGGCCGAGATCCACCTGAGATGGCACGTCTCATCCGCTCACCTGTTCTCCGGGCAGACCTGCTGGTCCTGGATAGCCTTTGGGACCCTGCATGTGAAAAAAGGAAAAGAGATTATAACTCAACTCTTTTACAGAACAACAGTAAGAACACAAAGCAAAGAATTTTCCCATATCCCCACAACCGTAAGAACAAGTAAGAGTCGTTCTTGACGTGCTATCTTTTCCGCATTTCTGGGATTGTGTTGCCTAAAGTCCCAGTGGCCTCAGATAAGACTAATAGCCCTTAAGAATTCCCTCAGAACTGTCAAAACCCTTTAAAGCTTTCCCGGTCTGACAGCTCGAGCTCGAGCCCATGAAAGAAAGACAAGTCACGACAGTGAGACGGGGAGGGGAGGTCAGAGCTCCTCGCCTGCAAACATTTCCAGCCTGCTCTCGAGTGCAGGAACCCATCTGTGCCAGTGCAATGCAATCATTAAGGCTAATACTTTGATATTTAGATGCCTGATTTGATAGCGGTGTCGGCGGCTGTTTGCCAGCAGGTGGCGATGTGTGTCGGACCGAGCGGAGAGGTTCAAGTGTGGTGCAATCCTCTACATTTGGAAAATTCCAGGCCTTGTGCATTGCACCTGAGAAGACAAAGATGACCAGAGGTCACCGTGATTTACGCCTGTAGGACTATTCCTGCTTAAACTCTTTAAAGATTTTACTGCAAACGCAGAGTGCTCTACATACTAATGACCAATAAAACAGCATTTAAACAGATCGCTCAAGTTCACCACGCTCGAGATCAAAGATCCGGCATTGTGTGGGAGGCGAGGTGGAAAACTGGTTAAAGTCGAGACATTATTTTATTAGTTTAACTCTAATAAACGTTCCCCACCATTGAATTTTCCGTCATTTACTGTACGACACGATGCTTCCCAGCCATTGATGAAATTGTCCAGCAATCCAACACTGTTAACGCTAATAATCAATCACAATATTACAGCTCTTTTTGTTATTTATCCTTGTTATTACAAATAAGAAAACACGTGCAAATACAACAAATACAATATAAGAAATTAACAAGCGGTAAGAAATGAATAATCAAACTTAAAAATAATCTCCATAGCCTTTAGTGTATTAATTACAAATAAACGGAATAGAGCTGGTTTCCCTCTTTGACTTTCATTGTTCGATTAACATTAATTAGTCTGCTGTCACTTTAAGAACGAATGCACAGATATAATATGTTACACATCAGATGTTTACCCCCAAATGTTTACGTTCACTTAAGACAAAACCAGCCATTTTTGCATGAATACTGAGTAGCACCTCATTGCAGTACACAAGATCCAGGGGGCGGAGTCGGATCCAGATCTGAGGGGTGGAGTTGGGTAGGTTTAGGGGTGGGTTTAGGGATCAGGGGGTGGAGCTGGGTAGGTTTAGGGGTGGGGTTAGGGATCAGGGGGTGGAGCTGGGTAGGTTTAGGGGTGGGTTTAGGGATCAGGGGTGGGGCTGGGTTGGTTTAGGGGTGGGGTTAGGGATCAGGGGGTGGGGCTGGTAGGTTTAGGGGTGGGGTTAGGGATCAGGGGGTGGGGCTGGGTAGGTTTAGGGGTGGGGTTAGGGATCAGGGGGTGGAGCTAGGTAGGTTTAGGGATCAGGGGGTGGGGCTGGGTTGGTTTAGGGGTGGGGTTAGGGATCAGGGGGTGGGGCTGGGTAGGTTTAGGGGTGGGTTTAGGGATCAGGGGGTGGAGCTGGGTAGGTTTAGGGGTGGGGTTTAGGGATCAGGGGGTGGGCTGGGTAGGTTTAGGGGTGGGGTTAGGGATCAGGGGGTGGAGCTGGGTAGGTTTAGGGGTGGGGTTAGGGATCAGGGGGTGGAGTTGGGTAGGTTTAGGGGTGGGTTTAGGGATCAGGGGGTGGAGCTGGGTAGGTTTAGGGGTGGGTTTAGGGATCAGGGGGTGGAGCTGGGTAGGTTTAGGGGTGGGGTTAGGGATCAGAGGGTGGAGCTGGGCAGGATTAGGTATATGTAAGGTGGGAGGAGTTAGAGTCCTCCCCGTGGATTTCATGTTATGCAGTGAGGACCATCTATGAATACTTGCCAAAACAGATCAGACGCATCTTTCTGTGCGCACTTCATAGTGAGTAACGGCTGAGATCTGTCATCTCCACCGTCGATGGTTCTGGTTTCATCTCAGATGAATCAGTCCAGCATTCACTAACCTAACCGTACAGATCTGCTTTTTATTACTTCCAAGTTTGCGGACCTGACCGTTCAAAAAAACCAACCCAATGCCCCCAAAAGGGCTCCATTTCCAAAGAAAACACCTCTTGGAGAACGCCCATTTTCTAAGAGTTGATCCACACAGTCTCAAAGGTGCTCTTGGGATTGCAAGAGAAAATCCAATCACACTGGGCCACTGTTAGCCAAAGAACGAGCTCCGGTCATGACTGAAAGGACTTTACAAGGACTTTACAACCTTTGGTTCTCTTCACCTCATAAACCCAAACAAGAGCTAGCTCGTGACATCTTCCTTATGACACAAGTCATAAACCTTAAATATGACATAAACATATCCTCCAGCTGAGTTAGGTGAGCTGAAACATGCGACTGTTCGTCTCATCAGGAGCGAGTCCCCCTGCAGAGGGACGACCCTTGACCTTTGGGGGATCTCATGTTCTAAAGGGGCTACGTCTCGGGAAGTGTGAACAGACCTTCGCTCGCCCCGAAACACCACACAGGGTCTTTATTCCTGTCCGTAACCCGAGAGAGGCTGTACGAGCGGTGAAGGATCTCACACTCACCTTCAGACCCGAGTCACCTCTAGGACCCTGTGGACCCGGCCGGCCTCTCTCACCCTGAAAGAATAAAAGAGAGGACACTTAGTGTTTCCACTCTTTGTTTATACAGAGATTTGGGAAGTTTTACCTTTCACTAAACATATTTAGATATACGGGAAACCGCAATGGAAGACGATTTCGGTATATCTAAATATGTTTAGTAAAAGGTAAAACTTCCGAAATCTCCGTGTAAATATTGAGTGACGTCACACGCAAGCGATCACTTCCGGCGTAACATTGAACTGATTCAGTTAAGTTCAGTTGGACATTGAACAACTGATTCAGATCACTGTGATTACACGAGGTAAAAAAGATATAAACACTGTTGGTTTTCTCACACAAACCGCTCGTTTCGTGTCTTAGGCCATCAGTGTGTACTTACATTTACGAGTCATTAAATCATGTTTAATTTGGACTTCTCTGTGCTGCTCTTTGGTGGACCCCCTTAGCCTCCAGTGTATGACTGATAGACAACAACGGTTTGAGCGAAAAATGTCAAAATTGAAAATACTGTGGAAACAAAGATGCCCTTGAGGTAAGCTAAAACATATCAAAAATTTATTTCAAAGTGAACTATCCCTTTAAAACAGAAGTATTAAACGACTTTATATTGCACACAGAGGTTGCGCAAGTACATTTACGTATTCAGCAACTACAATCTCAAATATAGTCGAGATTCATGTTTATATTTATGAGTTCATCACCAAGAAGGTTCGATTTAGTCCAAGTTCATGTTTAGATCTATTGCATGTTGATATAGTGACTGTTATCATTTAATGACATCGGTGTCGTCTCGTCTTAGTCGTGGAAATAAAGGTCGTCAACGAACATTTTTCATCATCGATTTCGTTAACGAAATGAACACTATTTGAAGTTCTGCTTTTCGTTCTGTGCTGCATGGAAGAAGACATTTTTATTTTGGGATGATGTGATTGCTGTAGAAGTTGTAGTAGGTTGTATTTGTGTGCTATTTACCGGGTCACCCTTCGGCGCCTGACCTGGGGACAGTCCTGGATCTCCTTTGGCTCCCTGGGACATAAACAAAGTGTTAACTCAGTTTGAGCTCATATATATTTCAGTCCCATTAAATAACAATGGGCAATACACATTTACTTTGTTAAGTTTAATACAACTGTTTATTGTTAGTAAATAATATTTTACAACAGATACAACCTTTGATTTTAATAATGTGTTAGTAAATGCCTAAATGAACATTAAGAATAAGAAATGTTTTAGAAGTACTTTTCATTGTTAGTTAAACTAAAGAATAACCCAAGTATTTCCCATAAAACGAGCCGTCAAAGTCAAAGCAAGCTCAAAAACATTCCTAAAGTTCAAGAAGATACATGCAAATCATGAGAGATTAAAGCCGGTGCTAACAGCGGATTTGGAGAGATTTAAAGGGATACTCCACTTTTTTTTTTGGAAATAGGCTCATTTTACCACTCCCTTAGAGTTAAACAGTTTGGTTTTACCGTTTTCAAATCCATTTAGCCGATTTTCTGATATCTAGAAGAATATCAGTAACCAGACAGTTTCTGGTCTCATTGACTTCCATAGTAGGAAAAAATATACTATGTAAGTCAATGAGACCAGAAACTGTCTGGTTACTGATATTCTTCTAAAATATCAAAAAAAAAATCGGCTGAATACATTCGAAAACGGTAAAACTTGACTGTTTAACCCTGGGGGAGTGGTAAAATGAGCCTATTTCCAAAAAAAAGTGGAGTATCCCTTTAAGGGGCAAAATCTCCGTCCTATGTGTGTGTAAACACACTAAACCTCATCATAATGCAAATTAGCTGGTTACAGTCAGACGTATGATCAATAATTGATCCATACATCCAATGATCAATAATTCAATCACATCATAGTTCATTCATTCTGATCTGGAGGATTCAGCCAACTGCTTTTTTGTCCTACAAATGACATTTTAATTACATTTAAATCCAATGGGAGTCACTGGAAGAAAAGTCTCTAAATTTAGCACGTCAATCAAAACGGGTCCAAACCCTTTCAGGCCTGAATGAGAGCTTTATTCCTCAGTTCATCCATTAATGGAAACACAATTGCTGCCAATCAACATGAGACAGCACAGATCTGACGCCGTTACTAAAGCAGATCCTGCTGTCTTTCCACTGAGGATCCTGACATCATGAACCACAGCCAAACCTCTCAGACCTGTGAAGCGCATCTCAGTTCTCTCGAGGCTTCATCGCTGAAGTCTGAAAGAGGACAAAGCACAACAGCTCCGGCTTGTTTCTCTGGAATCCGGCGGATGCGTATGACTAATCTGTGGGCTAAACCGTCACAGTTTCCAGCATCCGAGCTCAGTTTGGCCCCGGTGGGGTTATCTGCAGTGGATGACCCCTCGGCCCACTCAGGCCATCTCTGAAGGACAGACACATGAACACTTTGTCCTAAAGCTTGATGGGAAAATCAGATCAGCGCGTTCGGAAATTTAAAGCGCCCCTATTATGCTTTTTTGAAAAAGACTTTTCATTGTGGTTTGCAATTAACTTTTTCACTCACCCGCCAATTTGGATACTAAATTGTATAAGTTACCAGCCATTCAGGACTTCTACTAGCCAAAGAAAAAAAAATTAACAAGATTAACAAAAATTAACTACGTCACAGCTCGTGTGTGTGTGTATATATATATATAGACCATTTTGCAAGATGTAAACAACACTGGTCCAGAAACACTTCCTGTTTCAGTTTGTAACTGTTTTCTTTATTTCACATGTAAAGAAAACATAAAACTGAATCAAAAAGTTAAACAAACATCTTTAAGATATGTTCTGTTGGTTGTATTTTATCCCAGCTTTTATGTAGTGTTAAAAAACTGAAACAGGAAGTGCTTCTGAACCAATGTTGGTCTACAAATGATCTATATATATATATATATATATATATATATATGATAATGAGCGTTTGCTTTCTGACCATACACATCAGACTGGGTCATCTGACCAATCAGAGCAGACTGGGTCACCTGACCAAACACTACATCCACTGAACACATCAATCCTCTTCCTGTCTGTCTGATTACTGTAGCCGTGCGAGCTCTGATGAAAATGAACGTTTATATTTTTCAATATGTTTCTCATAGAAATCATCATCAGTGTTGAAGATTCACACTGACACACACCTGTTAAACAGTGCTGGAAAAACTGAACAGGTCAATCACCTTTCAGGACACACACACACACACTTTCTTTTCCCAGACTTTCACGTCCCGTCCCACAAGTTCAGTCCTGCTGGAATAACCTACAGTGAGTTTATTATATTCACGACTGAACCCTGAGGGGTTCGAACCCGCAACCTTTCATCTATCAGAACAGATCTTTCCCCATTACTCACACCAGATCTAACACTAGCCAACACACTACTGCTCATTTAAATAAAGATGAATATTGTTTTAAAATAGAGCCCGACCGATACCGAAGGCCGATACAAATATTTTGGGGTTTTAAAATCCGATATTCCGATATATTGACCAATATTTTTTTATTAAATATTGTTGGATTTCACACACGTGTAAAAGAAAAGCAAACTTTTCTGCACAAGATACGTTTGATACTTTTTCTCTATGTCTAAATGTTCACTCCTCACAAGTCTAACTTCATTTTACAATGCAGGGACTGTAACTAGAGATATGCGAGTTATAAATACAGTAATCATTACTTTATTTAGGCAGAAAAAGTTCATTGTTGTTTCCAAGCTCATTAATGTTAACGTTAGCGGTCTTCCACTGATGATAGCGGCATTAGCTAGCTTTGTGGTTAGCTAGTCTATGATGAGCCATAATTTAGCAATAGATAACATCATACTGCAAATTGTAAAACATACATTTTCAATATAACAGGCCAAGGAGAGATGATTGAAGCGTGTTTCGTCCGTTTTTATTTTATTTTTTAAATACTCATTTATCGGCCATTATAACTGCCGATACCGATATTATGGAAAATGCCTAATATCGGCCGATTATATCGGTCTGGCTCTATTTTAAAATAATAAATATAATTTCATTAAAATTGGCAATTAGATAAAAGCACCAAAACTACTAACCAGAGATAAAATAATACAAGTAAAACTGAAATAAAAATTTTACAACAAATTAAAATGAAAACTGAAAATTAAAGCTAATTGTTGTTGTTTTTTTTTTTGCTAAAAAGCTAATAAATAAAAACACATGAAAACTATTTAGAAACGTTATTAAAAAGCAAAAACTACAAAATTCCAAAAATGTATCTGAAGTACACACACACACACACCTTCATTTAACAGGCTCTTAATATCGTGGCTATATACACACATTTTCCTCTCATCTTTCAGCAGATCAATCTGTCAGTGTCTCCCCAACGGCTCTTTCCAGTGTTGTCCAAATCCTCCACATCACACACACACACACACACACACACACACATTACAGAAAGAAAAACTATTCAAGCTTTGAAAGGTGGCGAGTTTGAACAGGAAGAATGGCAGTGAAGGAGCGTCCAATACGCTGTAATGAAACAACAGTGCAATCCGGCCGGAGGATGTTATCGTAACACAGAAACCCATCAAACCCATCAAACCCATCAGTGTGGCGGGAAGAGAATGTGTAATAAAGCCTGAAAACGGAGACTTACCTTCAGACCAGGTAAACCCGGCGGCCCGGGGCTCCCGTGAGGACCAGACGGACCCTGGCAGACACAAACTGAGTCACACACTAATCACTATAGCAAATGAGTACCATTAAAACACGTTCTCTCAGTAAATCCCTGCATGTCCCTCATCAGAGGCTGTGATTGGATAACTGGAGTAACCAGTGGACCAATGGCATCGAAACGCCGGAATTGAAGTGTGTGATCAGAATGATTGGGTTTAAATCCCTCCTGAAGCGTCTCACACACACTTTGTAGCATTTTCAAGTATTTGGGTTCCTTATCACACCACACTGACTGCTCTGGTTGTTAAAACCATAGATATGTATATAAAGGCTAGATGTGTCGTCCACGCTGCTGGCCAATGGAGGTCGACGTCAGCACCTGGCGGCCATCTTGTCACAGGCAGCTTTTAAATCACCGTAACTTGCTCAATTTTCTACCGATTTTCAAACAGGCGTAGTTATGTAGTTATGATACTGCATACTTATGAATAATAAGTGTATAAATAAATAATCATCCAGAATTATAGCCACGGTAATAACGTTTGTCAGAAACCAAACCGTTTGTAAATCCGCCAAGATTTCAACGAGATAAGAGTATTTCTTCCATCAGATACCACAGAGCCCGCCAGAAAGCTTGTCTGTGACAAGATGGCCGCCGGTGATGACGATGGAAACTCCGCCGTAACACATCTAGCCTTTATATACATATCTATGGTGGAAACGAACCAAAATGCAGTCACGTGACAACATCCACATCACTCGTTGGCCAGACGTGTCTTGAACGTATTTCCACAACTGCCCTTCGATTGGTCAGAATTCACGAGCGGGAAACTCCCTTTCCATGAGCTGTTCGCTAAACAAAGCGGAGACTTCGTGTTCTTCCAGTTTTTGAAGGTTGGGACCTGATATGGTCATCAGACGTCCTCACAAATGTCAACAAACATTAGTCCTCATCCCATAATGCGGAGCGGACTACGGCAGCTGGTTTAGTCCAAAAACCAGTCGGTTCTGTTAGATGTCGGATCAATCCAACCGCTCCAGAGTTCTTTGATGAGATCTCGGTCCATCTTTGGTCTGTTTTTGGTGCGATCGCTGCATTCACACCGGCCCAAACGAACCGCAGCACGGGGGACAACCAACTCTAGTGCGATTCAACCCAACTAAATGAGGCAGGTGTTGAGACTAATTATTAGGAAGAGACAATTTTGTCCTCTTCAGCACATGGAATGGAAACGCTGCTTTGATCGCATATTATATGCAATATTCTAATTTTGCAGTCAAGTTAAAGGTAGTGTATGCAATTTTGAAGAGGCTAGCAAACTAGCAATAGCAATTAGCTTTAACAGCATTAGATCACGCCATCCCTTCAGAGAGCCTCCAATATGGGGTTTAATTTGTGCCAAAAATGAGTCGACTGCTTTGTGCATTTTGACCTTGTCAACAGTCATTGCCTACATGTACAGATAAATCAGTACATGTTGATGTGTATGCTCTCTGTTTACGTTGATTTGTTCACTCGTCCTTGCTACTTTTTCAGTCATAGTTGAGTTAACAGGGACGGGGCCTGGTTGAGTTAGTTAGTAGTGTGTAAAACTGGTGGTTATGGAAAGGGGCGGGACATTTCCCAAACACACTTGAAGCGTTTGACTAATCACAACACATCGCTCCAGCCGACCAATCAGAGCACAGTGTGCTTTCAGGAGGAGGGGCTTCATAGAGACAGGAAGTAAACAGTGGTGTGTTTCCCGAAAGCTTCGTTAGCCAAATATGGTCGCAAGATCCGTCGTTATCAGCAGTTCAACGAGTCGTTCTAACAAACTTTCTCAATAAGACTCGATAAATCCTGATCTTCTGTAAAATAAGCAAACTGACCTTCAGTGCGATCTATAACTTTTATTTAGAACACATACAAATGTCATTTACATCTTTTAGTTTGTCATGTGATTTAAAGCGTAGTTTTTGAAGAGTGCGCATGTGTGAACGAGTCTATGAATGAAATCGTTGATATAGTGATGATTTAGCGATTGCTTATTTACTGAAGATAGGGATTTATTGAGTCCACATGTCATGTAATCTAGAAACTCTTCTTCTCGAGATCTGTCGCTCACACACACACACACACACACTCCTCTGTGATGGTGTTTGCGAAGGTTTGTTAGAACGATGGTCTCAGAAAACACCGACTCGCTGAACTGCCGATAACGACGGATCTTGCGACCATATTTGGCTAACGATGCTTTCGGGAAACACACCACTGTTTACTTCCTGTCTCTATTAAGCCACTCCTCCTGAAAGCACACTGTGCTCTGATTGGTTGCCTGGAGCAGTGTGTTTTGATTGGTCGAACGCTTCGAGTGTGTTTGGGAGTGTCCCGCCCCTTTCCATAACCGCCAGTTTAACACACTACTAACTAACTCAACCAGGCCCCGCCCCTTTATTCTGTGCATGAATTATTATAATGAGGAATATTGTGACGTGTTTGTTCCCGGGAGAAACTCAAGACTACAATGGAGGCGTAATGGAGACTCTGATATAGAGGAGATTATATCAGCAACAACAACTTCAAAAACTATCATGTCATCTAAATGTTTTCATAAAGTTAAAAAAAAACATGAATCCGTAAACAAACATTGATCCGCTATAACGTACCCGCGGTCCTCTCTTCCCAGGCGGTCCGGGGAGACCGGGGGGGCCGGCGGGACCCTGCGGAGAGACAAATGAGCAGAAAGACAGATCAATTCATGAACAACTGATTCTTCACATCACAAGAAAGAGTGTAAGTGGAACCGCGTGTCCGACTCCCAACACAGAAAGCCTTCAGCTCCACGAATCAAAGCTCACACACAGATTTATGAATATGCCAGCGATGCGATTCATGGAGGGATTACGGAGCAATGAGTGGCTTCGTGGTTAGAGATCTGAGATGACAGATCACACAGTCTGAAAACATGGAGAAATATTCAATACAGAGCAGGACACGTCCAAAACAAGTGAGGATGAGCGCTTTTGTTCATTTTAAATCCATCAAGTTCCAAATACATAAATACAATTATTAATTATATAATAAGTGGTGAGCAGAAGAGACTTCTTTCAAAGTTTTTGAAAGAAGTCTCGCCAAGGCTGTGTTTATTTGATGTGCAGCTTCAGATTTTTGTGGAAACTGTGAAACATTTTATCATTCAGGATTCTTGGATGTATGGGTGTATGGGTGGGTGGATGGATGGGTGGATGGATGGATGGGTGGATGGATGGGTGGATGGATGGATGGATGGGTGGGTGGGTGGATGGATGGATGGATGGATGGGTGGATGGATGGGTGGATGGGTGGATGGATGGATGGATAGGTGGGTGGGTGGATGGGTGGGTGGATGAATGTGTGGGTGGATGTATGGGTGTATGGGTGGGTGGATGGATGGATGGATGGATGGGTGGGTGGGTGGATGGATGGATGGATGGATGGATGGATGGATGGATGGATGGGTGGGTGGATGGATGGGTGGGTGGGATGAATGTGTGGGTGGATGTATGGGTGTATGGGTGGGTGGATGGATGGATGGATGGATGGATGGGTGGGTGGGTGGATGGATGGATGGATGGATGGATGGGTGGATGGATGGATGGGTGGGTGGATGGATGGGTGGATGGGTGGATGGGTGGATGGGTGGATGGGTGGATGGATAGATATATAGATGGAAGGAACCCCCAAAGATTAGCAAAGTTGTTTCTTAAATCAGTGCAAAATCGGACTAAATCACAGGCAATCAGAACAGTTTTAATGTTTAATAAACATAAATGTGCGGCACGGTTTTGGACCTATGATGTTTCCATGGCAATCAAAAACAGAAACAGAGACTGACAAAGTGTCTCGTCACACTGTGCTAAACTACATCTCTAAAAGCCTCCATCACTGCACTGATGCTCACTATCCTGTGTGGAACGCCACGCTAGCTAAACAACGCTGGATCGCTAACAACGTTCAGTTTAAGCATCTTGTAAAAGGCCAGTAAAAGCTCACACTGGTTTGGATGATGGTAATGCTATAAGAGCCAGATTTACCTGGTCAAATACCAGTTTGTTGAGCATACGCAACAGAAGAGTGTGTTCAACTAAAGCGTGGTTTGGAAACGCAACACAGGCAGAGAAGAAGTCTCTCCAAAGAATTATAAAGACTGCAGAGAGAGTCATTGGGACTAATCTCTCCCAGCCATGTAAGAAGAAATCTCAGTCCATTAGCGACACTGGTCATCCAGCGCATCCACTATTGAGGCCCAGACACAAACCCTATAGCCTGAGACACACAAGAGCGGACAGCATCATCACACACACATCACGCTTTTATAACAGCTTCTATAGTGAGAGCGAGACTAATGGCAAACTCATATAAATAGGGGGATATTGGGTATAATTGGTTAGCAAGCACTGGTGCACTTTGTGTGTGTGTAGATAAAATCTTGTGTAAAAACATAAGGCGAGACTGGTTATGACGACCATTATTCAAGACCCACATAAACAAAGACTCACAGGTTTCCTCCTCATGTGTGTGTGTTATGTTTTGGCTGCTTATTGACAGAGGTGTGTGTGGGAACATCTGGAACGGAGGTTAGTCTAGCACAGCCAATCAGAGGAGACGAAGTGTGTGTGTGGGGCCAGATCTGTGGAAACTCTGACAGAGCCGGAGCCGAACCTACATGTTTAATCACCCAACACACTGTTAGCTCTCACTATCTGACCTCACTGTAACAGTACAACTTTCGTCTCGTCGACTCGGTTTTAAAAGTTGGTGGAACGATTGAATGTAGAAAAAGCTGACGACATTATGAGCTTGATATAACGTTCTTAGTGTGTGTGCGTGTGTCAGCTTGTTGAGCAATCTGAACAGGTTAATAGCAACACAACTGTTACAAGAGAGCAAAAAATCTGTTATCTCTGAATAACAACGATTTATGTCATCATAACAACCCATACTTTGGCCAAAAATGCTAATTATTTGAGTGCATCGTCAGCACTGAAGCTGAGCATGATCTTAGAAAGTTCTTGCTTTTAAGCTTAAACTAAATGGCCCAAAAAGTTACTTTAGCCAATAATAGGGGTGGGCGCTCTTCCCAAAATTTCATATCACAATCTCATAACAAACAATCACAATCCATGATCTAAATCACAATTGTGAGAGAATATCCACACAGGAACGAGCCTGTGACTTACTGCAATAAACAACCAGATGTCAAGACAGTAATTAAACCCTCCCTGACAATTAAATCTAAACTCCTCCTGAAGTTATTCAGTCCACAGCAGAGAGTGATTTGGTCTTAAGTCTTTTGTTGGATATTAATGACAGACACAGCAGGAATTTGCTTTAGGCTTTAAGACCGAATGCATGGATCTAATATAATGACACGCATCCCATTTCTTTTACAACTGTTTGCTCACTCAAGACAAAACTGAATGGTAAATAAATGGTAAATGGACTGCTTTTATATAGCGCTTTCGCAAACCCAATGGCCACCAAAGCACTTTACATATTGCCTCACATTTACCCATTCACACACTCATTCAGACACCGGCGTAAATACTAGTCAAGATAGCAGTGGCGTAGGTTTGATTTTGAAATTATCAATATATAGGTATATTTTAAGTTTTGATGCTCAACCACCATGTACTTTGCTCATCCATGTTTCGCACACAGAAAGCACATGGGGATGAGTCTCTTTTGCGGTTAAATGTGCTAATAATTATTATTTTTTAAATAAAGCATGTCCCGCAGTAGACTGCATTTCACGTTACATGATTTGGACATTAAAGGGGGGGGAGGGGGCGAAAACACACCGCTTTACTGCATAATGATCATTTTTAGGGATGCACCGATGTGAACATTTTGGCCGATACCGATAACGATAATTCTTTATATTTTGAAAGCCGATAACCGATATATCGGCCGATGAATCGAAATATAATTTTTGAGAGCCTGATTGCAAAAACAAAAGTCTCACAATTAAAATCCATTCTCATTATAATATCACGTAGCCGATATGACAGCACATTTTGCACTGAACTATGTTTTCCTTTTTGATTCCAATCATATTTCAAGCAATTAAGATCAATCATGTTGAATAGTGCGCATCCGAAGAGTCTCAGGTGTCAAGTGTTGAAGGAAATAATTCATTATTTATCAGCTTTAATACATCAGCCAAATTTTATTATCGGGCCGATAACGATAACATAAAAAAATTAACAAATATCGGCCGATACCGATATGCTGGCCGATATATCGTGCATCACTAATCATTTTATCTTGATTATCACGTTGGAAGCCAACACTCATGAAAGACACATGATAGAGTCACATGATATAATTAGGCCAGTCAGAAAAGCACATTACCATTATTATGAGAACATCAAAGATGTCTACGAATCGCTTGAAAAGTAGAGCCTGGACGTCTTCGAGGTAAATCCCGATATAAAATCGTCAGATCGCACACCCCTAGCTAACATTGTGCTCAAACCCCTCTAAAACCATCAAGATAGACCAGATAATGTCCTGGTTTAAGCTGGAAAGCAAAGGGGATTGAGGGATCTCTGGATAAATGACAGTATTGAATTTTTGAATAAATGGATTTCTGTGCAACAGAAACAAAACTGAAGCTATCGATCTCATTCCCTGATTTGTACCTTCAAGGCATAATTAGACTTCCAACAGGAGAGGAAAGTGCAATGAAACGCTGAGTTTGGATAGTCCCAGCTGGCGAGTTTACCTCCCCCAGTTCTTCCCAGAGAGGAATGCACCGTTATCCCTCGGCCAAGTGAGAGCACTTGGGGTGACGGCCAACAAAAATATCCACAAAGACATGTCTAAGATCCACACATATCCTCACACAAACCACGTACGCAAATGCCTTAATTGTGCAAGCAACTGTTTGAACATGAATAAAACATTACTTTAGAGAAGCTTCGGGGCGTCTTCATAATCTTTTCCAAAAAGATAAATCCGCTTCTGGCTCATATGAGCGTTCGTTTATTGGCGTGACTGAATAAATTCTGGGATTCTGGGATTGAGGTTCACAGTGGCCTACTGACCTACACTTGATAATACTGCGCTCCACCCTGCAGCTCTGCGAGTTTCATGTACTTCGCTAAATTTAGAGTAAAGTCTTGTTCCTCATGCTATTGAAGACAATAAACAGTGATCAACGATTGGATAAGGAGAAAGATAACCCAGATAGCAAACTGACATTGAATCAACGTGGAAACATGACATCGAAACAACGTTGATCTGACATTGTTTTGCTCATCGAATTAACGTTGAACCAACGTCAGACGCGTCATTCTTTCAAAACTAACGGAAAATCAACTTGAAATCAACGCGTTGTTTCAACGTTATGAAAGCAAACTAATTTTCGATTTCATTTAGCTTTGAAGAATGCCGCGTCTGACGTTGGTTCAACGTTAATTCGATGAGCAAATCAACGTTGTTTCAATGTCATGAGGGACGTCGTTTCCACGTTGATTCAATGTCAGTTTGCTGTCTGGGAACTCTTTTTCTTGTGGCAGAGCTATGCAAGAGCTAAGCTAATGCTAACACATAGTGCTTTAACCAATCAAGTGAAGCTACATTTCTTCAAAGCATTCTCTGTGGCAGCACACAAATAATGGAGTGCATACTGTACATTAAGCTTAATTTGCACACAAAATCAAATCATTTTGTACTGGTATAAATCAAGAGCTAAGCTCGTGCTAATCATTTTTGACAGAGTTCCTAATCTCTTATTATTATGTTGCCTTAAACTTTACATTTATTCACTTAGCTGACGCTTTTATCCAAAGCAGCGACTTACAATCGCTATATATGTCAGAGGTCGCACGCCTCTGGAGCAACTAGGGGTTAAGTGTCTTGCTCAGGGACACATTGGTGTCTCACAGTGGATTCGAACCCGAGTCCCTCACACACCAAAGGCATGTGTCTCACCCACTAAAATGCTGGGATGTTTATAAATATGTACAAACCCAGCCATTGGGTTACATTTTTAAATGACAATTTTAAGCCAATAGTTGGGTTTGTCCATATTGTACCCAAAATTGGGTTAAAACAACCCAACATTTTTTTTAGAGTGCACCACCCCTAAAATCCTCTTGGGAAGCGATTTTGGTCAGAAAAAAATTGGCACTATGGAAAATGTCAATTACTTTTCCCTTTCCCTATATAAGATGGGAAGCGTAGCCAAAACAGCCTTGTCAGGTGGTGCAATCATCAATTGCATGCTGACCAAAATGAGAAAAGGGGCTAAATAGGTAGCAAGTTTTATCCCTGTTCATCACCAGCACACAAACTGAATGGTACCATCAACATCCACAGCTTATCTTGATGTCTATCAATGATACGCCTCTGGCTCGGAAAGAAAACACAAGAGTTTCCCCACTACTGATTACAACACTGTGGTGGCATTTGTGTGCACTCATCTCGTAAACATGATAATTCTGACATGACTTTGAAAGCAGAATTACATTAATCTTTTCTTGTTGCTAGGTGATGCAAACCCCATTACAAATAGAGGTGTAAATTAGCACATCAGTCAAATTACAGCATGGGCAACCGGCGGCCACTTGAAACATGCTATTATAACCACCTGTAAGTCCGGGAGGACGAAAAACAAACTATCATCTCGCTTCTAAATCACTACCTGTCACCGACAAATTATTTACTTGTTCTCTTGCCCAGTCGACTCCTGATCAAATACAACCTGCAGAACGACAGCCAAGTGCATGCTCTCTCAAAGGCCTTTTTATACGACCCAAGAAAACCCCATAAATTAGCTTGAACTCTTATGCATTGTAATTTGGATAAATTCTTAAGCTTTGCTCTGGCTTGCAGCAACTTGATTTTGCACTTTTAAGACTATGGAAGTCATTCGAAAGCATGAGAAAGATAATCAGAGAGTACTTACTGGAGGACCCGGTTCTCCTTTAGGACCAACAAATCCGTCATAGTCAAAGAAATATTCGTCTTCTTCAAAACCATAGTCGTCATATCCATAACCCTCCGAGTATTCCGCGTCGTGCATCCCCTCCGTGACCTGCTCCTCGGATCGATCCACTAGGTTATAGCTGCTCTCTTCACGGTACAGGACGGTGTTGTTCACTTTAGGCTTGGTCTGCAGAAGCTCCTTGTTAGACTGGTGGGATCTACCGTCATTCCCGAAGGCCTCTTTCAAACGGCTCTGCTTGATGATGGTGATCAAGTCCGGGGTGGCCCGAGTTGCTCTTGGCTTCTTAAGAAGTGGCTTATTCTCACTGTCTGGGTTGCTGGTGGTAGTCTCCGGAGTAAAGGCCAGGGTCTGCGCGTTATCGACGGGTCTCGGAGATGTTTTTATTAGTCCAGGTGTGCTGGAGCGAAACATCGGAGAGCTTGTGGTTGAAAGCTGGTCAAAAAGTGCCGTGGGAATCGAGTTGGTGGCCTTATCAAATCTCAGAGTGTCCGATTCGGACGAGCTGCGGGGGAACTTTGGGGAAGCTGACGGGGAGTGAGACTCTGCGCTCCCGGACAGAGATCGGAAGGTGTCGGACAGTCTGCACTGTTTTTTAAGATAGTCGCAGTAGTGTGCCGCAGCTTGGGCAGAGGGGTAGATGTCCAGCTGGCACAATGCTCCTTCAAACTGCACCGCCCTGGAGTCCATCCTTCCCACGGAGAGGCGGCCTTCGGAGCCCAACGTCTGCGGGCGCGTCAGTGTTTCCTCGCTGTACCTGACGTCCCCGCAGCTCGCGTAGAGGGATACGGAGCGCGGCCGAACCCCCACCGAGAAGGAGTGCCACTGTCCATCTTGCACATCGTACTTGAAGTAGACAGACGCTTTCTCGCCTGTGTAAACCACCACTTTGCCGGGCAGGAGCTGCAAGCCGAACTGCAGTCTGTCCCTTCCGTCACGCATACTAAAAAGAAAGGCATTGTTCGCTCGCCAGGAGCTTAAACTCACTATGATGGAAAACTCCTCCTCCACGCCTGCGGGGAGCAAGCCCAATGATGGGGCCTCAATGAGGGCATCTCGTCCGAGGATAGCCCCAACACCAGGGGGCAGGATGGAGAGAGATGAAGCGAGGGAGGTGAGGTAAGGAGTCCCGGAAGAGTGTATGTCTCTGTGACCGGAAAGGCCCAGCTGATGAATAAGATCTACACCTTGAGGGAAAGACAGAGACAGTCGTAAGCAATAAGGTAAGCAGGGTTTGGCAAGGTCGACACCGCAGTAAAGACTAGGTTGTTGTGTGGTGGGTTTTGCCAGGGCATTCAGGGTGGTTTCTGTCCCAAGTTTGTTCAAACCTCTAATCTAAAGGATTAGCGACAACTCCATGCACTAACCTGTAGGCCACAAACGTAATTTAAAGTCTAGGTTGAGAGTCACCATTCGAGGCCCTCTATAACACGAACCACACAAATGTTATGAATGTGTTTTGACATCATGATATCTCAAATTACCCATAAGCCCTTGCATAGTCCTAGCATCTGTGGTCCAGATGAAGAGCGAGAACGAGAGGAAGGTGGAATCTCTTTTCTCCCTTTCACTTAGTTTCAGTGAAGACAATTCTCTCGTTTTCTGGCATATGTTACTAGTCTGTGCGCATCTGAGTGGGCAGGGAGAGGAGACGGGGTGCTTTTTGAGGAACTAATTCCTAGTCGTTTCTGTTTAGTTTAGACACAGGCTCTTGAGTTACAGTCCTGCAGACTTTAGTTACAACCTTAAAGGAGTAGTTCTATTCTGTGAGGCGCGTTTGTAACGTCACGTAGTACGTAATTACGTTCAAAAGGTCACGGGCGACGTAGCCGGAAGTACAGAGTCCGTGTTTACAAGTTGAACGCATAGGTTGAACGTGCAAACTAACTCAAAAGCTGTTTACAAAAAAAGGAATTAAAAGTTAAAACAACGATGTCGGAAGATTTTGATTCTGTACTTCCGGCTACGTCGCCCGTGACCTTTTGATCGTAATTACGTATTACGTGACGTTGCAAACGCGCCTCACAGAATAGAGCAAGGCTAGCATTTGTCCTTAGAAAAGTTACATTTTTGGAATAAGTTTTGAAATAGCCGATCGTTTCGCTTGATAAGACCCTTATTCATCGTCTGGTGTCGTTTAAAGACATCTGAAACTGTTATTAACTCTCATTTGGACCTTGGACCGTCTCGTTCCCATTGAAGTCCATTATATGGAGAAAAATCCTGGAATGTTTTCATCAAAAACCTTAATTTCTTTTCGACTGAGGAAACAAAGACATGGACATCTTGGATGACACGGGGGTGAGTAAATTATCAGCAAAAGTTTTTTCAAAAGTGAACTAATCCTTTAAACGATTCCAGACGATGAATAAGGGTCTTATCTAGCGAAACGATCGCTCATGTAATTCGTTCATTTTGATGAACGAGTTCGAACAGGAGAGTCACAAACGTGCGTCACAGGACATGCAAGGTGAGCATTTGAGCTTATAAAACTTAAACTTTGCTATTTATTTATTAAACGAGCGATCGTTTCGCTTGATAAGACCCTTATTCATCGTCTGAAGTCGTTTAAAGCCCTTTGAACAGTTTGCACTGAAACTCTCATTTGGACCTTGAACCGTTTGGTTCCCATTAAAGTCCATTATATGGAGAAAATCCTGGAATGTTTTCATCAAAAACCTTCATTTCTTTTCCACTGAAGAAAAAAAAGACATGGACATCTTGCATGACACGGGGGCGAGTAAATTATCATCAAGAGTTTTTCGAAAAGTGAACTACTCCTTTAGCCTAACACAAGGAACAAGGTTAGGTTTGGAGCTTACGTCTGCAGGACACCGGCCCTCCAGATTCCTGGTTTAGACTCAATTTAAAGGCATCACACATGAAATGATGTTATAAAACTTTCTTATACCCCAGTTTAATGTGCAGAAACAGCTAAAAGCTTATACCTAAGGTTGGTTGAGACACCCATGCAAACCGGACAATGTTTAATAGCACCACAGAGTGAGAATCAACCTACAAATGGCTCACTCAATCTTCATTTTAAGCTAGTACAGAAGCTTTTTAACATTGGAAAAATGACACACTTCCCCTTTAAATACATCATAAAATATAGCCTAAAGGCAGCAGCTCAGATCCTTGGGGAACTACAGCTAGTCTGTTTTTGAGATCGAGAGAGCAGGATCGTCTGTCCTCCTGTCAGCAAACACAGACAAGCTTTTACATGGATTGAGAATGTCCGTGGAGAGATCTCAGAGGAACTGCTCTGGCAGCAGGCACTTTCATTACTAATCCAGACTTTCTGTTTGAGTTTGAACAAATTTATTCAGCCCAGGCTTAAACAGATGACAAGCAAAAGGCAACAACAGCCGAGGCACAACGTTACGGCTGTTTCCTCTCGTGCTTTCTGTTCTTTGTGTTACAAGTTCAGCGCAGGCCGTTACTGTGCCTTGAAAACTGATTCACCGGGGGTTAAAAACAGACGGGATCTTCAACAACCAAAAAAAAAGAAAGAAAGAGAGAATTAGACTTCAAAGCTCAGGCAGCCATGTTTCTGACTGGTTGCACATGGGCGACCCTATGAACTTTCACCTTTTTGGTGGTTCAAATAGATCGTCGGACAGCCAATAATTTATTTTTAGAATGACGCCATCACAAAACAACCATGAAGAGAGGCAGGGACATCCTCCCTGCGGTGATTGGTTGCACTCTTATTGCCAAACAATTAATGTCAAGCTGCGGATAAATAAAAGTATTTCTACAGTAGTGGCCAACAGCGATGTCCATTGGTGATGTTTGTTTTTAATGACCCTACAAGTTGGATTAAACCATCATTAAATGATACACTGACTACAACATAATCAGTTATTAATATTTTGTTGGTTTTCTCTTGTTTTTGTATTGGTTTATAATTTCTCTCTATGATAGCCAGGCCAAAAATGATGCCTAAAATAGTAACTATGCAATATAAAATCTTCATAATAAAAGGGTAGACTTTTTCAACTTGGACCACTAAAAGACTGCCAGGACAAACGACTGTAAACCCCAATAAGTTCATTGTACTTAAAACTTTTGAGGAAACTGATTACATAATAACTTTTGAGGGAAGTAACTTAATTTTTTTAAGTAAGATTTTCTTAAAAGTTACAATCTAATCAAACTTAAACATTTAAATATTATTATTATTTTTTTTTAAGTGAACCATGCTTAAAAATATTGTTTAACACTCAAAGATTTTTTGTTTTTCCATATTTAATAATAATATATTATTATATTATTACAAAATAATAATATTTTGATCCAATGGTACTTAAATAAAAATAACTTACAAGCTAATGAAAGTTAAAACTACCTCAATACGGTATTTGTAAGCTATTTATTTGCAAGTGTGAACAGAAAGCCTGTTAATAAAAGGTCATTTAGTGGGGAAAGCATGGAAATAGTTTGTCATTTTTATCCTATTGTTTGTTGCATTTATTTGCCTGGTCAGAAATCATATGGCGAGGTGATCTGGAATGGTAAACCAACCTGGAACTACTTTAGCAATGCATTTACTGAATAATTGCATGCCTTACAAACATTCATCAACCAATTTTATCAGTTCATGCGATTCCTGGGAATCAAATCTAAGCATTGCTAGTAGACAGAACTCACTTGCACTCTTCAATCTTCTCTAAGCATGCAGTGTAATAATAGTAAAGCAGGTTTCTAATAATATACTTCAAGGCTTCAGGATGTTGTGCAATCATAATTCATGTGTGCTTGTGTAACGTCTTTACTGCTGGCTGTCCTCTATTGTTTGAAGGTGTTTTAGTTATTTCTAGCAGCATGTGTAGTCTTTTCTTCCTAATGTCAGCTTGAACAGCAGCCAGGCTGTGTTTTGTGTCTCAGCACGCGTTTGATCTTGTGTGTGTGTGTGTGTGTGTGTTGTAAGACAAAACTATCATAATAAATACATTAAAAAAGCTTTATATCTTAAATAAATGTTGTTCTTTTGAACTTTTTGAACACACACAATGTAAAAATATTGACTTGCTGTTACAAATAAGTATTAAACCAGATCTAAATGTACGAAAGATGCCAAGCATCTCTAAATAGTTTTGAATTGCAATGAATCACTGAGTCAGACCATCTAAAGTGATTCGTGAATTCAACTTGCCAATTAAAATGTCATATCTTATATCTACAACAATCTGAACAAGCTGACGAGTAACGTCAAGAAAGTCAAGAATGAATTGTGAAATTAGTACAATGACATGCTCTTCTCTTGGAAACTTGACCTAATAAAAAAAAAAAAATGAAATAAATCAAGATATTCACAATTACTGTATATTTAGATGGCCATCCAAATGTATTACATTTGCTATTGATCAGCCAGAAGTCACTGCTCCCTGTGTTCCCCTCAATATCTCTCTTATTTTATCTTCTCCATCTCGCACTAATAAAGGCAAACGCCCAAAAATACTCCCGCTAGCTCAGATCGGGTTTCTTGCAAGAGAAAACCAGCTCTCGGCAGTCTAACCTGGTCGACCTGCTAGTCCATCTAAACCAGACGTTTATACCTTCATCCTCCAGCAGTCGCACTGTATCTCAGCAGCGGGAGAGACGAGCCCTATGGATATCTGGAAATGACCCATTAACACTAGAGAAAACAGAGACAGAGAGCGCAAGAACAGACACGCCGACCAATTCAATGAAGAGAGAGCCGCGCGTTCACCGCCATCAGATCTACTTACACCAATACTTTCCATTTAAACGTTCGGCTTTCTATTTCCTGCTTCCGAACTTCCTCTCTTCACTCTACTGTACAACTTTACGCACACACACTTCTAAACTAATGAATACTGGTAAATGTTAAAACAGTATAGTTGCATTCTTATATTTATATCACTATTTTTACAGTAACGGTATTTAAAAACTTCCTTCGCTCTACAGTAAAATCTCTCTCACACACACTTTTAAACATTTCTCTGTGTTTCTACAGAGCCCCTAAAGTTGACACGGTGATGGAAAAAAATTGATGGGAGGAATTTTCCTCAGGGGGACGCAAAGTTTTTCTGGGAATGCTAAAGGTTTTTGCGAGCGAATGCAGTTTCCCGGTGAACGCAATACAAAGTTTCTCGTCGTACGCAAGCGAGTTTTTGCAAGTGAACGCAAAGTTCAACGGCTAACGCAAAGGTTTTGGCAAGCGAACGCAAAGTTTATCAGCTAACGCAAAAGTTTATGCAAGCGAATGAAGAGTTTCTCGGATAACACAATACAAAGTTTCTCAGCGAACGCAAGAGTTTTTGCAAGAGAACGTAAAGTTTATCGGCTAACCCAATAGTTTTTGCAAGCGAACGCAAAGTTTATCGGCTAATGCAAGAGTTTTTACAAGTGAACGCACAGTTTATCAACTAACGCAAAAGTTTTTGCAAGCGAACACAAAGTTTATCGGCTAACGTGAAAGTTTTTGCGAGCGAATGAAGAGTTTCTCGGCAAACGCAATAAATAGTTTCTCAGCGAACGCAAGAGTTTTTGCAAGCGAACGCAAAGTTTATCGGCTAACGCAAGAGTTTTTACAAGTGAACGCACAGTTTATCAGCTAACGCAAAAGGTTTGCAAGCGAACGCAAAGTTTAGCGGCTAACGCAAAGTTTATCAGCTAACGCGAAGTTATCGGCTAACGCAAGAGTTTTTGCAAGCGAACGCAAAGTTTATCGGCTAACGCAAAGTTATCGGCTAGCGCAAGAGTTTTTGCAGCGAACACAAAGTTTATCGGCGAACGCAAGAGTTTTTGTAAGCGAACGCAAAGTTTATCGGCGAACGCAAGAGTTTTTGCAAGCGAACACAAAGTTTATCGGCTAACGTGAAAGTTTTTGCGAGCGAATGAAGAGTTTCTCGGCGAACGCAATAAATAGTTTCTCAGCGAACGCAAGAGTTTTTGCAAGCGAACGCAAAGTTTATCGGCTAACGCAAGAGTTTTTACAAGTGAACGCACAGTTTATCAGCTAACGCAAAAGGTTTGCAAGCGAACGCAAAGTTTAGCGGCTAACGCAAAGTTTATCAGCTAACGCGAAGTTATCGGCTAACGCAAGAGTTTTTGCAAGCGAACGCAAAGTTTATCGGCTAACGCAAAGTTATCGGCTAGCGCAAGAGTTTTTGCAGTGAACACAAAGTTTATCGGCGAACGCTAGCGTTTTTGCAAGCGAACGCAAATTTTAGCAGCTAACGCAAGAGTTTTTGTAAGCGAACGCAAAGTTTAGCGGCGAACGCAAGAGTTTTTTTAAGTGAACGCAAAATTTATCGGCTAACGCAAGAGTTTTTTTAAGTGAATGCAGTTTATCAGCTTTAGGGGTCATGGTATGTTCCTCTCTTGTAAGTTCCAATAAGAACATGCACTATTTCATTTATTTAAAAGTCTTCAGTTGCAATGCAGTGGCCTACATGAGAGCCAATCATATTTTATAGCTCAAATAATAACATTAATATACACACAAATGGCTATTTAATGCCTGTCAAAATTTTTATGACTTTCACGGCTGCTTTCCTCCTCCATCACTCTTTCTCTGTGTTTATTTTCAATCTACATTGACGTTTGACACAGTCTCAGTTTCATATTAATAGTAAAATATGCACACTGGCAGATCCGTGTTTCCGTAGAAACAGAAATATAATCGGCAGGAAAACAAACAGTCAAAAGACTCTGTTTGCAGAAGAACTCTATATAAACATCGATTTAAAACTGGATATAATTATTAAAGACTGTTTCTTTGGGCATGAAAGTTGATTTTTCTTTAAAAGCCAAAACAGTAACGGAAGTATCACTTTACGTAAAGAGTAATACAAAACATAGTAAATCATGGCTGTGTGATTATTTATACTTCACAAAAATGTAAACTGTATTAGAGCAAAGCTCTCTATATAAAGTTGGATATATAATACATCAAACTTGATCTGCAATCATAAAGTATACTCACAAAGTAATCTATAATATATAGCAAATCTCAACTGATTTATTATTTATATTATCATATAATATACCTACAGCAGTCAACATTTGAAGTGGATCAAAAAACATTTTATCAAAGTTATACATGATTTTGACCAATACCCAGTCTTGTCTTTGGACTTTTTTGATCCACTTCATAAGTGTACTACTAAATGCGACTATAAGGCAAGAAGATATTGATGTTGTAAACATAAACATCATGATTTCACAAAATAAAGGGAAAGTGTGCAACAAACTTTTTGAAAGCGCAAAGATTACAAACGATTAACTCTGAATATTAAACTGGGATGCCTCCAAATAACACACTGCAGCTACTCTGAGGTTAAGAGGTCAAAGGTGAAGGTGAAGAGGTGAGCGTATACCTTGAGCTCTTGAGCTCTCTTCTGCAGTCAGCACTGCCGCACATGTTGACAGGAGGAAGACGAGGAATCTCCTGTGGAAAAACAACAACAAAGACTTTATTTTTATTTATTTTTCCGTTCCTAGTACTCTTGTATCACAATCAGTTCCTCTTGCAGCATCTCTTCTCTCCTCTGATGACGAGGGCGGGGCTATAACCTGTCACTCAGCCAATAGAAAACCACAACCATCCAATCAATTCCCCATAAATCTCATGAGAAATGAAACCAAACAAAGCGTTTAATGTCTGTGAGGGAAAGGGATAACTGCTTAGAGACTACAGGTCTTTAAGTGACTGTTCTATTCAGAACCATATTGTCCTGAAGAACCGTTTTATGCTAAAATGGTTCTTTAATAATGAGATGACTTTGAATACTTTTGACAGTTACAGATTTAGACAGAAACAAAACAAAAAAGATAAGAACAGTTAAAATACTGTTGACAGTTTCAGATTTAAAAAACAAAAGGCGGGAATAGTGAAAATACTGTTGAAAGTTACAAATTTTAAAAACAAAAAGGCAGGAACAGTGAAAATACTGCTGACCGTTACAAATTTAAAAAACAAAAAGGCGGGAAGAGGAAAAATACTGTTGACAGTTATAAATTTAAATTAAAGCTGCAAGCAGCGATGGGCGGGCCCTCGCACCTGTAGCACGTCTGGGTCTGAGGCGGCCGCGTTTCATTTTCTGCAGCTCAGCCAGTGCGGCTGTGCATTTGCCACACTGCTTCGTTAAAGGCCACTTCCTGTTGCCAGCAGGTGGCGCTATGACTGTGGGTGAATGTCGGCATGTAGATTTGATCAGGGCGGGACTCTTGTCAAATGTGTTAAATTTCGTGCAGATCTGGGCATTTACAGCCAAGTTACTACAACTTCCTGTTTCATGGCGAATCATCGACGCCACGGACACGCCCATCGACGAAAACGCGCAGATAGCACAACTTTTCATCGTCAATGCCTTTAGAAGGCACAGCAGAAATTTGAAGGCGATCCGACTAACTCCCTAGGAGGAGTTAGTTAAAGTACGTAATGAGTAAATCATCCAAAAATGGCGGTGAAATTAGAAATGGCCGACTTCCTGTTGAGTTTAGGGCATCGCTCCAAGAGACTTTTCTGTGCGGCTGGACATGGTAGATGTACCACTGAAATTTCATACAGGTCGGTCAAACATGCGACGGGGGCTGCTTCGTTAAAGGCCACTTCCTGTTGCCAGCAGGTGGCGCTATGACTGTGGGTGAATTTCTGAATGTAGATTTTTTCAGGGCTGGACTCTTGTCAAATGTGTAAAATTTTGTGCAGATCTAGGCATTTACAGCCAAGTTACTACAACTTCCTGTTTCATGGCGAATCATCGACGCCACACACACACCCATTGACGAAAACGCGCAGATAGCACAACTTTACATCGTCAATGCCTTTGGAAGGCACAGCAGAAATGTGAAGTCAATCCGACGAAAGCCCTAGGAGGAGTTCGTTAAAGTACGTAATGAGTAAATCATCCAAAAATGGCGGTAAAATTCGAAATGGCCGACTTCCTGTTGAGTTTAGGGCATCGCTCCAAGAGACTTTTCAGTGCGTCTGGACATGGTAGATGTGCCACAGAAATTTCGTACATGTCGGTCAAACATGCGACAGGGGGCTGCTTCGTTAAAGGTCACTTCCTGTTGCCAGCAGGTGGCGCTATTACTGTGGGTGAATGACAGCATGTAGATTTGTTCAGGGCGGGACTCTTGTCAAATGTGTAAAATTTCGTGCAGATCTGGGCATTTACAGCCAAGTTACTACAACTTCCTGTTTCATGGCGAATCATCGACGCCACGGACACGCCCATCGACGAAAACACGCAGATAGCACAACTTTACATCGTCAATGCCTTTAGAAGGTACAGCAGAAATGTGAATTTGATCCGACTAATTCCCTAGGAGGAGTTCGTTAAAGTACGGAGTGTGTAAATCGTCCCAAATCGGTCGCCAAATTCAAAATGGCGGACTTCCTGTCGAGTTTAGGGTATGGGTTCTTGAGGCTTTTTTGTACGTCTGGTCATGCTAGATGTACCACAGAAATTTCGTACATGTCGGTCAAACATATGGCGGGGGCTGCTACGTTAAAGGTCACTTCCTGTTGCCAGCAGGTGGCGCTATGACTTAGGGTGAATGTCGGCATGTAGATTTGTTCAGGGCGGGACTCTTGTCAAATGTGTAAAATTTCGTGCAGGTCTGGGCATTTACAGCCAAGTTATTACAACTTCCTGTTTCATGGCGAATCTTCGACGCCACGGACACGCCCATCGACGAAAACGCGCAGATAGCACAACTTTACATCGTCAATGCCTTTAGAAGGCACAGCAGAAATTTTAAGTCCATCCGACTAAATCCCTAGGAGGAGTTCGTTAAAGTACGGAGTCTGTAAATCGTCCAAAAATGGCCGCCAAATTCAAAATGGCGGACATCCTGTCGAGTTTAGGGTATGGGTTCTTGAGGCTTTTTTGTGCGTCTTGATATGATACACGTCCCCACCAAATTTCGTGCATGTAGGTTGAACGTGGACGAGGGGCTAATTTTTTTCAATTTTCTAGGTGGCGCTATCGTGCCATTTTGCCCCGCCCATCCGCGAAACCCACAAAATACGAAATTTTTCACCAGTCCTGACATGCGTGCCAAATTTGGTGAGTTTTTGAGCATGTTGCGGCCCCGAAAATGGCACTTACTTTGCAGAAAAAAGAAAAAAAAAAAAAAAAAAAAAAAAAAAAATAATCCTAACAGTTTCAATAGGGACCTCGCACTGTTAGTGCTCGGGCCCTAAAAACAAAAAGGCGGGAACAGTGAAAATACTGTTGACAGTTACTGTATAAGAAAATAATGTTGCCGTCACGGATTTAAAAAACAAAAAGGCGGGAAACTTTTTAAAAAAACTTCTTTTTTTTTATCTGACTGTAACTGTCAAAAGTATTTTAGTATTATAGTACTTAACATGCTAAAGTGGCCACAAGTTTAAGGAACTGAGGATTCGCTGGCTAAGCAATATCATCTTCATACAGGACTGACGGTGGGTTATATAATCCTCCCAGAGAAGAATGTGGAGTCAGAGAATCCATCGTTCATCCTGTCACAGTGTTGAGATACTTTTGCTCGTAACCCATACACCAGCGGGCCTGAGGGAAGTCTATCTGGAAATCATATTTGACTAACTCTATCCCTGAGAGCTTCCAGCCTTCACCTGATCTAACATACACCTTTAAACCACTTTCTCTTTAAACGAGCAAAGTGGCTCTTTTCTACATTTGAACCTCTCGGCTACAGTGGATTACTCTTAAAAACCAAGCCTTGGCCACTTTCCATGATGAATTGCTTGTAATGTTCCTCATTTGTGAGGTACTTTGAAAAAAAAAACATTTGAAAAATGTTCTCAGGAACATTTTTAAGGAAAATACATGCATTTATATCAAAGTTTCAATCTGCGAAAATGCAGACGGAATCACAAAATTCAGTCATAAAACTGGAATTTTCTGTATAATACGCAATGTCACGGAATTTGGCTGAAAAGTAGGGCTACGGACTATAGAGTCTGGGAATATTAAAGCTCAAAAAAGACAGCTATTTAAATAGATTTGCACACAAACTCACAGCTCTTCACAGCAACACGCCAAAATAAAAGTTCAGAAAACTATCGGTAGATCCACACACACAAACTCACAGCTCTTCACAGCAACACACCAAAATAAAAGTTCAGAAAACTATTGATAGATCCACACACACACAAACTCACAGCTCTTCACTGCAACACGCCAAAATAAAAGTTCAGAAAACTATCGGTAGATCCACACACAAACTCAGAGCTCTTCACTGCAACACGCCAAAATAAAAGTTCAGAAAACTATCGGTAGATCCACACACACACAAACTCACAGCTCTTCACAGCAACACGCCAAAATAAAAGTTCAGAAAACTATTGAAGATCCACACACACAAACTCAGAGCTCTTCACTGCAACACGCCAAAATAAAAGTTCAGAAAACTATCGGTAGATCCACACACACACAAACTCACAGCTCTTCACAGCAACACGCCAAAATAAAAGTTCAGAAAACTATTGAAGATCCACACACACAAACTCACAGCTCTTCACTGCAACACGCCAAAATAAAAGTTCAGAAAACTATCGGTAGATCCACACACACAAACTCACAGCACTTCACAGCAACACGCCAAAATAAAAGTTCAGAAAACTATTGAAGATCCACACACACAAACTCAGAGCTCTTCACTGCAACACGCCAAAATAAAAGTTCAGAAAACTATCGGTAGATCCACACACACAAACTCACAGCTCTTCACAGCAACACGCCAAAATAAAAGTTCAGAAAACTATTGGTAGATCCACACACACACACAAACTCACAGCTCTTCACAGCAACACGCCAAAATAAAAGTTCAGAAAACTATTGAAGATCCACACACACAAACTCACAGCTCTTCACTGCAACACGCCAAAATAAAAGTTCAGAAAACTATTGGTAGATCCACAAACTCAGAGCTCTTCACTGCAACACGCCAAAATAAAAGTTCAGAAAACTATTGATGGATCCACACACACAAACTCACAGCTCTTCACAGCAACACGCCAAAATAAAAGTTCAGAAAACTATCGGTAGACCACACACACACAAACTCACAGCTCTTCACAGCAACACGCCAAAATAAAAGTTCAGAAAACTATCGGTAGATCCACACCATGATCCACACACACAAACTCACAGCTCTTCACGGCAACACGTCAAAATAAAAGTGTGGTTTAACCTTAAAGAATTGCCTAAATCATAAAACAGAATCCAGACAAAATAAAACATTTCATAGGCTCTAAAATTTAACAAATTGTGTTAGATAGTTTTGTTTAATAATTGATTTGAGAAAAATTTGGGGAAAATGAAATGTAACAATTAAATCATTTTGAAAGACATTTTAATAAAATCAATTGATTAGACATCCTTTTTGATTTTTTTTTTAATTTAATAAAACCATTAAAAATAAAATTCAGAAAGATTCAAGTAGATTCTAGTTGTAACTGCTGATTTGATTGGTCAGCCTGATTACTTGGTCAAACGCATCTGTTTTCCCACAGTTCTGTTAACGCAGGGTGCCGCTCGAGAGGACGGTGTGACATTCCAGTCGAAGAAAAGAAAACACAACACAGCGGAAGAAAGAAACAGAGGAGGCTGAATCTAAACAAGTTTGAGGCGACTTTGTCAATGTGGATAAAAAGCAACTGTATGATTTACAGGAACATCTCAAATTGGTCTTAACAATCCAGAACATTATGATCAATCCAAAGCAACCATTGTAAAGTTGCACTTCTATACCTCTATCTTCTGCTTTGGCTTTCGCATCGGCTTTACAACTTTACAAATCAGGAAGTCACTCAGAAATGTCTCAGCCAATGGGCTTGTAAGGGGTGTGGCTAATGCAGATTCCCACCGCTTGCATAACCACGGCTCGTATCAGCCGGTGCCAGAGCGAAGGCCGTGTTCTCAGCATACAGAGCAGATGCTGGCGTATTCGACATCGCTCGCTCACTGATCCACTGCCAATCCTCCATCCCGCTGGCGTTGGTTTCTCACACCTGCAGCCAGACACCGACGCGCTGTTCGGGTCATGATGGACTATGCTGATGAAGAACGACAGGCTCCCCATGTCAAACTCACGTTCTCTCTCTTCACACAAGCTTGGATCAAGAACAAGTGGAACTGAAGTAATAAACTCAGAACTGAACTTCATAAACTCAGAGCCTAATTCGAACAACACAACAAATAAGGTCATTTCCATGGTCAATATTACAAAATAAATCCCATCAGAATGATGGAAAACCCTTCATATCGGGGTCCTAAATCACCCTGCTGGGTTTATTTTCACAGTAAAGATCAGCGCTTCTCTTCTACTGTGCGTCTACTGTATATAACGATATGCTGAATGCTAGCACATGTCTGAACACTGACTCTTTCTTTGAATCTAGTGTTGATCTGGTTCCAGGTTGGAGGATGCGCAGCGGCACTGAATAAATGCATCAAACGTGCTCCAACACTCATCTAGCAAATGCAAAATATGCATGAATAAGTACAGTAATGACAAAAAAAAAGTATTTTTAAGACCAAATCAAACCAATTACATTGGATTCAAGCTCATGAAAGTCATTTTTAGTTGTCAGATCAGGGTTTGCACACTTATTGGTTTCCAATATAGCTAATGAATGCATTGAAGGTGCATCAATCCACATTTAACAAATGCAAACTATGCATGAATAATTGACTGCGGTAAAGACAAAAAATGTGCTTTTTATGAATGAATCAAATCGAATGCATTGGTTGGTTTCAAGCTTACAAAAGTCATTTTTAGCTGTCAAATCAGGGTTTACACACTTTTGTGTAATGATTTGGCTCCTGGTTGGGGGATGAATGAATGTATTCCCATGCATCAACGCTCATTTATCAAATTCACACTCTATGCATGAATAAGTAATTGCGGTAATGACAAAAATGGTATTTATTATGACCAAATCAAACAGACTGCATTGGGTTCAAGCTCATGAAAGTCATTTTAGCTGTCAAGACCAGGTTTCCAGACTTTTTGACCAATTAATTGGATCCAGGTTGGAGGATGAATGAGTGCATTAAACATGTGCATCAACACTCATCCAGCTAATGCAAACTATGCATGAATAACCAACTGCGGTAATAAGAAAGAAAGTATTTATTCAAGATCATTAACGCCATTTTTAGTCGTCAAGTCACAGTCTGCACACTTTTCATACAATGAATTGGTTCTAGATTGAATGAATACATTAAATGTGCATCAACGCACACTTAACAAATGCAAACTCTGCATGAAGTGCGGTAATGATAAAAATAGTATTTATTATGTCCGAACTGTTCAAGCTCATTAAAGTCAAAGTTTGCACACTTTTTGCCCAATTAATTGGTTCCAGATTGGATGGTCATTTAACAAATACAAACTATGCATTAATAAGTGACTGCGGTAATGTCAAAAACAACATTTATTACGACCGAATCAAACAGACTGCATTGGGTTCAAGCTCATGAGTTTTCCAGCTATTGATGATAAGACATGACATAAACAATTACACTGGATATGGCATGCAAACGTATCCAATGATGTTGATGAAATGTTTGAGAAATGCAAGGCCTTTAAATATTTCCATGACTTATTTCTCCAGATATTTCCATGACGGTCAGGTAGAAACGCCTTCAGAAATGCAGAGCTCATCCAAACATGAACTTCATTCCAAACCTGAGTGACTTTCTTTCTTCTGGGGAAATCTAAAACACTGAGACATCTTTTTCCACAGTAGAAACGAGGCACGAGGACGAGTGAAGGATAACAGAACAATCATTTTTGCATGGAAACCCATTTTCACAGCGCAACAACACAAAGCCCCTAAACAACATTTAACTGGATTCTGGGTGTAATATGATAAGCAAGATCGCAGTCAGGTGCATGTGTGGATTTGTTGGGATTTCATTGAGTCTAGTCCAGATGTTAGAGGTCAATGCTCATCTCCATGAGGAATGTTGCTGCTCTGGTGTGTCGGGTTGGAGACCTGAACTAACAGCACAGTAAAACACACTCGTACTGCACTGTCACTTCAGCCAAATCTACACTTTCCTGAACAGACGGCCAGCTACAGATGAAAAATGCACGCAAATAAACCAGTAAATCACAAAGCCTCCTCGTCTGGTGCAAATTTGCTACAAAGGCAGGAGGAATTTAACCCCGGATCGACATATGGAAAATTCAGCAGCAGACTGATCTGTGATCATTATTAAGCCTATGTCATAACTCAATCTGGTGGCAGAGAAGTTGGAGATCAAAACCTCAAAACACATTTGATTTATCAAGGAAAGTCTACAATGTGCACGATTTCAATTTTCGTTTATAACACGCATGTGTTCGCGTTCGCTCCTGATTTTACTTTAAAATGTTGTGACGCGCTCGAGATTAGAGTTAGTAAGCAAGTTAGTTAGTTAGTTAGTTAGTTAGTTACTCACGTTGTAGTTGTGGGAGAAACGTGTCCACTCCTTGTCCGTTGAGCTCCTAAATGCATTTGTATGCATTTGTCCAAGCAGCAGTTTTCAACGCGAAAACAGAATCGCACAGCAGAAGACACCACCGGCTCATGAGACCAGATCCAGCCTGATCACATCACAGTCCGAGTCCGCGTCCGCGCGTGGAGAGCTTCGGTTCTGCGGTCAGAGCGCGCTACTGGAGGAGGACAGGGGGTGTCTGAGGGAGCAGATCAGAAGATCCGTATTAAACCTGGAAGAGAGAGAGAGAGAGAGAGAGAGAGAGAGAGAGAGAGAGAGAGAGAGAGAGAGAGAGAGAGAGAGAGAGAGAGAGAGAGAGAGAGAGAGAGAGAGGGGGGGGGGGGGGGGGCGCTCCGGGCTCTATGTGTCTGGACTCGCTCGGTTCGGCGCATCTCCAGGTCGGTGTTGTATTTCGCTCATGACTGCGTGACATCATCCATAGCCTAATATCTGTCCGCTCATTTATTTGAAAATGTAAAAAATTGAAAAAGAATAATTGAAGAACAATCAAAACAAACACACAATGTTTCGAGTACAGTAGGCTATAGGTAAACACAATAAGAATACTTTTAAGAGTGTAGTGTAGCCTACAGGATTTTTGTTTCTTCGAGGGCAATATTGACTCATAATGTTTCACTTCATTTTTAAATGCAATGAAACAGGGAGTCTTCCCTGAACATGTACAGTTCTGAAATAAGTCCGTCATCTAGGGTGAATTAAAGGAGTAGTTCACTTTTAAAAAAAACTTTTGCTGATAATTTACTCACCCCCGTGTCATCCAAGATGTCCATGTCTTTCTTTCTTCACTCGAAAAGAAATTAAGGTTTTTGATGAAAACATTCCAGGATTTTCTCCATATAATGGACTTCAATGGGAACCAAACGGTTCAAGGTCCTTCAGTGCAAACTGTTCAAAGGGCTTTAAACGACACCAGACGATGAATAAGGCTCTTATCAAGTGAAACGGTCGCTCATTTAATAAATAAATAACAAAGTTTAAGTTTTATAAGCTCAAATGCTCGCCTTGCTCTGTTCGTGACTCAACTGTTCGAACTCGAACAAATCAAAATGAACGAATCTTTTTCAATCTGAGTCATTTTGTTTGTTCAACGAACTCTGAAGTTTGTAATTCATAGATTTGTTGGTGTGAGTGATGAACAGTGTTCCAAGATGGCCGACACATCTGTAGTGGTCGAATGTGTTATCTATATCCTCTGTCTTGACTATCAGATCCTAAAGTGTCATAGTCAGAACACACGAGCTCATGCACTATGACATTTGACCTTCTGTTTGACCTCACTGCAACCCAACGTTACTGGATTTAGCCTGAACACAAAAATAGTGAACAACTAAACCAGCTTCACACGCGTTTCAATCACGGACACGTTGAAAGATGGTATACAGGGGCTGTTCACACCACTATGTTCATGCAGTACAAATAAATATAGATGGAGCAGCGCAGAACGGAAAAATATCCCAAGATGCATTCCAACTTTTAAGGTTATTTGTTCATCTCTCAATTAAATTGCATCAGAGCTTTGATCATAAAACTAAGCATTTAAATATCAATTATACTGATGTTTATATGCATTTTATGTCGGCTCTGCTACTGCATCTCATTGATTTATGTTACTAACTTATTATTGCTCAGTTTGGGCCACTGAATAAAACTGAAATCAAAGAGCAATTACAAAACAGGTCTATTGAATGAACATGCTTTATGAAACTACACCTGAATTAAGCGGTGACTGTGTTTTTTGTGCTGGCTGTCACAGTCAGTTTTGTGCAAACAGGATAATGGGTCTCAAAATGCCAGCAAAATGACCCATTAACCCAGGGCAAACACGCGCCAGTGAAGCGCAGGTCATCATATGTTGTGTTTGGGTTAAAGCAGCACACGGGAGAGCGCCAGCTTTCCGGGTTCAAATCCCAGCTGGCGATCATTTGATGTCCCAAAATGGCAGCGATGCAAAAACCCAACGCAAGTCTGAGTGTCTAAAACTGACGCAGTGCTGCTTTCAAACCATAAACCTTCCCGCACGGATCACTGCTGGTGGGAGACGGGAAACCAGACTTCCTCCCGAGAGGAAAGTAATGGATTGAGCGCGTGCAGAAGCGTGGCCTGATGACAAACCCAGAGTCCTCTGCATCACCATCACAACAAAAACCCGGGGCCGGATTCACCAAAGTCGTCTGAGGAAAGAAGTTAAAGGGTTAGTTCACCCAAAAATGAAAATTAAGTCATTAATTACTCACCCCATGCTGTACCAACCCCGTAATACCTTCGTTCGTCTTCGGAACACAAATGAAGATATTTTTGATTAAATTTGAGAGGTGGATCACTACCACATCACAAACTTGACGGCCCAGAAAGTCTCTGAAAAAAATGTTTAAATATTCCATGTGACAACAGTGGCTCAACTATAAGTTTATCAATCGACGAGAAAATACTTTTTGAGCGAAAAAAAAAAAAACTAAAAACTTTATTCGACTATTCCTTTTCTTCCTTGTTGGCCTGAAACGAGAATTCAAGAGATTTCCACGACGCATGCGCGAGAACTGAACTGAAGTAGTTGAAGGAGATCGCAATTCTCGCGCATGCGTCGTGGAAATCTCTTGAAGTCTCGTCTCAGGCCTACAAGGAACAAAAGGAATAGTCGAATAAAGTATAAAAGTAATTGTATAATTACTTTTTTTATTTTTTTTTCTTGAAGAAGAAAATGACAGACTTTGGTGTTACTATATCTGATTGTACTGTGGTACTTGTGTGTGTGTATGTTTAAAGATCTGTTAGCAGTTTTCACCCACAGGAAAGCACAACTACATCTGTTAGTATTGCAAACATTCATACAAACAAGAGTTCAACTCTTCTTTCCAGGGATAAATCACTAGAATAAGAAAACCGACCGCTGGCAGTAGATCTTTTCACTATTCATCACCTAAACTCTGGAAAGACAGACACACTGTCTCTTGAAATCTAGACTGAAAACACATATCTTTAACCTGGCATACACAGTACACATTATCAATTTCTATTATTCAAATCAGTTAAATGGTTGTTAGGCTGCATGAACTAGTTCAGCCGGTATCGGGAACACTTCCTATAACACCTGATGTACTCGCTACATCGTAAGAAAAATGGTATCCAAAATGTTATTCTTTCTGCTTTTCTGAGGTTTGCTGTAATCAGCCGCATCCGGGCCGTATCCAGACCAGACGGAGGACCTGCGCCTAGACATGACCACAACGCACGATGAAGTCAGCCGCATCCGGCACCTTTAAAAGCACCTTTGCAAATTGATATAATGCTGCAAAAAAATATTATTTTGTGATTTTTTTGGCTTTCTGAAAGGATAGAATGACCCGCCGCTGGAAACTTTGCACATGGTCGAGTGTGCCGTCCCACTGACGTAAACATCTCAAAAGTGCCTGTTCCTTTGAACTCAAAGTGGAATAATAAAGGTCCCATTCATAATGACCCCAGATGTGTATTAATCAGTCCGGCATGGATGCTGCTATGGAATGACACACTGAAGCCATTACTGTCCGGGCTCTCCTGCCGCATCGGGAACATATGGGGATCCCGGCGCTGGCTTTCCATTACAGATTCCAGTAATGGTGCTGTTAGGAAGAAAGCATTTGATACTGGTAAACATTGAGGAACATGCTGGAATTATGTGAAGAACTCTGTGACACTTTACAATAAGTTCCCATTTGTTAACATTACTTAATGCATTGAAGTCGGCGTGAAACGGAAGTTATGATTGTCTTTTCTTCAAAAAATTGTAAAAAAAAAAATGTAGGGAGGGCCTTGAATAATTCGATAAAGTTGAATAATGCCCACCTTTGGTCTTGATTGGCTGAACAGCATCCCTTAGCCCTGTCCTCAAACACTGTAGTGCATCTGAGACTGGGACAGTTGGACCAATCACAGTGGACTGGACCATCTGACCTATCACAGTGGACTGGACCATCTGACCTATCACAGTGGACTGGACCATCTGACCTATCACAGTAGACTGGACCATCTGACCAATCACAGTAGACTAGGTCATCTGACCAATCACAGTAGACTGGGTCATCTGATCAATCACAGTAGAGTAGGTCATCTGACCAATCACAGTAGACTGGATTCTCCAACCAATCACAGTAGACTGGGTCATCTGACCTATCAGAGTAGACTGAACCATCTGACCAATCACAGTATACTGGGTCATCTGACCAATCACAGTGGACTGGACCATCTGACCATCACAGTAGACTGGACCATCTGACCAATCACAGTAGACTAGGTCATCTGACCAATCACAGTATACTGGGTCATCTGACCTATTAGAGTAGACTGGACCATCTGACCAATCACAGTAGACTGGGTCATCTGACCAATCACAGTATACTGGGTCATCTGACCTATTAGAGTAGACTGGACCATCTGACAAATCACAGTAGACTGGGTCATCTGACCAATCACAGTACACTGGGTCATCTGACCAATCACAGTATACTGGGTCATCTGACCAATCACAGTAGACTGGGTCACCTGACAAATCACAGTAGACTGGGTCATCTGACCAATCACAGTAGACTGGGTCATCTGACCAATCACCGGCCGCAGACTGGACCATCTGACCAATCACAGTAGACTGGGTCATCTGACCAATCAGAGCAGAGTAGAAATTCAGAAAGGTGGTGTTTAGAGTGAGCCGTTTTCAAGTATTTGGCAAAAAAGCTGATGTGTGATGTTTATTATGAGAAAATTAAAGTGTTTTTGACCTTAGATGCATGAACTATAGAAGATTAGGAACCTTTAAAATATCAGAATGGGGCACTTTAACGAAAGCTAATGTGACCGTGAACTCTGTAGGAAAATCCAGATTTTGAACTTGTCTCTCGCTGGTTTATGCTGGTCTGTGTCCCGAATCCCAGCTGGCAGATTAATCGGAGTTTTCCAACAGCAAAAGCTTGATGCAAGCAGAATTAAGCGTGATGTTTGTTTACATGTCATGGTTATAAATCGCTGTGATGTGAGTAATGAGTCCAGAGCTGTTTTCCTTCAGGTCTGTTCTTCACATAACCGCACCATGATGAGAACTGCAGAGGGCCAACTTCCTCTGAGCAAGAGGTGTCTCAGCAAAACCCGTTTCCTTTTGTTACAGTTTGAGACGGCATACAGCCAGACTCATCCCAGCACGCTGAAAGAGACGAGAATAGAGATGATGAGATACAGATGAAAGAGGAATTGGATACAAACTACTTTTTGAACATTTACTGACCCTCATTGTGGCTCATTAAACCCCTGTGACTTTCTAATGTTGAGCACAATGCCTTACGCTGCTTATTTTCGTACATTGGAAGTGACTTTTACTGTCAAGCTTCAGAAAGTGCCAGAAAAGTATCAAAAAGCACTATACGTGTATCGTTAGGGTTGGACAGTAACAGTTCTGTTTGTGCTAATTACACACACAAGAATTAAACAGATCAAATTATAGTGATGTATGTGAGAACAAACCCTGAGTCAGACTTACATAAACCGCAGATGTTTCTCGCTAACGTTGCACAACACATTGTTTGTGTAATTAGTTCTGTTGAAATGATTACTGAATGCAGAAATGTGTTTGTGTAGAGATGTTTCAGATTAAATGATCAAAAAATGAGTATTGAGTATGAATATTGCAATGAACATATTGCCAAATATAGTGGGCTATCCGTAGGCTTTTTTATTTTGCGGCCAGTGTGGTCTAGCAACTCTCCGTTGGCTTGCGAGCTGGAAAAACCAAACTCTAGGCCAATCACATCGTCTATAGAGTCGGTGGGCGGGCTTAACATAGCAACGGCCGAGTTGCGACGGTTTCGTGTGGATTCCCTACTTGAAAACTACTTAATTACTACTTAAAAACAAAGAAGCTGCCGGCGAACAGCGGTCTTTCAAATCGGCTTTGGCAACATTGGAAGACTTGGAGACTTTCATTGAGAAAAGAACAAAGAACGGCACTGAAGTCCGTCGCTATGACTACGTCGCCTTCGTTGCTCTGGTTGGTTGTAGCCGTGTTTCCCGCCCCTCGGATTGAGCCCTGCCAATGGTGTGTTCCCAGACCCATCGTCTTAACGTGAGTCCGGCTCGTCAGGCTAGCACATACGGGTATTAGAGAGGAGAATGGAGAAACCCTTGTTGTTAGCGACACCGGTGGCCGTTGAGTGAACTGCAGCAGTAACGCACTGAACGTGATTCTAGACCCAGACAAAGGTCTATTTTGTTTTACACTTAGAAGTAAAACAAAGTTGCAAACATCCGGACGCCGTCCACTGCTGAGAGCGACGGTTACATTAATACATGAATATGTGATGTGCTTTCCTCTCAATAACACAATAAACACACAACAAAAATGACAGAAACCGCAGTTCAGAAAGCATCTAATCTCAGTGATGTGGATATTTGAGATTCATCATCCACAGATGAGCTCTTTATAATATGATAGTGTGATTATGAAGTATATTTGAGACTATAAACTATATAGATCTGACTATGTGAAACTAGATGAATGAATGTGTTTTGTTTGTACGACACATTGACATTACAGCACAGAGCGGCTCTAATGCTGAACATTGTATAAGCATTAGTTTCATGTGTCACTGAACGCAAGAGAGACTCTCGGGAGCGTAAACGACACATGCTTTTCATTTTCCCGGGAAAAACGACACCCGAGTCCTTCATATAAACATCAGGCTTTCAATCTAGGAAAAAGGTTGGGGAAGGTCTCGTGATTTTAAGTTTCGCTACAAGCTGTTCACACACTGGCAATAAGGAAAGCGATTAAGCTTATGCTTATGAGTGGTATGCTTTACTGAACAACGAGGAGGTGAATAGCTAAGAAATGGATCAGAGAGTGTTTTTAAAAAACTAATTCATTCATAAACGTGGGAAAAAGCTTTCTTCGATGCTTCTCATGCACAACTTGTGTGTTAGCTTCAGCCTCGAGGTGTTTAGCAGAAAAGACTGTGATTTATTTTATGTTCATCTTGTTCTAACATTCTCAATTAGTGGTTTGAAACATCGGATCGTGTCTGTGTGCTCAATAAATCACAGCACTGAAGAGAGAGAGAGCGAGAGAGAGAGAGGGAGAGAGAGAGAAAGAGAGAGGATCAGCTTTCTGGAAAAAAAAATTAAAAAAATAAAATAAACACTTATAACCTTGATTTATATTTAGATGGACTTTTGTGTGGATGATGATTATAACATTTCCAGAAAGAAATGAAGATGAAGATCATACCTGCTGCTGATCTCCATTAATACTCTATATTCATTTCATTGTCGAGTCCGGTGAGTTTCCGGCAGACCCTAAAACACAATTGAATGAATGAAAAATGAAAGAAAGTAAATAAACAAATAAATAAATGCATGTGAAAATGACGTAAGTCATGACAACATATGATTTGACAGCTTTAACTCATCAAATCAAGTTAAGCAATTTCCACATTTTATAATGTAGTTATTCGAACTTCAACTTATCAAAGTCAGTTTGATGTAATTTAAGTCGAACATTGATCGAACATTACTGACCAAGTAAACACATAAATGACTGATTAAATGAACAAACAAACAAATAAACGACTAAATTTCTAAACATAAACGAATAAATGAATGAATGACAACTAAAATAAATGACAGACTAAATGATAAATATAAATAAATCATTTACAACAATAAATGACTGACTAAAGGAACAAAAGACTGAAGACAGAAGTAAATACATATTACATATCTAAATAAATGACAACAAAAATAAATGACTTACTAAATAATAAATAAATGGCTAAATAAACAAAAAAACTTGAATGAATGAATGAATAAATGAATGACTTACTAAAATAAATTAATGAATAAACAAACAAACAAATAACAAACACATGACTAAAACAAACAAACAAATAACTAAATAAATAACTAAATAAACAAATGACTGGCTGACTGAATAAATAAACAAAAAATGACTGATTAAACAAACAATTGACGAATAAAACAAACAAACAAAAGACTTAAACAAACAAATCACAACATAAATAAGTAAATACATAAATTACTGGGTCAAGAGAGAGAGAGAGAGAGAGAGATCCATCACAGATGTGTTTGTGCTTTAGGAACATGTTTTCATGTTTTCTGAAGGTCTGGATATTCTCACTGATGGGTTTTCCTTCTTTCCCAGAGAAACTGGTCAAACGTTCGTCCTGGAAGCTCTGGGAAGCGGATCTTGCACTGGTTTTACAGTGATGTGGATTTAAATGCCATTAGTATCTTTTTCCACGAATTCCCAGAAAATCCTGCAAGAGCCAGCCGGAGAACATACAGCTTTCCCTGAAGATCCAGCCGGTAATATACCTGTCATCGGCCAATCAGCTCTCAGCGCCCTGTAAAAGTCAAGAGGAATACAGTTAAAAGCTTCCGAGCTGCTCATTAAACTCACTTATACGACACAACACATCTAGTGAACAATCAGGAGACTCAATCTCAAACTGGACATTACAAAACACACTTTCTGCAGACAGATATTTAACATTTCTCTTTTTGGAAAGGATATATATATATATATATATATATATATATACTATTTAAACTAAATAAATTAGAAAAAGGCTCTTTAAAAATGACCAACTCAAACCTCCTTTTTTTTTTTTTTTTTTTTAAATGCATTTAAAAAATATTTCTTATAAAAATATATTTGAAGTATTGATATTATATTTAAATGTCTTTTAATATATTAAAAATCTTTAATATCTCCAACTAAAAAAAATCTGACTAAAAAAATAAACAAAATAATAATAATAAATAAAAATCTAAAAAATATTTTAAATTTAATATTTAAAATATATGTCTAACTCAAAACTCCTTTTTTAAAATAATAATAAAAATAATGATAAAGATATTTTAAAAAAATATTTCTTATATGAAAATGTAAAAATGCATGTTTAAAAACTATTATACTTCATATTTAAAAAATATACAAAAATGTAACTCTGACCTCCTTTAAAAGCTATATATATATATTTTACAATTTATATTTAATAATTATTTAAATATAATATTTAATATTTCTGTTTTAATATTTAAAAATAAAATACATATTTTAAAATATTTTTTAAATCTTGAAATTCCACATTCACTAATGGATGGCAGTTCGGTCAGAAGTTCAGTGCCGGTCAGATCGGAAAGTTTAAGGAACAAGAAAGTGCTTGAAGACCCAGAACATGTGTGTGTTCTCATGACATGATCTCTCCTCTCCTCATCTGCAAACCATTACAACACCAAAGCATGAAACCCGCTCTCGTAAAGGCCGAGAGTGAACACGCATCAGGGCATTGGGATTGAGACGATGGAAAAAACCCTTTAGATATCCGAGAACTCAAGACACAAACACTGAGAGATGTTCTCCCCATCATTCGTCGTCCATCAATGTCCTGCAATTACTTCACCGATGGCAGACAGAGGAACAGGCAGCTCAAATAATCACAGAATATCTCCCAATCCCGTATTATTAGCATGAAAAGAGACTCGCTGACCTTCCTTTCATGTTCTTCCACGATCTCACGCTCCAGAAGAAAGAAGAGCTTTGGAAACACATCCGCGACATAAAAGTGAAGAGTATTGATGCAGAGTCTCATGGACATCATCTCCCGACGGAGACTGAGGGAACGCTTTATTGCTCAGATGTTTATTGCTGATATATTGTTTATTGCTCAGATGTTTCTGCAGGTCAAGTGGTGGAGCGTGACGTTCGCAACGCCAATGTCAAAGGTTCATTTCCCAGGGAAAATGCACACTAATAAAGGCACTGTAAGTCACTTCGGATGAAGCGCCTGCCAAACGAATCCATGTAAATGTAAATGTAGGCTTCTCTTTCATGAGTTTCAGCTTATCTTTATGCTAGCGAAGCTTTAAAGTCGACCAAATGCACTTTAAACACAGAAAACTGCACTCGTCAAACCGATTTGTGAGGTCACCTTTATCTAGATAGTGCTTTTTAATATACAGATTGTTTCATAAAAGTGAAGTGGGTAATTCCTGGACCAACAATGTTTGTTTTTTAACAAACAAGTTCGCCAAACACCATCACCTCTTATCAGTCATGGGGAACAATGTGTTACAATAACGCGTTACTCCCTAAAAAGGGCTTTTTATAAACAACAACACAACAACAAAATGTTATATTTTTGGGAAATAAAAGCAGAAAAGGTGACATTAATAAGCCTACCCAGGTGAAAAATATGTACTATTAAATGTATTAAAAATGTACTTAAGTATGTTTTTAGTACAATAGTATAATTTAATACAATATAAAAATTCTCGCCTGTAAAGATTTTTGGGATCCGGTAAAAATAAATGCATATTATAAGACAACAAAAGAGTTTTCTGTCATTGCATGCATGTAAAACTGTTCCTAAACAATATTTTAAATGCCATAATAGTTGCTCTTTACTACTGTGAGTTTGCATTTCACTGTTTTTAGGAATTTTGATGAATATTGAATGTGAGATAAAGCGTAAATGGCTCATATTCAAAAGCTTCCGAAACAGTGAGTTGCTGTGAGTTGTTGCTTATCAACACACTAGAAACCATCCATAACACCCTAGCAACTGCCTAGCAACCACCCAGAATACCCTAGCAACCACCTAGCAACACCATAGCAACTACGCAGGACACCCTAACAACCCCCTAGCAACCACCTGAACATGAATAAGCCATATCTCAGCTCCACAATATCGTACAGACATCATTTACACCTGGTTTTAATATTTACGTCTTCAAACCAAACTTCATTCCTCAGCCGACTAAGATTAAATCCCGTCTGGCTCTTTTTATCAGTACCATAGCAACGGACAACTTCCGCTGGAACCGTCCGTAGCTTTTCGGACGAGTTCAAATTTTTGAACGCATCCATATGACCAACGGACACGATTTTCTTCGCATCGCACTCGGTCGGACCCGTTTCGGACCCATTACGCCGCCTTCACACTGGCAGTTGAAATCAGCTCCGATGCGGCTGCGAAACGACCGGAAGTCATTCATTTCCTATGGAGATTCGCAGACCGCATGCGAATGGGTCCGAAACGGGTCCGACCGAGTGCGGTGCGAAGAAAATCGTGTCCGTTGGTCATCCGGATGCGTTCAAAAATTTGAACTCTTGCGAAAAGCTACGGACGGTTCCTCTCCGACAATTCCAGCGGAAGTTGACCGTTGCTATGGTACTGATAAACAAACCTGAATTATTAACTTTTAATAAAATAAATATTGATTTTATAACGATAAGTTGTGATGTCATTTTTTATTTTCATGACTTTCTAACGTTTATAAGGGCAGTTAATACAATTAAATTGAAGGTAGACATTGAACTATTGACCACTATATCACATTTTTTAGCCGACCTGACATGTCAACGTCCTCAGCAACTTTCCTCACGCAGCATAACCCTCATCAGAGAGATCATACAGAACTGACAGAATCAAACTTTAATCTCTCCGCCATTTTTGTTCTACCCGCGTCCGACGCTTTTCACTGTGTAGTACGACGTCCGTTGGGAACGTATTGCGTATTACGGAGCTGATTTCAACTGCCAGTGTGAAGGCGGCGTTACGGTTTGGGTGTCTCCTTAACATCCATAACCACACCCCTCCAACTGACAGCTGCTGTGTGTTTGCGAGCGCCGAGCGAGCATTGATTGACAGCGTCATCCTCCATTTCAGAATGAAACACCCATTTTTCTAGATCCAATCAGGTGCTAGTTGTGGAAAAAAAGCCACGCCCACTATTTTGCCTCATTTAGTATTCCGTTTCTCTCGAAAATACGTCACAACACTGGAGAAAAGTCGTTTGCAACTTCCGGTTCACGGGGACTTTAAAAGAGTATTTTAACGAGTATATAAATGTAGGTTTCTCTTTCATGGCTGGAGAGACGCGACGTCATTGAAGCGTCAACTTTGTACTTGATTTTTCCCCTAAAAATACGTAAAAAAAGGGCAAACAGGAGTCACGGTCAGGGAAATGATAATGACTAATGAGATCTCTGACCTTTTACTGTGAATCTCATGGTGAATCTCTTTTTCTCAAGCCAAGTCTCCATTTGCTTTTGATTTATCCTCACCGCCGTCTACGATGCACAGTAAAGATTGGAGGCATTTTAACGAGGTTTGGGAATTCATAATGCCTTATTAAGAAGAACGAGTGTGGTGGTTTTCTTTGAGTTTGCTTGTTACATTAAGGTCTTTATCATGCTTGTTAACCGTGATTCATAGATGAGCTCCCGAACAGCAGCTCTGAGAAGTCAGATGTTCACTACACTGGAGAAAACAAGAACAGTGTGAGATTAGTCCACGTTGGTCGTCTTGAATCGCCCATTGCTGAAGTGTCACTTCCAAATCCAAAAAGATTTTTCTCCTCAGACAAAGTCACTTACACCCTGTGTCTCCTCTACAGTTCAAGCTCTTCGTTGTGTGGCATCTATTTGGGCTGATGGGGGTTTACGGCACCCTCATTGAAGCAATGAAGTGGCGGTCAAGTTCAGGAAGGTTTCCCATCTTTCATGGAGAAGAAGATCCACCCTAGGAGAGAGTTCACACTCCTCTGTCGGCGCTCACACTTTACTTACAACGACTCGGAGACATTTCACACGTCTACTGAGAAGTGAAGACCGACCCACTTCCACTCTCTCCCGCCAAACTGGGAATCTGAAGAGTGTGTGATGTTGAGTTCTCCTCTATATCAGCGTCAGGGTTTCTGAACTCCTGAAACGCCTCCATTGTAGTCTTGAGTTTCTTCCGGGAACGAACACGTCACAATATTCCTCATTATAATAATTCATACGCAGAATAAAGGGGCGGGGCCTGGTTGAGTTGTGTAAAACTAGTGGTTATGGGAAGGAGTGGGACACTCATTTTTGGCCGAACGATCAATTGTGTTACCGCCAGAGAAACGTGTAGGAAAATGTTCCTTTAAAATGTCAAATCAATGAACAAATGTTGACCAAGTAAAGGGTTAGTTCACCCAAAAATGAAAATTCTATCAGTATTTACTCGCCCTCATGTTGTTCAACCCCGTAAGACCTTCGTTCATCTTCGCAACACAAATTAAGATATTTAAGATATTAAGATCGCTCCATAGGCTTCTTGAGGGAATGACTCGAAAAGTCATTAAAGACATCGTTAAAATAGTCCAAGTGACTACAGTGGCTCAATCTTAACTTTATCAAACGACGAGAACACTACAACAAAAATAACGACTTTATTTCAACTATTCACTTCCTTCTCCATGAGCCTGTAGTCAGTTAACGTAGTGTGATTGCGTAGAGCTACGTCACACGAAGGCTCACTATTGGCCGACGCTGGTCATGTGTGTGATGCGTAGCCTACAATAACAGAAGCTTACGATATTAAACTAGTAACCTGACTCGCGCAGAGGGAGAAATAAACCAATAGTTGAAATAAAGTCCTTATTTTTGTTGTTTTTTTACGCACAAAAGTGTTCTCGTCGTTTGATAAACCTTAGATTGAACCACTGTAGTCACTTGGACTATTTTAACGATGTCTTTAATGACTTTTCGAGTCATTCCCTCAAGAAGCCTATGGAGCGATCTTAATATCTTAAATATCTTAATTTGTGTTGCGAAGATGAACGAAGGTCTTACGGGGTTGAACAACATGAGGGTGAGTAAATACTGACAGAATTTTCATTTTTGGGTGAACTAACTCTTTAATTATACAGCCTGAAGCCTCACTACCACCTGAAGTAAGGCAGATCAATAATATTGTTGAATATTAAATGTCCCCAACTAAGCACGCCAAAAGCCAAGGCGACATTGGCAATGAACCCAAACTCCATCAGGGACAGAATGAAGAATAAAACGTGTGCAAACTCCTCTGTTCTCCTCTGGCCAACAAGCGAACAGTGTGTGTTTATGATCCAGACAGCAAGTCAGATTGGATCAGGATATTTATCCAGTTCATCCGGTTGGAAGTCGGAGTCATCACGCCGGTACGGAGATGGGTTAGTTGAGATCAGCCGATTTAAAGCCAATGCCTTTATTATTCTCGACTGTAAACACCAAACACCAAGCTCTGGGAGAAATTAGGAGCAACTGGACTAAAACGGTGGGAAGTGTGTGTTTATATCCAGCATGCTGGGAACAGAACACTTCCGGGAGCAGAAATGCAGAGAGATTAGGGAATACCGGCAACAGACTGTCTTCACATGTTCGAAAAACAATCAAAGTAAATAAAGCTATATACGCACATGCATTTAAAAGACGTTCTCCACATTCATTAGTGCTGTTTGTAACACATGCATCTCTATTATGGTTCTTTATACGGTTGGTTGTTTGATTAGGTTGGAGATTTGAATCAACATTTATCCATAACCCTATGAAGCATCACACATTTTTGAGGCCTAAAATGATCAAGTCACTCATAATCTCGTCCAGTCCGTCTGTCGTCTGATTGATCTTAGACTCTTTCATCAAGTGAAAGTCTGTGCAAACGTCGAGCTTCACGTGTCTTTCTGTCAAATCTGGATTTTTATCAAGGAAACGTTAAGAATAACGTTGATGTTGTTAGTAATATTTTCAGGTTTACTTGATTATCCAGACATCAGTTATTAGAAAAATGACGAGTCTCAAATATGATAATCATGCTTTTGAGAAAGGTTTATTTGTTCGTATAAATATCAGCACCAAATTTCATATTTTTGCTCAGTTTGCGGGCCTCTGAAAAAAATTGTGCTGTATTTTCCTTCATATTCTCACTATATGAGCCACTCAAAAAATATGATACTCAACATAAACAACATTTAACTTTAACAAGTATTTTGTCTCAAAAAAACAAAACAATTTAAGTAATGCTTTTAAATTGCTTTAAATTTTTCGACTTTAAATTAAACAAGATTTAACTCATTATTTAAAGTCAGTTTAATGTAATTTAAGTTCAAATGACTTTTTACAGTAATTTTAGATCTGACTATGTCAGACTTTATAGACTCACTTGTAAAAGGTTAGAAGTGATCATTGTAGGATTGTTTTTACAATTTAAAACTTGAACAGAATCTGTGTGACATTAATACGATCGAATGATCTCGAAATTTTTACATACAAGCGCCATCGTCCCATTATAAATTGCATTAAGGAAACACTTTGTGAATGATTTACTCATAAAACCCTTGATGCGTCGTGCCAAAAGCAAATTCCTGATCGCCATGATCAAGATCCTGTTTCCACTGAAACGTTATCATGTTTCGCAACCGCGAAAGTGGTCAATTATCTCCCGGTTGTTCTCCGTCGGCTCCAGCATCCTCATATGTCATCTATTATTCAACAGCCAAACGGCACAAATATAGCTCGTGTTTGCCGGAGTCGTCATCCAAAACTGGTTTCCAAGCTTTAAACGTGGTTTATTGTGTTTACTATGATGACATACTTCTCTAGTTTAGTCGTAGACAAAAGCGACGATAGCAAGATTTCCACTTGGATGGAACATGTCAGTACAGTACGGATTGATTGTTTGTTGGCTTCATGAACTGACATACTGTTCCTTTTAAAGACGCAGCTCATATTTGGCCTCGTTTAACTCTGCTGATCTCAGCGAGAAAGCTGTGCGACAGGCGTATGTTCTCATGTGGAGTCCTGGGCATGTTGTGGGCTTTCAGCTGGAGGCGACACAGTCCCGAAATCATTCACATGTTTAGCGTTAGAACGGCAGAAAGCGTAATTTTCCACCTAAAGAGTGTGTGTCTTCTGAGAATCCTTACTGTTCCCATGTGGGATCTATAAAAGATCTCTATCCGTTGTTGCCCTTTAGCCAAAGAGGCATTACTGCTCGTAATAGAGAACATCAGCCGTGCACTTATAAAAATAGCTCCTTTGTGAGAGTCAAGTTGTGAGATGTTCAGCTTTTGATTGTCTGCCAACAGTTTTACACCAATAAGGCAAAATGAGGATTTTAAAACGTTCTTATATGATGATATAAATATAAAGCAAGGAGCCATTAAGGGGCCAAGCACAAAAAAAAGGCATGATGAGTTATTGAAGCATCAGACCAACTGAACAAATGAGTGATTTTTTGATTATTTTGGTCAAAATGGCTGAAAAATCTCAAATACAATCAAGAGTAATGACTAAATTGCTTATCACTTTTGACCAATAGGTGGCGCCGTTGCCAAATTGGTGTTGTGTTATCAGTGTGAGGAGAAAATGACACATACAAAGTTTGGTGTCGATACGGCAAAGCGTTGTAGAGTTACGGCCTCAGAATCAGCTTGGCGCCGTCAAATGTGTTGATGCATTGTTCAAGAAACGTTTGGTCTATCAAAAAGCTTTTAAAAAGGCCGATATGGGATCATTAGGTAACATTCAGCTCGATATGCTGCAAGGAATTAAAAGAGATCAGTTATGATTTTTGGCCAACCCATTCAAACAAATGCATTTTTTATATCTCCTGACCAGTAGGTGGTGCTGTGCTGAAACTCTGCATGTAACCTCAGGTCATGCTTGTGCTGACATGTACCAAAATTCATCTTAATATGTGAAAGTGTTGCGGAGATATAGCCTCGCATCCAATTTGGCGTGTTCTTCGTGCGTTATTCGAGAACGTTGGGGTTTTAAAAAAAAAAAAACTTTTAATAGCTTTTTGTCAGAATGATTTGAAGATGATCAGAGACAATTTGATCAGATGAACAGTCTAGTTCAGAAAAGTAGTTTTGGAAAATTCAATATGGCGGGAACATTTGACGACTTAAATGCATAAATGTAAGCTCAACTTTGGACAGTTGGTGGCGCTATAGTTGAGTTAGAGACACCAAATTTGTTGTGTTTGATGTTCAGACTGTCCTCTACCTGCTTGCCAAATTTCACCATTTTATCGCAAGCGGTTCTATGGCCAGAAGAAGAAAACGTAGTAGAAAATTAACGGAGACAATAGGAGCCTTTTTCACCTTCAGTGTTTGGCCCCTAATTGTCATAAATGTTTCTTAAACATCAGATCATCATATTAGAGCGAATTCTAATCCATGAAGGATCATGTGACACTGAAGACTGAAAATTCAGCTTTGATCACAGGAATAAATATATTCACATAGAAACGTGCTGATTTACATCAGTATATTTCACTGTTTTTACTGTATTTTGCAAATAAATGCATCATTGGTGAGTATGAGAGACTTTCAAAAAATATATCATTATTAACTACCAAATTGGATCACAGGGAGGAAAAAAAAACCAAAACAAAACAATTGTTAAATATCTAAGTACTAACTAACTATAATTGATAAATAAGTTCAACTAACTAAATAAATGGACACAGTTTAAACATAACCATCAATTTTTTTTAATGAAAGAAAACGCTTACCTTATCTTTTTTGTTGAAGTTTTGTGTGTCCAATCAAACAGTATTTGGCCCAAATTCATCACTTAGTCGAAGCTCAGAAGTCTAGATCTTGGACAGCCTCATCCTAAAAATAAACAAGAAAAAAAGCAAAATGAAAGAAAATACAAGCCAGATTACATTATGGTTTTTACATAAGGCTGAAAATTCAAGAGACATTCAGATCATTTTAAATATTGGTAAACGTAGAACATGGAAATACGAACGAGTTTCTCTCTGTAATGACGTCATGCGAGTTTGGGTTTCTGACGTCTCCTGACCCGCGCCGTCGACCAGGACCTGCAGCTGACGGCTATTTTTACCGGGAACGGGAACAGCTGAGCGGCCGGGACTCTGAGGTGAAGGCCGGACAGCCGAGGAGCGAGCGAGAGATGCAAGTCGAGATGTGTTACACGCTAACACTATAAATCTGTCTGGTTTCATTTTAGTATCAGTTTCTAACTTGCTAAAATAAAGGTCCCAAAAGGGGTTTATCGCAACGATGCCAAAGATCAACCATTTTTGGTTCCCCAAAAAAGCTTTCAGTGAAAGAACCATTTATTCTTAGTATAAAGAACTCTTTTGAAAGGTTCCATGGATGTTAAAGGATCTTCCATCAATGCCAGTGCAGAAGGTTGGTGAGTTTGGGAATAATACAGCACCTTCAAAGCTTCTGGCACGTAGAAGAGAGATTCACACACTCGAGCTGTTTACGGCGGCCGTTTCAACACGACACCACACCGCACGGCTTTATTAGATGGTAAAATCCGATTTCAGAGGATGAACCAACTTCTGGTGCACTGAATGTCACGAAGCAATAAAGTTGGAGTGGTTTTACCACAGATAAGGGATGTAGTTTATCACAAACTGCCTCTCGTAGAGCTTTTATAAAACAAAAGCATTACGTATTGGTGAAGAAATCACTGTAATAGACCTTATTCAGAGCAGCGCCATGACAGGTATGAAAGTGAGGCTGTGAGGGATAGACTTACCGTGTTTCCAATGGCATCCGCTGTAAAAAAAAGTTGAATAAAGCGGCTAGATTACTTACAATTTTCCACAACTTACATTGTCGGGAGTTTTTTTGTCAACTGACATTTCTTGGAAAGATATTTTTCCAGTGTTACATGAGCAGAACAATCCAAAAACACATTAAATAACAGCACAGCCCATTGAAGAGATGCAAGTCTATCCCTCACAGCTTCGCTTTCATTCTCATTCAAAATCAAAGATGGCGCTGCCGTGAATAAGGCGTATGCACAACGTTTTGTGGCTTATTGTTTTGTTTTTTATCATAGTGAAGTAACAAGCTCCACCAACAGGACTATCATTTTATAACAGAAGTTCTCCAGTGGTAGTTTAGTTTAATCATTCATTAAGCATTTCAGCGTATTTTAGCAATCAGCGCTCTCTAATATCTCGCTCCTGCTATGATTAGTGAGATCAGAAAGCCTGGCGGAATGTGACTGACGCGTGTTCCCAGTTCTTCAACCACATGCTAATTTGAGCGCGGGCGATAGCGGTCGAGGGAAGTCCAGGACAGAAGCGAGGATTAGCATCTTTGTTTAGGAGATTAGCTCTCTGACCTCCAGCTGCTGAATGCTTCATGCGGTCCGGCCTCTCGTTTGAGCTCCAGCGCTCATTAAAAGGGCACACATGACCTCTTCAGTTATACACTGCCTACAGATGCAGGTTCAGAAGTCATAATTACCAGGTGATGTGCGTTCAAGTGATTCTCCTCGGACAAATCGGATGTGACTCCCTAAATAGCCTGAAGTCTATCTATGTACATCCGAGACATAATCCGTCTCCTCAAAGTTTTGGTTCACTGACAGAACGTGCAAAAGCTTCTGAACTCTTGTACTTTAAAATAAAAATGGATGTGCTGCAAGAGTGCATTCCTATGAAAAGAAGGTCCATGTGTTTTACGTTTCCTGCATGGTTTTGTGTTCTAGTTGCTCTTGTTTGTTGCCGTGGTGATTGATTATCCTCACCTGTTCCTTGTTCAGTGTCTGGTGTTGTCCTTGTTTTTGTCTATATCTCTCTGTGCTTGGAGTTATTCTTGTTTAAATAAATGCTTTTGTTGTTCCCCGTCCCTCTGAAACTCCCTGCATTACAAGAGATATTAGAAATTTAGACACTTTATTAATTATAACAAAAACAGTCACTCGCTAACGCATCAGTCATTAACAGATCGAAAGTTAACTTACATGTTTTCAGCTGTTCATCTTTTCAGTGCTTAAACAACTAATAAGCATAAACATCACAGAATGAATTATATCCATAGTGATCCTTGAGCTGTGTTTTTCCCACCAAAATGACATCACTTCCTGGAAGACAATGTCATTAGGAACCACAGTTATTTAGTTAAACTATTTAGTTAAACTAAAATGAGAACATTTTTAATATATAACAATAAATTATTCATATATATATTTATTTGATTAAAAATACAGTAGAAATAGTGTAATTTATATCCTGTGATCAAAGCTGAAATTATCATCATTACTCCAGTCTTCAGTGTCACATGACCCTTCAGAAATCACTCTAAAATGAGGATCTGATGATCAAGAAACATTGATGATTATTATCAGTGTTGAAAACAGTTGTGCTTCAGGTGTGTGAAAACTATGATGAAAGTAAATTTTCAGGAATCTTTGATGAATGGACAGTTCAAAAGAGCAGCATTTATTAATTGCTGTCACTTCTTTGATGATTAAAAGTATTAATTTCTTTTTAAAACATGACACGGGGAAGAGCAAACGCAGTGCATTACAGAAATAACGCAGAGCAGAAAACATGATGCATTTCTGCGGTGACCTGCCTCATCTCGTTCAGTCTCTCCGTGTATAAAGCACAAAACATTGCATAATGTAGACAGGAAGTCTTTAAAATATGGTTTTGAGCAGCCAGCATTAAACACGTCTGCAACGAAGCCTCATCATGCAAACGAATGCACATAGAAATCACACAATGTTTGACACGTTCATGTTTGCATTTGAATGATCTCGAGAGGTCTGGACTCTCCTAAAACACTCCTGATATTGCCGATAGATACATGTTTACATGCTACGCTGTTTTCGGCAAGTAATTCATGGACATTTCTCAATGTAACGCACATTAACCAGTATCTATTTCCAAAACGTAATGATATGTCCATCTTACAACAAAACGCCATGACAACGTGTTGGGGGAAATAGATTGTATACTTGTTTTGAAACATCAATATATTTGTTCTCTTCTTGGGTAATGCTTCATGCGTCAGATAGGAGAGATGAAGTGCAGCTGTGGTTTGGGGTCTTCAGGCGTTGGTTGATTTAACAGGTCAGGTTGATGGTCGGGTCAGAGGGTTCTCCCCTGATGAACCGGCCCCGGGGTAACAGCCACAGAACGGCCCTCATCTGGGTCATGGAGGTGTTGGCATGTACACACAGAGGCGTAGGAACCAATGGACGTTTGCTTTGAATTCTTTTTGGGAAACATTGATTGAATGCTGGTCAAAAGTTACCCATAAGTGCCCCTGTTATGCTTTTTCAGATATTTTCTTTCATGTAGTGTGCAATAAATCAGTTTGTGAATGTAAAAGGTCTGAAAAGTTTCAAAGATCAAAGTAAAGACAATCACAACAGACTGGGTCATCTGACCAATCAGAGCAGAGTAGACCAATCACAGCAGACTGGGTCATCTGACCAATCAGAGCAGAGTAGACCAATCACAGTACACTGGGTCATTTGACCAATCAGAGCAGAGTAGACCAATCACAACAGACTGGGTCATTTGACCAATCAGAACAGAGTAGACCAATCAAAACAGACTAGGTCATCTGACCAATCAGAGCAGAGTAGACCAATCACAACACTCTGGGTCATTTGACCAATCAGAACAGAGTAGACCAATCAAAACAGACTAGGTCATTTGACCAATCAGAGCAGAGTAGACCAATCACAACAGACTGGGTCATTTGACCAATCAGAGCAGAGTAGACCAATCACAACAGACTGGATCATCTGACCAATCAGAGCAGAGTAGACCAATCACAACAGACTGGATCATCTGACCAATCAGAGCAGAGTAGACCAATCACAACAGACTGGATCATCTGACCAATCAGAGCAGAGTAGACCAATCAAAACAGACTAGGTCATTTGACCAATCAGAGCAGAGTAGACCAATCACAGCAGACTGGATCATCTGACCAATCAGAGCAGAGTAGACCAATCACAACAGACTGGATCATCTGACCAATCAGAGCAGAGTAGACCAATCACAACAGACTGGGTCATCTGACCAATCAGAGCAGAGTAGACCAATCACAGCAGACTGGGTCATCTGACCAATCAGAGCAGAGTAGACCAATCACAGTACACTGGGTCATTTGACCAATCAGAGCAGAGTAGACCAATCACAACAGACTGGGTCATTTGACCAATCAGAACAGAGTAGACCAATCAAAACAGACTAGGTCATCTGACCAATCAGAGCAGAGTAGACCAATCACAACACTCTGGGTCATTTGACCAATCAGAGCAGAGTAGACCAATCAAAACAGACTAGGTCATTTGACCAATCAGAGCAGAGTAGACCAATCACAACAGACTGGGTCATTTGACCAATCAGAGCAGAGTAGACCAATCACAACAGACTGGATCATCTGACCAATCAGAGCAGAGTAGACCAATCACAACAGACTGGATCATCTGACCAATCAGAGCAGAGTAGACCAATCACAACAGACTGGATCATCTGACCAATCAGAGCAGAGTAGACCAATCAAAACAGACTAGGTCATTTGACCAATCAGAGCAGAGTAGACCAATCACAGCAGACTGGATCATCTGACCAATCAGAGCAGAGTAGACCAATCACAACAGACTGGACCATCTGACCAATCAGAGCAGAGTAGACCAATCACAGCAGACTGGATCATCTGACCAATCAGAGCAGAGTAGACCAATCACAACAGACTGGGTCATCTGACCAATCAGAGCAGAGTAGACCAATCAAAACAGTCTGGGTCATTTGACCAATCAGAACAGAGTGGACCATCTGACTTTGGTTGCATGTAAACCTGTTGTAGGAGAAAACAATACAAATTTTGAATGAACATTATACAATGAATGTCAGATTTGACCAATCACAGTCAAGTATTCCGGAGCGCTGTGTAATAATCATGGCTTGTTAATGGACAAACGTCACTGCATTAAAGTAAATCATTCCTAAATAATCACTTCCAGACCGGGGTCCGGCTTCCCGCCGCTATAGGGAATCTCACACCTCCTATAGGCTCTTCATCACGTGACCGACACTCATCCTAGGAAAACTTTCCTCGAGCTGCCGATCCAGAGCAAACACACCCAAACAACACACTCTTACACTGCAGTCCAAATGATCGTCTTCAACCCAGAGACTGCATTAGTCTCAAATACACCTATCGTTATTTTTAGTCAAATCTGTCGACTTTGGCAGTCTTTGTTGCATTCAATTCCAAAAGTTACTGTTCAAAAATGGGGAAAAAGCACTTCTTGTGTTTTATGCCCCGTTTGTATGCCTGTAACTCAATAAGTGTAAAAGATATCTCAATATCCTTGGTTTTGAATGGTTTTCAACCAACTTTTCTTTTAATGCCCAATACGGTTAATTTCCAGAGATATTGTGATCTCTATATGTGACTCCATGTCCAAATTGTTGAATTTTACCCATTTTCAACAGCCGGAAACCAAATATGGTTCACTGTGCAACACTGTAGTAATGTATGAAGATTATATACAATTTTGAAACTAGAAATATATCTTGTTTCCCTCTATCAAACCAATTGCATGTGATACAAAATGTTGCTTATTTATGTAACTTGCTGATAAAAACAGAAAGCATGACGCTAGAAGAATAAAAAAAAGAATAATTGTAGTTCTAAATCAGTTTTTTCTAAAAATGTAACTACAAATGGAAGGTCAAGTTGAGTCCATTGCATTATGGGATACATTTTCTCCAGCAGTGTTCTGCAGCAAATTTGGAAAATTAAGGAAATTGTCTGTGTATAAAACATATGAATATATGCAACATTAAACTAAATACTACAGTAAACTACAGTAATATTAGGCTAAGATTTTCCAAAGGTTTATGTGCAATTTTGAGCAAAAATATATTTGCAGGTGCCGCCATCTTGTGGCGGAGAGGAATTATCACACAAGCGCAGCATTTAATGGATTGATCATTCATTAAACTCGCTCTCTCGTCAGTCCAAAGACTTCCTTTCTTCTATAAAACTCACAAACAAAATATTTTGAAAGTGCCTTTTTTATAGGTTTGGATCAGCATGATAATGGGAATTTTCGATGAACTACCCCTTTAAGAGCATGTACCCCTTGTTGAGCATGATTTCTGTAGGATCATGGGACACTGAAGACAGAAAAATACAGCTTTGATCACAGGAATAGATTACACCTTATTATGTATTCACATAGAAAACAGATGATTTACATTGGAATACTATCTCACTGTATTGTTGATCAAATAATACAGGCCTGGCGAGTAGAAAATCTTTATATTTGTCATAACATGGCACCTATATTCAAAACATATGGCAATGTGATATATACATGGTATTAGATTTGATCTTGCTCATGTACCTTGGAAATAAAATAAAATAAAAAAACATTCAATTAAAATGAATTGATTTATAGAGTGGTGATTTGCTATTCAAGTTCTCTCATTGGAAGCGTGAATCTACTTCTAACTAACCTCTGGATTTAAGACAGTAATAAAAGAGTTTACAGCAATAATGCCCCACTGTAAATCCTTCTTCGATATTTTCGGCTTATACAGACATCTCCACTCAGGTTTTACATTTTCATCCAGCCCCAACCTATCAACCTTTTTTTCAATGCATGTCTTATAAAAACAATGACACAAGCTCTATACAAACCATTACCTTTAGCTGTCAAAAAGTCCAACCACAAAGATTACCAATTTCTTACAATAAAACATACACCTTAATACACCCATTAAGATTCTATTCTCCGACGTTCCCGATGCGTGTCGGCGCTATTCGGTTGTTAAGTCTGACGTCACGCGTGTCGTTTAGCCTCTTCCGGGTCCAAGCGCTCCGCTCGTCCATATCTAATTAACGTTACAACCCATAACGTTAGACTAAGCCCTTTTCTTAAAGGACTGGCTTCGCTTCAGCGCCAGTGGGTGTTAGGGATAAAGGAAAGAATTAACTTACCTTATCAACTGCAGTCATTTTCTCTTTTCTTTCTCGTCACAGGGAAAGCGGTAGAATGACAGTTGAATGTCACTTGTTTTTTTTAACTCCGATCTATTTAAACAACATGGGACACAGCACTGCGGCATGTTAAACCTCGGGCAAAAGCGGTAAGCAGATAGAGAGGACCCAGCATTTGCACCCGGAAACAGTATTATCAGAGCGTGATTACGTCACGACTTAACAACCGAATTGTCCGACGTGCCAGCTCTTTAATTGGCACTAAATACTCGTCATACACTACAGCGGCAAAACTCCGCTCAGTGCCGCTGGCAATTAACCTCTCTGCTTTGGGGTGTGTACGTGTCTGTTGCGAGTGTGTTTAATCTGTTTGGTTTTTTTCCCCCTATACACACAGTAGGCCTAGCTATAATCCTCAGACCACGGTCTGGAGTTAGCCAGACTAGTCTCACATCATGCAAATAAAGAACAAAACAATACCCAGATAGCAAACTGACATTGAATCAACGTGGAAATATGACATCGAAACAACGTTGATCTGACATTGTTTTGCTCATCGAATTAACGTTGAACCAACGTCAGACGCGTCATTCTTTCAAAACTAACGGAAAATCAACTTGAAATCAACGCGTTGTTTCAACGTTATGAAAGCAAACCAATTTTCGATTTCATTTAGCTTTGAAGAATGCCGCGTCTGACGTTGGTTCAACGTTAATTCGATGAGCAAATCAACGTTGTTTCAATGTCATGAGAGACGTCGTTTCCACGTTGATTCAATGTCAGTTTGCTGTCTGGGTATAAACCTGAATGGTTTGAAGGAAAAAGACCTCTGAATGAATTCTGCACACCTATAATGATAAAAATACAAATGTAATTGATCTCATATAAAAGGTTTTCACGTCAACCATGGATTTGCTATATTTTCCTCCCGGCGCAGTATTATTTAATAAAAGTCAACACTGATCTCCAAACATATAACAGTCATTCTTCTTGATTCATGTAATTGTTCTCCTAATGCAGTCAAAGCATAAATCTTTGCTGATTGTGGTAAATAATGTTTATCCATTGTGTGTTTTAGTTTTGAATGATCCATATGAATATTGATTCAAAATAGGGCTGAGTAAAAATATCTAATCTCATCTTGTTTTTATGAAGGAATATCAATTCTTAAATCCCAAGAATCAATGTTTTAGTCAATGTAAGTTTTAGTTGATCTCATGAAATGGCATAGGCTATGTATGACACGCCAATTCGTATTTCTACTTTTGGAGTCAACACGCATATTATGAACACCGTTGACTTACATTATCTATACTATAAATATATGACCTACCCCAAACCCGTCACTGGGGTTAACAGCATTTATGATTCTTCCCCTAGCTCTGACATTTAATGATGTTTTATTAACAAAGTTCGGGAGAAGCACGTTCAGATAATTAACACGGGTGGAGAGCACTTAGCAATCATGATTAAAGCATGTATATATAGACTCAGCAGTCTCACCTCATTTCTCTGACAGTTTAGCAGCATCCCTCCTCCACTCTTCTAGTCCTAAACCACTTTACATACAGGGGGGGAGTACTCTGGGTTCGGGCCGAATTCCGAGCTCGGAGCCCTCCCCTCGTACAGCACGCCAAATACGCATTATACTTTATTCCCTTTAATTGTATGTAAGTGTGAACTCGTGAAACCGAATCACTCGGACATTTAACGGCGTAGACTATGCATACATGCGGATAGCTCAAAATGCGTATAGAAATCACACAACTTGACTTGATACTGGCGTTAATGTTTACGCAAAAGTCATGATGCCATGTTGCTCTTTTATAATTTAACAATAAATATAGTTTTAACTTTTTTGATGTGGCTTGACTTATTGCTATGACTTGAGCGGCTCTTGACTAAAGTCCATTTCTTCCTTTTTGCGTCTAGTTGAAGTAATCATGACTGAAAATTAGAAGGAATGATAAAAGATATAGAACAACATACTAACGGATCATGTCTCATGTAATCGCTCAAACTGAGAAACCTTGAGCGCAATTACGTTTATCTCAGAAAAGTCATTAAATGACAATAAACTCATTTAGATAACTCGAGAGAGAGAGGAACATTTTGCACTATAATGCACATTCATTAAATGTATTTTTATTTTTGTGCATATCTGATCAAATAATTTTTATATCAGCAAAGTTTTTATATCAGCCATTTAAAATGTTAAAAACCCCTGAATTGGAAACAATTATAACAATTTTAAATTAAAAACAATTATAAATTTAGCATTGTAATTTATTATAAAACCTTCCTTGTGTGCACTTTAAGTGTTACAGATGTACCAGCTGACCCATTATCTGAAAACTAATTACCAAGTGCTTGAATGGTCCTTCTGATACTGGTCTGTGGTCCATTGGTGTCAATATTCCTTTCCTAACATTGTTCTTGACACAAATTTTTCACAAAAAAAATCACTTTTAATTTAATTTCCAAAGGAATGTTCGGTAACTCTAGCAACTTATTCGCTGATTTTCACTTTTCTTATCGCATGTTTTCTCAACATGCTCCCTTTAAATTCACATTGTTTTATCTCATTTTAATGAAACTGCCAGCAAGTGCTTACAATTGTGGGGTTCTTGGTCAAAACAATCATACTATAAATACTTCTGAGTGTGTTGAAAATTGTTATAATGTTACTCTGTGCCTCCGCTTGGTGTCTGCGACACTTGTATTGTAATAGTATTGAAGTGCGATAGATCGGTACTTGAATAGCCTATCTTATTCATAAAAAGCTGGATGACGTGTTTCTAAATGGCATGAAATTAATTAAAAATGTATGTATGATGAAGAAAATGCTGTTACTACAGATAAAGCTCTTTCTGATTTTGTAGTGTTAGCCACTTTGTACAAACATGGTACTCAGTAAATCACTAAAACAAGGGATTCAAACAACCGTTTTGAGCTATATAACAAATGGTTATTTTTCTGTTGATAAACCTACTCGAACAGTTGCTCGCCTGTCTAATGGAACACATTAAAGCATCTTTTGTGTTTCCAAGTTTTCTACAACTGAAGTAAAACGGAAATCAGGCGGCACAAATGAGATAAAATTGCGGAATTCTCTGGATTAAAAAATTCTTGGAAACATTTGTGCAAATATAATTTTTCTAGTGGTTTTGGGAAATTTAAATCCAACAATCTAAGATGTCTTTAACAATCTGGGATAGTTTTCATGCAAACCCTATAAATTATTTTCTCGATCCGTCTCTGGTGAGTCGCAGGGCAGCAGGTGGAGTGTCAGCGCCCCCTGGCTGTGGAGCTGCAGTAGCCGCACAAACTCCTCCGGCATCTTGTGCCTGTGGGAGCTCGGACGGCTCAGGTCGTAATAATGGTATGGAATCGGCTGATCCTGCAGGTCGTTATCGAACGGCCAGAATCCGTAAACGTGAACATGCTCACACAGTTCCAGTGCAGTGCTGATTAGCATAAACCCAGTGGAGAGGCGGTCCTCCTGCAGGCCACGCCCCTTCCAGAACCGGTCCAGTGACCGCAGGTAAGAGGGGCTGAAGAACACCACCGGCTGATGAGGTCTGATTGGCTGGAGGACTTTGAGCGCGTTGATTGACGGAGTTGTGCAGAACTTGTATGCGAAGGCTGGAATAATGATGGTGGCGTTTCCGTACACACTGACCCGCTCCACCAACGGATCCGGATTCTTCTCGAGGTCTTTGTATCTACAGAAACACAGTTTTATAATAAACGCTACTGACAGAACACATATTATGTATACAGCGGGGAAATATGTCTCTGTTCCCCATTTGTAAGTCACGACTACGTGTCACTTGGGAGCCCCAATCATCTCTGAGTTTTATAAAAACCGCCAATGGAATTGGTGACGAATTTGCATGCCAAGCCACTTCCCCGTACATATGGGTATATAAGATGGGGGCCCACATCCACTCATTCAATGATTTCTCTAGACAGGGGAAAAGAGCGCATTCAACAGTGGTTCACCAGTGCATTGCAGTCCAAGGGGTAAGCGCAGAGGTCCCTTCAGTCAAAAAGGGTAGTTTTTCAGGCCCTTCACAAGCTCCCATTCAAGATGCTACTGCAGAAACGCATTCTACGTCCTCAAGATAAGAAATTGACAAGAAGGATTCTACCTCGACAAAGACCGATTCATCAGTTTCTCTTCGAGGGTTGAAACATAGAAAAGACAATAGACTGGGAAAAGACATAGACTGTAAAAAATATGGACAAAGCGTCTGTGACGTAGGCTCTCTAAAGGAACGGGTTTTAGGCTGGGGGTATGGGCGGCGCCATACTGGAAAATCTTGGAAAATACAAAATACAAAAGTTTCAGAAAGGATACAGAGGTGGTATGATGTGTTGTGTCAGATCATGGCCGAGACGTCAAATTCCACTCGGCGCAGCCCGTTATCAGCTGTCAATCAAAGTTAACCGCCCTTATTTGTCATGCGTTTTGTATCTAAATATGATCTAAACTAACGAGTTAGAAAAAAAAAAAAAATCAATCCCCTTACAGCTGTCAGGCGTTTGGAACCTATCGAAAAACACAATAAAAGTCCATGGGACCAAACTGTAAACATATGAATTTATGCTGTGAAAACGGACATTTTAACATGACGTCTATGGATATTTGCTTCCGTTTGGAAAAACTAAAACTAAACAAAACTAACAACATTTACTGAAAAACTAACTGAAATAAAATGATAATTAGCAAAAAATAAATACTCGTTTTCGTGATTAATAAACTCTTTACTTTCGTGGAAAAATCTTAAGGAAATGCTTGTGTAACGAAGAGGCTGAGGCGTTTGGATCCATCTGCAGTAATTTATTAACACAGGTGAGCCAGCAGAGAACAGCAGACAAAAACTCAAAAACAGCTCACAGACAAGGGCAATCCAAGAGAAGTAGTCTTCACAGGCAGGCGGCTGAGAATCATAAGTCCAAGTTGTAAGAACACAAGCAAGCCAGAGAAAACAGTACAGAGATACAATGTGGGTAAAACAAGACTTCACAAACTAGCAAGGAACAGAACAGTCCAAATAAAGGTGCACAGGTGTTGCAGATGCCATAATCAGGAGATAATGAGCAGGGAAGGATAATGGGAAATGCAGTCCTAGTATGATGCACTTGGGGGAAATTGTTTTGTAAACGTCCAATGTTGTAAAATGACAACCGGAATGATTCGCCCGTACATGTTTGGCCCAGAGTCCGTGTGTTGCACCATTCCTGTCAGATCCAATATAGACGGCACAGCACCGTTCTTTACTCTTAATCATTCTGCAAATCCAGTCTTGTTTACAAAACAATCCTCAGTGAAATAAAGCGAACAGACGGACGATGTTTTACCCTCATCAGCTGGAGTGGAAAGTCATTAAAAATAAAGTTTATCCATGCAGTCCTGTTGGAATCCAGAGGAAGTTTATGTAGCGACTGTCTTCTTCCACAACCAGGCGCTGCACAATATTCTGTATTGCTCGGTAGCTCGATCCGGTTTGTGATCACGAGGTAGGCATCTATGTTACTTAGCTATGCGTGTAATGCGCGAGTCGGTGGGCGGGGCTTAACCGGCCGTGTTGAAGTAGGCGTTGATGTTTTTGACGTCATATTTCCCCACTTTTAAAAACGAGTCCTTTGCTGAGCCTGGTGTCAATAAAATGTTCAGTTCTGAAACTTACAGGATATTCTTATAATATGAAAGATGACCTCTTAGATGTCAAAAGCTCAAAGAAATTTTGATTAACTGAGAAATCAAAATTTCCTTGAGCTTTTAAAACAAATATTAGTTTATTTATAAATTAATATTAATCAAGTCAGGTTAACTCATGATTGCTAGATTGTGACTATATTATCAATGAGATAAATAAACTAGTTTACGCAATGCTATTTATCAACATATACAGAACAGATTAACATACTTGTTTTAAATGCCACATAAAACCCTGCTGTCATCAAACTAAAAACACCCAATAATAATTTTCACTTGTTCCATATTACTTCACTATGACTAACATGTCAAACAAAGAGAAATGCATTTTGCATAAAGTAAATCAAGTTTATTTTCGGCCCATTACTTTAATCCCCCAAATATAGTTTCCACAATACGTGACAGATCGGTTTGCAATGTTTCGCTTTTCATACTATGTTTCTGTTGTTTTACAACCTGAAGGATCAGTCAAATAATAACCACAGAGTATAAATTATATTTAACCAGAATACATATTTAAGAAATATACAATATAGACTAAACACAACCTGAATGTAGTTAATTAAATCTGAATTATTTTCATTTGGAAACCAAGAATATAGAGATGCCAGTAATGGCCAATGAATGTGTTTTTATTAAAGTGTTAGTTAGAATTTTATTTAGAAATAGCAATCAATAATAAAAGATTCTGAAAGACTCAAAATGAATCTGAAAAGTCATGAAAAGTTCCTTTAAATGATAATCGAAGCTGTGTTTTTAGTGTGTGTGCACTGACCGGATCTGACTGGGGTTGATGGTTACCAGATCCGTCTTCAGCCCAACATCACTGTCATTAATCACTGCCAAATTAAACCTGAAAGAGACAGAAAACATCACATTAACATTTACATTGTATTTGGAAGACGCTTTTATCCAAAGCGATTTACATTGCATTTTAAGGTACAAAATGTACATTCTTATCAGTTCTCATTTCTTCCTTTAACAGGAAGGATGGATGAATAATGATGTTGTGGTCAGTGTGTCAGAAAATAATGATGGGATGTGTTTACCGAATGACAAAGTCTGCGTTGTCAATCTCACGTCCACAGCTGCTGTTTTTCAAAATCCCACCGCTGCCGACCACAGCACACCGACCCAGACGCCGACCGGACCAGGGGATGTCCTGCACACACACAGTTAAATATGTGGTTCATGGGGACTTTACATAGGCATAATGATGTTTATATTTTACAAACTGTATATTTAAATATACACATCACACAAAATGTTATGCTCATACCCCTGGTAAATATAATAAAAAATAAATCTGCTTTGCTTATCGTTTTAATATTTCATAAAAAAATGGCAAAAATCTAACCTTTCATTGAAGTGAAATAATTGAAAGCTTGGCCTTAATCCTCCATCACAATGGAGAGAAGAAAAACTTCGGATGTGCTTCAAAAGATAGTTGAGCATTACAAAATAGAAAGTTGCTGTAAAGAAATAGCTAAAGAGTTGAAAATCCCCATTTTGACCATCAGGGCAATAATTAAGAAGAGCAATCACCACATGTTGTTTGGACAGGTTTCAAGAAAAATCCTCCTCGATCCTTCAAGCATAAACTCCAGCATATTCAGATGTCAGACACGACTGGAGCTTCAAAAGGGACCGGATTCTTTGTCAAATCATCTTCATTTATATAGCACTTTAAACAAAGGATTGTTCAAAACCAGCTTTATAGTGATAACAGGAAATTAAAGTAACAGAGATTGCAGCTCTAGAATATTTATAACAAACCCGATGGCATGCACACGCGTATTAAGAGCCCTCCACATGTATGCATGTTTGAATATATGGTAAATGGACTGCATTTGTATAGCGCTTTCACAGACCCAATTACCCCTTTTCCACCAAAAAAAGAACTGGTTCGGAACTGGTGCTGGTTCAAAGTTGGTTCGGAGTTGGTTCAACTTGCGAACCCGTTCAGAACCTGTTTGTTTTTCCACTGAGAGCGCCGCCCAGGGAACGACGTCGTTACGTCACTGTGCACGTCGCTAGAAACGCTTGCAAGTACATTGCTTTGGGATTATCTCTAACTCGTGTACCAAGAAAACTTTAAAAACAATTGAAATATGTAAGTCTTTTAATCTTTTCGTTTGGTAATCTTTTCTGATAAGTTATGTATCCCTGTCTTGTGTCATTTTTCTTTCCATTTATTTGTTCTATATCGTGACTGTTTTCTTCTTTGCTTATGTTTCAAATAAAAAAAACGCTTGCGTGTTTCTGCAGTTTCTCCTGATTTTGCGATGGTCAGAAAATATGTTTAGAACACATCTAAACCCGCCTCAGCCCCCGACGTAAACATGACGTGCTGAAAGAACGGTAGTCCAGCAAAGAGTTGGTGCCGCTTTGGAACCAGTTTTCCCGGCCGCGAACCGGATCTTTCCCAGACAGCAAACTGACATTGAATCAACGTGGAAACGACGTCTCTCATGACATTGAAACAACGTTGATTTTGCTCATCGAATTAACGTTGAACCAACGTCAGACGCGGCATTCTTCAAAGCTAAATGAAAATCGAAAATTGGTTTGCTTTCATAACGTTGAAACAACGTTGATTTCAAGTTGATTTTCCGTTAGTTTTGAAAGAATGACGTACGCGTCTGACGTTGGTTTAACGTTAATTCGATGAGCAAAACAATGTCAGATCAACGTTGTTTCAATGTCATATTTCCACGTTGATTCAATGTCAGTTATCTGGGAATGGGCTTTATGCACAGCTGCACTACTTCCTGAACTTCAGCCAGCTCCTTGTTTCCAGTCTGCCATTATTGGGCAAACTTGATTAATTCAGGTGTGCCTGATTATTGTTGCCATGACTACTGAGGTCAGGCACACCTGAATCAATCAATTTGTCCAATAATGGCAGACAGGAAACAAGAAGCTGGCTGAAGTTCAGGAAGTAGTGAAGCTGTGCATAAAGCCAATTGGCTGCCGAACTGGTTCGCGTGCAGGCACCGGCTCTCAAAATGCTTTGGTGGAAAAGGGGCTAATGATCACCAAAGCGCTTCACATACGCCTCACACACACACACAAACACAGACACAAACGCACACACTGAAGGGGGTGGATTGGAATGCAATGCTGCTTCAATGTTAATGATGAGTAATTATAATCAAGGTATTCATCAATATTTTCTTTCTAAATATCAAATGAGTTGAATGAGTTCTCTTGGCTTGTGCGATTTTACTTTGTTATAGAAGTCATTAGTGTGATTACTGAAATGTTAGAAAATAAAGGGGTCATTGATTGAAGCCAATAGTTTGAAGGACCATTTCTTTGTTAAAGTCTTACACTAAAGTTTAGCTATCCTCGAGTGAAAGCAGACATTATCTTGATGTTTTGAGACGACCCTCCTGTTTAAAGTTAGAGCCTGGCCAAATCCAACCTGGGAAAAGCAGTGTGTCGGTGTGTGTGTGTGTGTTAGTCTTCTTGGTTGCAGGTTGAGGAACTGCTGGCATTATTGGAGATTGACGTTGTTGTTCTGGACATACTGGCGCCCAGCAACCCAAATCTGTGACCTGGAAGGTCATGACGTGCCTGTGAGTGTCAGCTGAGATTGATGCTAATCGATGGAAAATTACTACGTTTATCTATTTCTTAGCCAATGAGAGTCATTCAGCGTGTGAGCAATGACGTAGCTCAGACCTTGGAAATGGTATAACTGCCGTGATCTTTGTAACTGTAAGAAGACGGCCTACAAACTCCTGTGAGAGTTTTTATAATTGTGACTCCGGGTCTTCATTCTTCATATCTGGATCTGGGTCTGAAACACACACCTCAGGCAGCATCTTGTGGAGTTCTGCTTTCATTTTGTATGTTTTTGTGCTTGTTTCATATTGGATGAATTGAGTGATGGCTGTGTTGCGTTTGGTGAGGATGAATGATCCTGTGGCGTTACAACAAAACTGCAACCGGATTCTGTCATAAACACACACACACACAGAGAGAGAGAGAGTTTATGAGTATTAATGTAGCATGATCAGCTTTGTCAGTGTCATCTCTGTTAAAACGACCCACTTCAGTAGCTTTATTGTTTGAACAGTTTGAACAGCTCGTCTCTTTAAACGCCGTGTCTCGAACAATAATGTCATGTTTTTTAGAAAGCTGCCACATTACAGTTTTGCACAGTTCATTAAGACACAGACAAATCTTCAAACTACATTCACAAAACCCCTGACTCTTCAGGCAGAATTTAACAATTGGCTCAAAACCATTTCACCTGTATTCAAGCAATGCAGATCATTCAGATCATACACACATCAGTCAATATAGGGGCGGTAGTACAGCAGTGGCTCATGTAGGTTGTCTACAAACCAGAAGGTTGGTGGTTCAATCCCCGATTCACCTGACCAAGTGTCGAGGTGTCCATGAGCAAGACACCTAACACCAGTTCTGTGTGTGTGATACCTAAGCCTTGCACTGTTGACACCACCTTCGGTGTATGAATGAGTTAGTGAATGGGTGAATGCGAGACAATATGTAAAGCGTGTTGGTGGTCAAGGCGCTATATAACTACAGTCCATTTACCATTTACCATATAAACACTCTACATAAAAAATGGAGAACAGCATCCAGAGCATGAGGTTAGAGATTTTTTTTTAAATTGTATACAGTAAATAAAATTTTCAATTACATAAAAAAGTACATTAATCCAATTGCTAACGGTAAGGAGAAATTTTAATGAACTGTATGAATGTTTAAGTGCCGCTATGTATAATTCAAGTAGGGTTGCACGATTTGGGGAAAATGTCATATTGCGATTTATGAGGTCAATATTGCGATTGCGATATAATAAACAAACGGTTTCATGAGTCAACTTGCTTGGTTCTAAAGTAAAAATGCACACAGATTTAGTGATCATTCTGTGTATTAATGTGTATTTCCAACCCGATCTCACGACCAAGTCGTACGAATTCGACGAATGATTAAAAAGTGGCTAATTCGTAACAATTCATACGACCTCACTCGTACGAATTAATACGATTTTGCTAAATCGTACATATTTTACGAATTGGCCAATTCGTATGAATTCGTACGAATGACCTACCCCTGACCCCGCCCCTAAACCTAACCATCACGTGGGTTTAGACAAATCGTACGAATTAGTACGAGTGAGGTCGTACGAATTAGTACGAATTAGCCACTTTTTAATCATGCGTCGAATTCGTACGAATTGGTCGTGAGATAGTGTTGGTATTTCTCAACTCAAACTAGCAACAACAACTAAATAATGGGCTCTATGCACGGCGGTATTTCCGGTGAAGGATTAAGGATGCTCGATAACTTCCGCCGATCGTAGAGTCCAATGCAATACCGAGAATTTATATTGAATTTTATACTCCATGGTTATACTAATGAAACGTTAGTCACAAAAACAGATAAAACAGACACCCCTCGTTGTGTTTATGCTTCTTTTTAAAATTATATTAAATAAACATAACTATATATAAAATTACATCTAAACGTATGTACGTTTCGTTTCAAAGACTGGAGGACAGTAAATATTGAAGACTCGTTTTCTCCGGTTTTCCTCCGCTTTAATCTCCACAACCGGAAATGGACGAGCATCCTTGCGTCAAATGCGGAACTTATGCGTGCATATAGCCCATTGATAACACCTATAACTGATGTCTGGATAAAAATGACGACAGCCCCCACATTTTAAACGTTAATTATAGCCATCCAACGTTACAGTGATTCCATCATTACAATTGAAAGCTATTGTATAACGAAAAACGAGTGTTTAAATATGATTCGTGTGTGTGTGTGTGTGTGTGTGTGTGTGTGTGTGTGTGTGTCTGCTCATATTATTTTCTTTTCAAAATGTTTTAAACTCTAACTTTGAACCAAAAATTTCTACAAAATGGCCCATAACTTATTTGACCAGGATTTGTTTCCAGGTATGACTAAAAATGGGTTTTGACTTTCATTTATACTTTGATTTTAAATTTATATATTTGAAGAGTTCAGATGCAAAAGCCACATCCTCTGTGCCATTTGAAATTTTCTTCTAGAATGATAATTTTTAAGCTAATATTTTGAGGTTTGAGGGCTACAGTAAACATATCGTTTGTTTGAAAACAACATTTTGTCATCCTTTCTGCAAGCTTACAAGAGCGATTATATCTTTAAATGTAAAGGGGGACCTTAAAATATTTTCTTGGGAAAAATGGGGTCTTAGACAAAAAAAGCTTGGGAACCGTTCTAGGTAGTGAAAGCATACTGAAATACTTTTTTTCATCTTTGGTAAATGCATGGCTTTATCATCAATTCAGATCTGTCTACCGACAAAATATTTAAAATTGCGCATATTTAATGAGATATTGCCCAATTTGCATAATCAAACATACAAATTTTGTTTTTTACGTTCTTGTGCAAGTAATCACCTGGGGAAGTTTTATGGCGATCTCTATTATTTAAAAAATGTACCCTATTCAAGCTATGTCTCGCCTTAAGCGATATGCCAAAATTTACATAAAACAGGTGGATGTTTTTTTTTTCTTTCCATATTGGTTATGTTGTGTGTGGTAAACAAGTTCAATGCTGTTGAAAAGAATTTCCCCCGGGGGAAACGAAGTTTCATCAATCAATGGACACAGTATCTCAGACTCATGAAAAAGGTCTTCTACACAGAATCAAACTGTGTTATCCTAAAATATGAAATGTTTCATGAGATGATCCTGGTTGTCTATATATGCACAAGTGCTGCTCAAAAACTTCTTGGTTGAGACTTAAAGACAAAGACTGGGGAATAAAAAAAAGAAACGATAGGAATGTGCAACTGGACGGACAAGTCTGTTTAGGTCTATAGACGAATAGCTGTTTCTGTAGCTCAAATTGCAAGATCATCACACCCAGAAAATACAACAGATTGACAAAATAACCTTGAATTCTATGCAAATCATTTTTGACTTTTGACCTGGCAAACCCTTGGGTCATGAGCGTAAATGTGATGAAGATGTTAAAGACAAACCTGTTCAGCTCCCGCTCAGTTTGGTTATATTTGTACGGGCAGCTCATGTAATCTGACAGCTCCTGCGTGAACCTTTCGAAATTTATACTGAGAGGGAAACAAAGCCATTTCATTCAATGGTCAGTTATGCGAAATACCAGGATCGCTGATTGATATTCATTCTTACGCACCTTTTGGCCGGTTTGATAATGGAAAAATTGCTTCTGAGTTTTGCGCAATGGAGCTTCAAAAACCCCTTTGTGAACTCATCTCTGAAAGAAGAAGAGCATATGTCATTTTTGTGTTGCTCATTAACTATTTCTTATGTCTCTAAATGATCAACTTGTTCAAAACTGCTGATGGCACATAATCTACTTCCTCGCTCTTAAAAAATAAAGGTTCTTGTTCAGCAAATACATATATAGCCTATTAAAATTTTAAGATGTTGTAAACATTTTCCCCGCAGTAAATTAAAGGATTTATTTGAAGCACAATCGAGTGAAACAGCTTCATCCTGATCAGCTCTACACATCTAATATATTTCCCTATTCAAGTTTAACAACTGCACAATATCACTATAGTGTCATCACTTAGAATAAAAAAAAAACTCACTTATTAAGACGCAAATCTTAAACTAGTCATAGACTTTAGATTACTTAAAAAACAGCAACACGGAGCCTGATTGGAGTTCATTTAAATAGCGTTTATTTAATTATAATGAAATATCGAGATAAAAGCGCTCACCTGGACAAGTGTATGTCGGCTGTGTAGTAAAACATCACAAACACACACTGAAAGATGACCAGGATTATCAGCAGTGTGAAGATCCACTGGAGAGAAGCCGATGCCATCGGAGACAATGCAATCCAATGCAATGTGCGCGCGTGTGTGTGTGTGAGAGAGATGTCCAGGTTAGGGGCGACACACTCACTCTCTCTCTCTCTCTCTCTCTCTCTCTCGTTTCTGGTGTGACTGTTGAGGGTGTGTGAGCGTGGTCCTGAGGGTGTAATTTTCCCCCTTTTTTCTGCTCATCTGTTTTCTTGTTTTTTTGTTGTCTGATGGATATTTGTTGAGTTATTTTGAGGCATGTGGTTTGGCCGTTCGAGGTTAAGTTGGACATTCAAATGAACAATGCGACAGTAGAAAAGGCAAATGAGTTGGTCAAGCAGGGAATTGTCATGGATGGAAAATTTATATTTCAGTTCTACCACTAGGATATCTATGCCAGCGAAGAATGTAATCATTTCTAATTGTTCCATCTTTTCTTAGTGATGTAATTCTTTCGCCGTTATTAAAACATATAGTTAATTTTAGGCGCGTCATATAGGCCTAGATGTTAATTGCGGATGACGCAGATTTAGATTGAACTTTGAATTTTCGTATTGAAGATTTTAGTTATTCATGCTTCGGATGTGGCAATAAAGGGCATTAAATTCGGAATTTCCCAACCAAAAATGCTAAGGGTCAAAAAAAGTAATGAAGAAGTTGTACAGGGTAAGGAAAATTATGGAAAAGAGGTAAATGTGGATGTTAAAGAAGAAGGTTCGAGTGGAGAATAGATCGATTCGGTAGAAGTTGAGGCAACCAGCAGATCCAGTTCCTAGGAATTTACCTTTAAGTATAGAGATTTAAGTGTTTCTGTCATCCTTCAGAAAGCAAAAAAGAGGTAAAAGGTGAAGATACAAATCAGTGTAGTGGCTGAAGAATGCACAGTTGACACCAGAACAAGAGCAGTTTTCTTTTAAGACACCACAAAAAAGAAAGATGAAAATGTGCTGCAAAAATCATAGGTTGGGTTTTCGCGAGATATTTGCGTTTTTCGCTTACAGGGGCTGTATCTCGGGGCCCCGGTGGCCCACGAGGCTGGAGGCAGTCTCTTTCGAAGGGTCTCGGCCCGTTCTCCACTCGATAAAAAATTAGCGTCGATAGGTTGAGTTTTCGCCGAGATATTTGCGATTTTCGCTTCCCTTGGGGGGGGGGGGGCTTTGGGGGCCTGTATATCAGCCCACGAGGTTAGGGGCGGTCTCTTTCGAAAGTTCTCGTCCCGTTCTCCACTCGATAAAAAAATGGTGTTGATATAGGTTGAGTTTTCGCCAAGATACGTTGAGTTTTCACCGAGATATTTGCGTTTTTCGCTGCCGGGGGCGCTTCCGGGGGCTGCATCTTGGGCCTCCGGGGGCCCACGAGGCTAGAGGTGGTCTCTTTCGAAAGGCCTCGTCCTGTTCTCCACTCAATAGAAAAATGGCGTCGATAGGTTAAGTTTTCGCCGAGATACGTTGAGTTTTCGCCGAGATATTTGCATTTCCGGGGGCCCACGAGGCGATTTTCTCCCGAGCTCGTGACGTCCTCAGCGGGCGCCATTTCAGAGCGCGGCCGACGGTTTTCGGCTAATATCTCCGCGAATAGCTACTCCACCAAAAATGATGAAACGCATATGGTTTTGTTCAGTTCGGCGAGACGGTTCGAAGGAGCCCTGTTTCCACTACGACAGTCATGAGTGACACATATCAGTCACGAATGACATGGCACACAACCCTGTACCAATATATGGCCATAAATCACATCATAAATCATAAAAAAGTTACACAAGGTTCATGATAATACTACTTACAAAGAGGAGGTGGTAGATAGGCTCAGGACTCAGGCATCATCCAAGAGGATTTTTTATTAAATGCCAGTGGAGAAGTAGGGGTGTACAAATTTCTCAGTGATGTGGCAAAGCAAAGAATATACCATTACCGAAAAAAAGAAAGAAAGTTTCAAAAATAAACATACACTGGACTCAGTGCAAACCTTGATATAACAAAATCAAAGAAAACTAATTGCTTCAGGCAGCAATGCTTCTTGAAACATTCAGCAATATAATCCCATAGCCTACTCTCCTCCTCCCAAGGATCAGTTTAGACGGTCTTATATAGCCCAGGTCAGGCTCATTACACCAAAGACCATACCAACTGCAGGGGCATCATTACCAAAACTTTGTAGCCTAATTTCTGAAATAAATAAAAATAAACTCATTCATAAACTTAAACTAAACATTCATCTATGCCTACATCGCCAAACTTTTAGGTTCACTTCCCTCTTAATAGAAATGGTTTAACCCAACAAGATCTGGAGAGTAGACAGCATGTAGGGTAAATGTTTGCCATGTGGGAATAAATACAGATTTGAAATAATAAATAACAATGCTACAACTTGTCTCCGAGTGGTCAAAAAACAACTGTAATAGATATAACATGTGATGACCGCTGACATGTGCACCTATCTGACTGCAATCAACTCAAACAACATATCTTAAACTTATAAATAGCGTATATATTTTAGAATAATGAACCAGATTAAACAATTATATCGTAAACCTAATAGGCTGCAACATAATCAACAGAAACCATACCATACCATACCAACAAAACCATAAAGATAACTGTAAAGAAACAAATACCTTAACAGTTTGCAAAAACTTCATCTAAAACTTCCTTCACACAGTGATGATGACGTCATCTTAGCACCCGTCATCACAATCTGTAAAATATATTTATTTACCTGACTTTTCCGGAAATAAACAAAAATCCCATATATTTTAACCCTGAGTCAACTAGTACAGATTTAACAAAATTAAAGTCACAGTCTGATTACATTCACATCCACTAATGTCTCACATGCAAATAAAGAACAGAACAGTATAAACTATATGACCTGAATGGTTTAGAGGAAAAATACTTCTGAATGAATTCTGCACACCTAAATAATGATAAATAAAACATATTTGATCTCTCATAAAAAAGGGTTTTCACATTAACCATGGATTTGCTATATATTCCTCCCGGCGCAGTATTATTTAGTATAAAAGTCAACACTGATCTCCAAACATAACAGTCATTCTTCTTGATTCATGTCATTGTTCTCCTGCATCGCCACCATGAATCTCTGCTGATTGTGGTCAATATTATTTATCCGTTCTGTGTTCTAGTTTTGAATGATCCATATGAATATTCAAAATAGGGATGGGTAAAAATGTCTATTTCTCATTTTTAATCTCATCTTGTTTTTAATGATCAATTCTTAAATCGTAAGAATCAATCTTTTAGTCAATGTAATTTTTAGTTGATGAATGAACAAGATTGTAGCGCACCTTCTCTCCAATAAATCGCAATACGCTTCGTGATTTATAAAGTTTCGGATTTCAAAGTGTGTCTGTTTTATAATGAAATTTGACAATATATTTGAACTTTTTTGATGTAGCGTGACTTAGCTATTGCTATGACTTGAGCGGCTCTTGACTAAATTCATTTCTTCCTTTTTGCAACTAGTTTCTAAATAATCATGATTGAAAATTAAAAGGAATGATAAAAGATATAGCACAACATACTAACGGATCATGTCTCATATAATCGCTCAAACTGATGAAGCTTGTGCGTATTACATTTATCTCAGAAAAAAAAATTAAATGAAAATAAACTCATTAGACAGTTAGATAACTCGAGAGATTAACATTTTTCAATATTACACAATTATTATATACATGTATTTTTATTTTCTATCAAGTTGTATATCAGCCATTTAAAATGTAAAAAAAAAACTGAATTGGTATTAAAACAATAATAAAATTAGCATTTAACGTTATTATTAGAAAACCTTCCTTGTGTGTAATTTAAGTGTTTGTATACGTACCAGCTGAGTCCCATGAATGGAAGCTGACCCATTCTCTGAAACCCCATTATTAAGTGCTACTTTTTGTTTGCTACTTTTAATAGGTGGTTTGCAGTCACGTGATTGTATTGACGCGCGGAACGCAGATGGAGGGCAAGGAGTGAAGAGCGCAATGGACGAGATGGAGGAAAATCTGTACTGTAGCCTACTACTTTAGACGCTATTACAAGAGAAATATATAAACAGAAAATCGAAACATATGTTGGACGTGATCATTACATTATGAAGAGGACCGATTTTCAACTGAATTGAGAGATTTGCCTGCCATCGAGGCTAGATATCAGCAACTAACTCGTCTTACAGACATACTTTGACTTTACAAAGTTCGGAAACTGCTATGTTACACAAACAGCCACATAAGTGTATTTAAACACCTGAATAATGTAATTATAAGCCACATAAATATTAACTCACAGTTGACGAAGTGATCACTGCGCACACACACACAGGCATTTTCCCTTTCGGCTCCTCCCGACCGCAGACGTAGGTTTATAAGGCATTTTCCCGGTGTTTTTCTGTCAATTTCTTGTACTTTCCTCCCTTATGAACAACAACTTTTGTCACACGATAAAAACTCCTCGTGGTTTGGTCGATTTGAGCAACCATAAACGACGCAAAACATTGGCATTTTGAGTGTGTTAAAGTGCTTCCTAAATATAGAAATCACTTCCTGCCCTCCATTTGCGCTTCGCGCCATGGCAACGCAGTTGCGTGACGTCACGTGAAAACAAGCTATTGAATTTCCCGAAGAGGAAAAGTGCTTTGGTGTTGCTTTAAATTCAAAATAGTTTTATCTCATTAATGAAACAGCCAGCAAGTGCTTAAAATTGTCGGGTTCTTGGTCAAAACAATCATAAATACCTCTATGTTGAAAGTTGTTGCATAGTTCTGTTACTCCTTCGCTCAGTGTCTGCAATGAGACACTTGTTGCACATTGAAGGGAGCTAGATCAGTACTTGAATATCTTGTGTTTCTAAGTGGAATGCAATTAATTCAAAATGTATATTGTATGATGGAAAAAAATGCGGTGTTACTAATACTGCAAATAAAGCTCTTTTTGATTATGCAGTGTTAGCCACTTTGTACAAACATGGTACTCGCGGTAAATCAATAAAACAAGAGACTAACCGTTTTGAGCTATATAACAAATGGTTGTTTTTCTGTTGATAAAGCTACTCAAACAGGTGCTCGCCTGTCTAATGGAACACATTCACTCATTATGTTTCCAAGTTTTCTACTACGGAAGTAAAACCGGAAATCGAGGTTAACCCAAGCGGCAACATTCTAATCTGAAAGATGAAGCCTAGCCAGAAGTGCGAAAAACTGCAATACATTGAAAATCCGCTAGAGGGCCGGTCCCAAACGGGAGCAAATATCGCAACACATGTTAAAATGTCCGTTTTCACAGCATAAATTCATATGTTTACAGTTTGGTCTCATGGACTTTTATTGTAATCTTCAATATGTTCCGCGTGCCTGACAACTGTGAGGGGGGTGATTTTTTTTTCTAACTCGTTAGTTTAGATCATATTTAGATATAAAATGTATGACAAATAAGGGCGGTTAACTTTGATTGACAGCTGATAACGGGCTGCGCCGAGTGAATTTGACGTCTCGGCCATGATCTGACACGACACATCATACCACCTCTGTATCCTTTCTGAAACTTTTGTATTTTCCAAGAGGTTCCAGTATGGCGCCGCCCATAAACAGCCTCAAACCCGTTCTTCAGAGAGTCTATGGGTGACGTCACAGACGCTTTGTCCATATTTTTTACAGTCTATCGGTTAACCCTGATTTGATGACAGGCGGCACAATGAGCCATTACACTGGTTAAAATTGTGGATTTCTCTGGATTTAGAAATTCATGGGAACATTTGCGCAAATATATATAATTTTTCTAGTGGTTTTGGGATATTTAAATCCAACAATCTAACATATTATGTCTTTAACAACCTGGGATAGTCTTCGTGCAAACCCTATAAATTATTTTCTCGATCCCTCTCTGGTGAGTCGCAGGGCAGCAGGTGGAGTGTCAGCGCCCCCTGGCTGTGGAGCTGCAGTAGTCGCACAAACTCTTCCGGCATCTTGTGCATGTGGGAGCTCGGGAGGATCTGGTCGTAATAATGGTATGGAATCGGCTGTTCCTGCAGGTCGCTGCCGAACGGCCAGAATCCGTAAACGTGAACATGCTCACACAGTTCCAGTGCAGTGCTGATTAAAATAAACCCAGTGGAGAGGCGCTTCTCCTGCAGGCCACGCCCCTTCCAGAACCGGTCCAGTGACCGCAGGTAAGAGGGGCTGAAGAACACCACCGGCTGATGAGGTCTGAGTGGATGGAGGACTTTGAGCGCGTTGATTGACGGAGTTGTGCAGAAGGTGTAGGCGAAGGCAGGAATAATGACGGTGGCGTTTCCGTACACACTGACCCGCTCCACCAACGGATCCGGATTCTTCTCCAGGTCTTTGTATCTACAGAAACACAGTTTTATAATAAACGCTACTGACAGAACACATATGTATACAGCGGGGAAATATGTCTCTGTTCCCCATTTGTCAGTCACGACTACGTGTCACTTGGGAGCCCCAATCATCTCTGAGTTTTATAAAAACCGCCAATGGAATTGGTGACGAATTTGCATGCCAAGCCACTTCCCCGTACATATGGGTATATAAGATGGGGGCCCACATCACTCATTCAATGATTTCTCTAGACAGGGGAAAAGAGCGCATTCAACAGTGGTTCACCAGTGCATTGCAGTCCAAGGGGTAAGCGCAGAGGTCCCTTCAGTCAAAAAAGAGTATTTTTTTCTTAAAAGAGCAAATCGGGCGACGAGTGTCTTTTTGGACAATCTTGGATCGGGCCCTTCACAAGCACCCATTCAAGATGCTACTGCAGAAATGCATTCTCATGTGCGTACGTCCTCAAGATTGGTTCGTAGAAATTGACCAGAAGGACGCGTACATTCACGTCTCGATTCTACCTCGACACAGACCCATTTCATTGACGGTTGGGCATACTAGTACAAGGTCCTCCCCTTTGGCCTATTCCTGTCTCCCTGCATTTTTACCAAAGTTGTGGAGGTGGCCCTTGTCCAACTGGGGATTCGCATTTTAAACTATCTGGACTACTGGCTCATTCTACCTCTCTCTCTACATCTGTTGAGTGAGCATTAGGTCAGCTGGGAAAAGACAAAGTTCAAGAACAAGGAGTGGCACTTCTCACCATCTCTCAGTTAGAGTTGAAATGCCTGAATATACAATCAGGGGAAAACAGAGGCTCCACTGAAATATTCTCAGAGGTTCATGGGGCTTGTGGCATCCACACCCTCAGTAATGCCGCTCAGGTTGATGCATATGAGACCACTGGCTTTACAACCAAGTCCTGAGATCGGCACCTCCTCCTCCTTAATTAGCAGTGTCTCATGTTGCTCCACAATAACAAGTAACAATGAACGTCTAGGTTAGGTATGGTAACCCTCGTTCCCTGAGGAGGGAACGGAGACATCTTGTCGGAGGAGTTTCCAACGAATTGGGGTCACACTAGGGAGAACAATTGCCTTCTGGTGAATTAAAACGAGCCAATGAATATTGGCATGCAGGAATTGTATTTTGCGCCCCGCCTGCCAGTGCGGGTATAAATCGGAAGCAAGTGCACACACATATGCTTTAAGCTGAGGAGCCAGACGATGTCCAGTCCTCCGCGAAGGTACAGCAAGCATGCCGACAGGACGAGACGTCTCCCACCTCTGGGGAATGAGGGTTACCATACGGAACCGAGAATTGGGATCCCTAATAACACACCATGGTGCTTGCCCCTCACAGCGCCCAGCTTAGCTTCCCGCCAAAGCAGTCAAGTCAAGTCACCGTTATATATATATATATATATATATATAGCGCTTTTTACAAAACAGATTGTATCAAAGCAGCTTCACAGTGATAACATGAAAACAACACAGATCAATAATATTCCCAACTAAGCAAGCCAAAAGCCAAGGAAAAAGTGGCAAGGAACCAAAACTCCATCAGGGACAGAATGGAGAAAAAAAACCTTGGGAGAAACCAGACTCAGTCGGGGGCCAGTTCTCCTCTGGCCAATGAAGGAACAGTGTGTGATTCGGGCAGCGTTACAAGTCAGATTGGATCGGAACATTTAGAGTATTTGTCTATTTCCATCTGTTTGGAAGACGAAGTAATCCCGCCGAGTTGTTAAGGATCAGTGCCGATGGCTGTCGTGTCGATGAGGATGAGTTGGGGTTGGGTCCAGGTGCAGGTCCACCATAGAGGATGACAGAAAAGGCAGATTCGAGATTACTCTGTAATTGACTTATTCTGTAGGATCAAGTTGCGATTTAACTTAGCGGTTTTATCATAGCCAGCTTAAAGGTTTTCGGTAGGTATCCTAGCGACAAAGACAAATGAATGATATTACGAAGAGGATCATCTACCAAAAATGCCTACAGATCCCCTAACCTCTTAAAAGAGACCAACCAACACTATCTCACGACCAATTCGTACGAATTCGACGCATGATTAAAAAGTGTCGAATTCGTACGACCTCACTCATACTAATTCGTACGATTTGTCGAAACCCACGTGATGGTTAGGTTTAGGGGCAGGGTAAGGGGTAGGTCATTAGTACGAATTCATACGAATTGGCCAATTCGTAAAATATGTACGATTTAGCAAAATCGTATTAATCCGTACGAGTGAGGTCGTATGAATTGTTATGAATTAGCCACTTTTTAATCATTCGTCGAATTCGTATGACTTCGTCGAACCCGATCTCACGACCAATTCGTATGAATTCGACGAATTAGCCACTTTTTCGAATTAGCCACTGAATTCGACGAATTAGCCACTTTTTAATCATTCGTCGAATTCGTACGAATTGGTCGAACCTGATCTCACGACCAAGTCGTATGAATTCGACGAATGATTAAAAAGTGTCTAATTCGTAATAATTCGTACGACCTCACTCGTACTAATTTGTACGATTTGTCTAAACCCACGTGATGGTTAGGTTTAGGGGCGGGGTAAGGGGTAGGTCATTCGTACGAATTCATACGAATTGGCCAATTCGTAAAATATGTACGATTTATGATATGAATTGTTACGAATTAGCCACTTTTTAATCATTCGTCGAATTCGTACGACTTGGTCGAACCCGATCTCACGACCAAGTCGTATGAATTCCGCGAATGATTAAAAAGTGGCTAATTCGTAACAATTCATACGACCTCACTCGTACGAATTGATACGATTTTGCTAAATCGTACATATTTTACGAAATGGCCAATTCATATGAATTCGTACGAATGACCTACCCCTTACCCCGCCCCTAAACCTAACCATCACGTGGGTTTAGACAAATCGTACGAATTAGTACGAGTGAGGTCGTACGAATTCGTGCGAATTAGACACTTTTTAATCATGCGTCGAATTCGTACGAATTGGTCGTGAGATAGTGTTGGACCAACGCCAACAGGAGAGCTGTCCTCATCGACAAGATATTTATCTCTGCTGTATTTCAGGGCTCAACAAGGGGGCCTCTGGAGTGCTCTGAGCACTATGGTTAAGTCCCAAGAGGGTACAGGGTGCGGGTTACGAGGTGGACTTAACCTCCGAGCACCCTTAAGGAATGTGATGACCAGGTCGTGCTTTTCCAACGACTTCCCATCTATACTGTATCATACACTTTGAGGGTGGACAGCCTTCGCTCCAACCCATTTTGCAGGAATAAAGCACGACTCTGATCGGGCAAGTTCGGCCAAACGACACCAAACGACGAACAGGTTCCAGTTCAAAGCATAGAGGCGCATGTAGTCAATAAAAAAGATTCTGAAAGCTTACAATGAATCTGAAACATCATGAGAAGTTCATTTAAGTGATAATCAAAGCTGTGTTTTTACTGTTGTGTGTGTGTGTGTGTGCGTACACTGACCGGAGCTGACTGGGGTTGATGGTTATCAGATCCGTCTTCAGTCCAACGTCACTGTCATTAACCTCTGCCAAATTAAACCTGAAAGAGACAGAAAACATCAACATTTACATTTACGCATTTGGCAGACACTTTTATCCAAAACGATTTACATTGCATTTCAAGGTACACATTTTACATTCTTATCAGTTCTCAGCTCTCATATTAACAGGAAGGATGGATGAATAATGATGTTGTGGTCAGTGTGAGAGCAAAGAATGATGGGATGTGTTTACCGAATGACAAAGTCTGCGTTGTCAATCTCACGTCCACAGCTGCTGTTTTTCAAAATCCCACCGCTGCCGACCACAGCACACCGACCCAGACGCCGACCGGACCAGGGGATGTCCTGAACATATATTTGGTTTAACTTTATACCCATACCCATCATCACACAAAACGTTATGCTTATACCCCTGGTATATACAATCAAAAATGGCAGCATGAGACCACGGAGTCACATTGAAACGAAGCACACACATTTAGTGAACAAGCCACTCCAGTTTTTTGATAGGAAGCATAATGATATGCAGTCACAAAAAAAGCATAATTAAATCGTTCGGTACTACTAACATGAAGGCGACAGAAGCATCGTATCGTGTCGTGCTACGTATAGCGAAGCCAGGCAAACCCCATAACATACTATACACCGCCATATATTTAGATGTTCATGTCTTTCTTTCTTCATTGGAAAAGAAATTAAGTTTGAGGAAAAAATTTCAGGATTTCAGGACTCCAAGCGCAACCAACATGTTGAAGTGCTTCAAAGGGCTCTGCACAATCCCAGCTGAGGAATAGAGAGATTTAGATTCAACGAGTTTAGACAACTCTCCGTCTCCTATAGCTAATTTTTCCTTAAGGAGACTACAATGCAGTCCCTGATGCGATGCTGTAGTTGACGGTTGCGTCAGGAGATCATAAAGTCATTACTGCTGTGCTGTTTGGAAGCTTCTGGGCTTGATGCTTTATTTTTCGATAGTTTAGAAACTGTTTCAAATAAATACCTTGGGTTATGTTTATTTTCTTCTAACAGGGTTGAAAAATAAGTAGATCTAGCTGCTTTTAAGGCCTCTCTGTATGCAATAGAGATCTCCTTCCATGAAATACGAAATACCTCTAGTTTAGTTTTCTTCCAGGTTCACTATCGAGTTCTTCTAAGCTATCTGGGATGCTGAAATGATGTAACTGGTCAGGAAGATTATTTATAAAGCAATGTTTAGTGGCAGAAGTGATAGGTCTAACATATTTGTCATCTTTTTCATTATCGGCATGTTAAAATCACCAACAAATAGGACTTTATCTGCAAGCCAGTACTAACTCTGATAGGAAGTCAGCAAATTCTTTGATAAAGTCTGTATGGTGCCCTGGTGGCCTGTATGCTGTAGCCACCACAAATCTTAAACTGGATTTATGATTTACACTAGATAGTGTTACATAAGCACAAACACTTCAAAAGAATTATATTGGAAACTAGACTTCTTAGTAATTTTGAAAGTATTACTATAATTTACAGCAACACCTTTGCCTTTCAGACGAGGATCATGTTTATATGTTGTGGGGTATCATATCGTAATCTTGTGGGGTGGACTCATTTAATCGTCTGGTTTTAGCCAAGTGTTCTGTCAAACACAGCACATCTAGGTTATAATCTGTAATCATATCATTAACAATAAGTGCTTTTGAAGTAAGGTATCGAATTTATCAGTGGCTCATTTATCTGTTTTTTTATTAGTTGAACCAATTACATTTTTAAACCTAAATGGGTTTGGAAGTTTTTTGTATGTCCTTATTCTGGGAACAGACACAGTCTCTATGTGATGATATCTTGGTGAAAGAGTCTCTATTTGATGGGATTTATTTATTTTTGCAGACGGTCGGTTTAGCCAGTCTGTCTGCTCCCTGACCTGAGCCCCAGACTGTCATGTTTGAGCTCTAAGATTATGTGCCATATTACTAGAGAGAAGAGCAGCACAAATACTATCTCTTCTCAACAGGTCAGGTCTGCCCCAAAAACTTTTCTAATTGTCTATGAATTCTATTATATTTTGTGGATATAACTAACAGGAAGGGGGGCCAGAGCAAATTACAGTGCCTTTCATTTTTTTTATGAAATATCAAAAGGAGAAATAATGCAATTTATTTTTTACAGCCATTTTTGATCATACCCTAGGGGTCCCATTAGTTTTGACCACTGTATGTATGTATATATATATATATACAGTATATATAGCCACAAACACACAACCTTTCTTTATCTCACACATATAATCATATACACAATCACAGACACAAACGCACATACAAACACACACCTCAGGCAGCATACTGTAAATTTCTGAATTCATTTTGTATGTTTTTGTTGTGCTTGTTTCATATTGGATGGATTGATTGATGGCTGTGTTGTCTTTGGTGAGGATGAATGATCCTGTGGCGTTACAACAAAACTGCAACCGGATTCTGTCATAAACACACACAGAGGGAGAGAGAGAGAGAGAGAGAGAGAGAGAGAGAGAGAGAGAGAGAGAGAGAGAGAGAGAGAGAGAGAGAGAGAGAGAGAGATTGAAACAACCTTTATTTACAACATACAGATAAAACCAGTCTTTTACCACTAGCAAACTTTGTTACAAAATCTCAATTACGGGGAAAAAAACAAAACAAAAAAACAAACCAAAAAAAAAAAGAAACAACAACGACATACTGACTTAAAAAGTCAACAGTAAATCATCATTTTCATCAATTCTACATAACGCATCATTTATGGCCCAAGTATTCACAAACATTGGTAAGCACCCAACCAAAGTATAGTATGCATACTCTATCCTGAGCCTTGATGCAACCAAACCCTTAAACATCAGCAAAGGATCTAAAGTATCTTTACCAAGCATCTTATTTTTCCTTGTTTTCCAAATACTGAGTTTGGCAGTTCCAAACACAAAATTTAGTAAAACCAAAACATGTTTACGGCTAGTGACATACCTTGGCCCAAAAATAAACAATTGAGGAGATAAATCCTCACCTAAAGCTGATACCCATTGGGATAAAAGAGAGAACAAATTACCCAACCGTTCACATTGCACAAAAAGATGAAAAATATTTTCGTTTTCAGAACAAAATAAACAATCCACCTCTACATTTGGATTGAGGTGCACCACATGTCTGTTCGTAGCTATTGCACTGTGTACTATCCTCCATTGTAAATCACCAGTCCGTTTATCAATGGGGCGTTTATACAGTGACCGCCAGCTACCCCTAGGGGAAAAATCCACTCCAAAAAAATCTGTCCATTTAGATGACTTCACTCCGGACAGAAGATGTATATTGGTCACTTTCACACAAGTCACATACAGAGCCTTTTTCCCCACAGACTCAAAAGTATCCAGCTGAGGAGTTTTAAAGGACAATATGAGATTTTCCTCCTCCTGCCATCCCTGTACATCAGCAGCGATCTTCAAGGAAGGAAAAGCATATTCACGTACAGCCATCCACTCTTTAACATGGTTCGAGTTATTAACAAAAAGGATCTGATCATGATTCAGCTCTCCAAGCACCTCGTCAGTCATTTGTTTCAAAAACCGAGCAGATTTTATCCCAGTTCTCTCACTCAGGGTCTCCAAACTGACGCTTAGGATATGTCCAAGTTTTACACATCCAGCCGCTATCAGTCGTGATGAGACATTGACAGAGCACAAATGTCTCGAAGGTAAAAAGGGATTCTGAAACAATGGCTCCTCCATCAGCCAAAAACCTGCATGTATTCCAGCAGGTCTTGAGACAGAGAAAACTTTCCAGGCTTCCATCACAGATCTGTAGAATGGAGTCAAATCTGCTAAAGTTCTTTCATTCAGAGTCAATAAAAAGAGATGTTTATCAAGTCCCATGTTGCCTGCTTTCCTCAAAAGTGCAACTGCAGTGTTAGACCAAGCAATATCGCCATAGTACAGCAGTCTCTGAGCAGCTTGCAGACGAAAGGCCATGAGTCTTGATCTGATATCCACAAGACCTTGCCCCCCTTCTTGCACTGGCAAAAAAAGTACAGCTGATCGGACCCAATGCTGTCCTGACCAAAAAAAATTAACCAGCATCCTTTGAATGTCTTGAACTAGTCCAACGGGAGGCTGTAACACAATAAATTTATGCCACAGCGCGGAAGCGACCAAGTTATTGGCAACTAAAACTCTCCCCCTGTAGGATAGCTGGGGTAGCAACCAGTTCCATTTAGACAATCGGGTGCACACTCTCTCCAAAACTCCCTCCCAATTTTTCTTCTGAAACTCTTCTGATCCCAAAAACACACCAAGCAATTTTAGCCCTGCTCTATTCCAGTTTAAAGTACCTGGTAGTTTTGGGAGATTTTCAAAATGTCTTTGCCCTGACCAAAAAGCTTCAGTCTTATCCCAGTTTACTTTAGCTGATGATGCCCCTTCATACAACTCAAGTGCTCTAGACAAAGCTTTTACATCATTATCATCATTAACAAAGACTGTTAAATCATCAGCATAGGCGGTAATTTTAGTTCTTAAACCTGGATGCATTGTGGGTATTGATAAACCATTTAAAGTTTTTCTTATATTAAAAAGTAAGGGCTCAATGGCGATACTATACAATTGCCCCGATAGAGGGCAACCCTGTCTGATGCCCCTTGACACCACAATGGGTCGACTCAGGCCACCCCCCACCTTGACCATACAAGAAGCTCCAGCATACAACAAGCGTATCCACTTGATAAAATCCTGACCAAACCCGAATGCAGCAAGTAGATTAAAAATATAATGATGATCAACACGATCAAAAGCTTTCTCTTGATCTAAAGCAATCAATCCCACTTCTGCATTAAACATTTTACAGATATCCAAGGTATCTCTTACTAAAAACAGGTTATCCATAATAGATCTTTTTGGAATGCAATAGGTTTGGTCTTGATGAATTATCAAATGTAAAAACTCCTTAAGTCTATTTGACAGACATTTAGACAAGATTTTATACTCTGTTGTTAACAAAGCAACAGGTCTCCAGTTCCTCAACAGAGTCAAGTCTCCCTTTTTGGGTAGTAGGGACAACACAGCACGTTGACATGTGGCAGGTAGAAAGCCATCCTTATAACTTTCACAGAACACTTCATAAAGGTCCATTCCTATGTATTTCCAGAACTCTTTATAAAAATCAGAAGTCAACCCATCAATCCCCGGAGAACGTCCCGAATTCAATTGTCCAACAGCAATAGTGAGCTCTTGAAAGGTAATTTGTGTGTCCAAAGCATTCTTAGAACCAGAGTCTATTTGAGGAAGTCCTTGCAGAAGTTGTGCTGCATAACTAGAGTCACAATGCTCAGCTTTGTAGAGCGAAGAATAAAAATCAACAGCATGACGACGCATTTCCATAATGTCATATGTAATCTTTCCATCTGGAAGACGTAAACATGTCATTTGCTTAGATTGTGACACTGAGCGTTCTAAATTAAAAAAGAAAGCACTTGGGGCATCCATGTCAGTGACCGATGTGAAACGTGACCTCACCAAAGCTGCTTTCACCCTCTCATTCAGATGAACACTCAGCTGTTTCTTTTTCTGCTGTAAGTTATTAATACAATCTGGGTCATTTCTTATAATCATTTCTGCTTCTATCGACTCTATATCTCTTTCAAGAGCTTGAATTGTTTCTCTTTGAGTAGTTGTATAATATGCAGTGTATTGTTGACAACATAATTTTATTTGAGTTTTTCCAACCTCCCACCATTGCTTTAGATTTTCAAAATCATTTTTCTTCCCCTTCCAATGATTCCAAAAAAACTCAAAATGTTTGGAAAACGAAGCATCCCGCAACAGTTTGGCATTAAAATGCCAATAAGAAGATTTTCTTGGAATTTGTACCATATTTACTGAAATAAAAACCAGATGATGGTCAGAGAAACCTATCGGAGAAATAACACATTCAATAATCCTGTTATTAAAATTTTTTGAAGCATAAATTCTGTCTAAGCGAGCAGCACTAACTCTGTTATCAGATATTTTAACCCATACTGTTTATCTGCTGGATGCTTAATTCTCCACATATCTAAAAGTTCAGCCTCTTTCACCAATCTTGACAAATAGTTAGATGAAGGCAAATGAGGCTCCACATTATTACGGTCAAAATTGAAACATTCAGTACAATTCCAATCCCCACCAATAATAATATCACCATCACTAAAATCCTGTCTTAAAACATTAGCTAGCTTTATAAAAAACTGTAATCGCTCATTTCCTACATTCGGTGCGTAAACATTTATAAAATAAATTTTCATACCTTCAATAACAGTTTTTACAAGGAACAAGCGACCTTTTACAAATTCTTCAGTTTTTTCAATACTAACTTTTATAGCTGGAGAAAAAAGAACAGCAATTCCAGCGCTTACATTTGTACCATGGCTAAGTACGTGCTGACCTTTCCACCACATCCCCCACTCAACTTCATTATCCACATCGCTATGTGTTTCTTGTAATAGAATGACATGTAACTTTTTATCTTGCATAATTTCAGACACCAAAATTCTTTTTTGACTATCCCTCCCACCATTAATATTTAATGAACCCACCCTCAAAAGATCCATATTTAAGTTTAGGGAGGATAGAAAAAAAACAACAGCAGAAAAAAACAGAAGAAACAAAGAAGAGAACACCGCGTGATGCATGGCTAAAAATTTACAAAAACGCTTTCATCCTCTTCTTTTTATCCCCCATTCTACTTTTCCTAATGACTGTAACATGTTTCTTTAAACGAAAACGCTTCTTTTCACTCAGCTGATCAAGATTCACCGTCTTTTGAAGAACCGCCACTGACCTCTCAAATTTTCCTGTATCAGGGAAAAATTCTTTAATGTTGACTTGTTTTCCAAATGTCTCATCAAGGAACCCATTAATTTCCTCTAATGTATACAAAGAGGAATCCTTGGTAGACATATCTTGAGAATCGCCGTCATGTCCACATACAGACCCTCCCTGGGAATCACATTCATAATCGATTGACACATTCTCGTCAGATGTATTGTCATCATCTACTACACTACCATCATTACTGAAACACAACTCTCTTTTTCTTGTAACCAACATAACAGCCTCACACCTGCTTGGCCCTGCAATTTCCACACCATCATCCTGCTGCTCATCAACATTGATATTTTGAACAGTATTTGCAATGTTTTCATTTTGCTGACGTTCAATCACATTAGTCACAGCATTCTCATGTACTTCACTGGCGGACGGCACCGCACCAGAATCGCTCACCTCAGCTGGACCTGCATGTTCCTCTGGAGCCGCGCGCTCGCGCACCGCCGCATCTCCCTCTCCAGAGACAGTGACCCTCTGCCTATCCTCTGGTGCGCGCTCTCTGTGTGGGCATACAAACCTTTTATGCCCTAAATCGCCACAATCGAAGCACCTCAAGCTACCAGTGCTTGCGTACACCATATACGTTTTACCTTCGTCTCGTACTCGGAATGAAACATCCAGAGTGTTTTCAGGGGAGTCTAGAAACATAAACACCTGTCTTCTGAAAGATTGGACGTGTTTCAGAGATGGGTGTTTACAGCCTAACGCAATTGTTTTGAAACCACTGGCAAATTTACCAAAACGTACTAGTTCCCGCTCCAACGCTTCATCCGGAATGAAAGGTGGAACATTCGATACCGTGATTTTAACTGTCGGCGCGTATAACGGGGTAACCTGTACAAAGTTTTCATTAATGACTAGGCCATTCTCGATTAAACGATTAACGAGGTTTTGTTCTTTCAAGAACACCACTACAGCTTTATTCATACGGGAAGCGGAGACAATGTTCTCATGTCCTACTTCTCCTCCAGCCGAAATTAGCACTTCTTCAACTGTGACGCCATCCTCTGGCACACACCTGAAGCCATTGCGCAAGGACAAAGACGGCATCTCTTCATGAGACGCCATCTCTTCCCGCGCAATAACTGCAAAGAATAAAACTATATCACAACCTTACTTTTAACCATGCAGAAAAAAACAACAACAAAAAAACAACAAAAAAATCCCCGTAAGTGAAAAGCACCGCTCAGATCTCACTCAACCCTACCACTCACGCCAAACACCCGCACCGGAAGTGTGAGAGAGAGAGAGAGAGAGAGAGAGAGAGAGAGAGAGAGAGAGAGAGAGAGAGAGAGAAGCATGATCAGCTTTGTCAGTGTCATCTCTGTTAAAACGACCCACTTCAGTAGCTTTATTGTTTGAACAGCTTCTCTCTTTAAACACCGTGTCTCGAACAATAATGTCAATAATCAGTGTTCATGAGCTAGAAATATTATGTTTCCCCCAATAGAAATGTTTTTAATTCCCTACTTAAATGTGATGCGATTAGGGAAAACCCACCACATGGTGAAATTTGACATATGGCAATTACTACAGGTTTTGCGATCATACACATACATCTGGGTTCAAGCCCTTTCTAAATCTTTATTTCTTTTATAGTTTGCCTGTAACAAAAATTGTGGTTATCTGAAGTCGGCTGATCGCTTTGATTTTCAGAAACGGGATTTTGAAAAAAACAGGTTTAATTAACTGAAAATGTAGCCTACAAGTGTGTTACGACATCCGACGGGTTTTCACAGATCGCATAACAAATCTTTATATGCCATTTTCTCAAAATGTTTTTTTTTTTCTATGTCATTCTCCAGTACAAACTTCAGATTTCAGACTAAACTCTCCAGTTATACCAGTATTCTGAACATTTGTTCAGAAGGATTTGTAAATAAAATCATTCCTGCCTAATTTGCATAATCAAACATTCAAATTTCAAAAAAGTATAATATTTTTTAAATATACTTGTGTAAGTAATCAACTGAGGAAGTTTCATGGTGATCTCTATTATTTACAAAAATGTAGCCTTTCACCTGTAGGCTATAGTGTCTCGCCTTAGGGGACAATAATATCCCAAAATTTGCATAAAACAGGTGGGTGTTTTTTTTGTTTGTTTTTTTCATATTGGTTATGTTGTGTGTGTTAAACAAGTTCACTGCTGTGGAAAATAAACGAAATCAATCAATGGAAACATGGAGTTCTGGAAAAATTCTCTCTCACAGAATCAAAATCTGTTTTTCCTAAAATACCAAATGTTTCATGAGATAATTCTGGTTGTCTATATGCACCAGTGTTGCTCAAAAACTTCTTGGTCGAAGACGGAGGAATAGAGAAAAGATAGGAATGTGCAACTGAACGGACAAGTTATTCCTGTAGCTCAAATGTCAAGATGATCACGCACAGAAAATACAGATTGACAAAATTACCTTGAATTCTATGCAAATCACTTTTGACTTTTGTCCTGGCAAACCCATAAGCATGAATGTGAGGATGTTAAAGACAAACCTGTTCAGCTCCCGCTCAGTTTGGTTATATTTGTACGGGCAGCTCATGTAATCTGACAGCTCCTCCGTGAACCCATTGAGCTTTATACTGAGAGGGAAACAAAGACATTTCATTCAATAGTCAGTTCTTTGAAATACTAGGATCGCTGGTTGATCATTCGGGCGTTGCTAGACCCCTTTTACTGGGGCACGTGCCCCACTATAAATCTGCTGTACCCCAGTAAATCTAAAGTCTGAGTTTAACAATTTATTTTATATTTCAGTGTATTTAAAATAAATTATAATATAGGCCTAGGGTAATTATATTAATGATCTATTTGCAACGCATTATTAAAACAATTGAACCAACGCGTGTAAAAGCAACACAGTTTGTTTAACCAGAAGCTGACCCGCGGGACAGAAATCCTTGTCTGCGCGCGTCTGTGTTTCCAAGCAACGGCAGCGCGCACACATCTGAGCACACCGAGGTAGGCTATGAAAACATGACGAAACAAAACTTTGTAAATAATACAAATAATAAAGTGTTTCACATAATTCATATCTGTGTATAGTTTGGTGTTTATGTGGGCTAATCGTTTTATGTTTGTGCGCAGAGTTACTACGCAAAAACAACATTTTTTGAAGAGTTATTTAGTTTTGAATGATGACAATCACATTTTGTGATTTAGTGTGAATCATTCATTTATCCTTATTCTCATGTTTAACAATCTGTTATCTGCTTGACAAATCATTTCAGCTACTGCTGTCCACTAACATACTTTTAATTGTTATTAAATGTTTTGGCCTTGAAACACCTTTAAATGCGGATATGAAGGTCGGAGAAATCTAAATTTTCTCGGGGAGAATCTCCCTAACCTCCCTAACGTTCAAAACATCACATATTATTATTATTATTATTATTATTATTGTGTGTGATAACAATATATCATTACAATTGACCTATCGGTAAGCACCGCCTTTCTTAGTTACTGTTGCTATCCCAGACAAACGATGGGGGACCTGTGCCCCAGTAGAGCTTTATGCAACGTCACGCACCTTTTGGCCGGTTTGATAATGGAAAACTTGCGTCTGAGTTTTTCACAGTGCAGCTTCATAAACCCCTTTGTGATCGCATCTCTGAAAGAAGAAGAGCATATATGTCATTTTTGTGTTGATCATTAACTATTTTTATATATGTATTTTTAGGCTATATTCTATATGTCTCTAAATGATCAATATGATCAAAACTGCTGATAAACCCGTTCGACACAATCTATTTCATTCTAATTGTGTCTTGTTCCTCCTCACTCTTAAAAATAAAGGTTCTTGTTCAGCAAATATAGGCCTATAGCTATAGCCTATTAAAATTTTGAGATGTTAAACATTTCCCCGCAGTAAACTAAAGGATTTATTTGAGTGAAACAGCTTTCACACATCTAAAACATTTATATTCAGACTAAAATTATGATGAAGTTTAGCAACTTCGTGACACCTTGCACAATATCATAGTGTCATCAAGTAAAATAAAAAAAAACTCACTTATTAAGACGCAGATCTTAAACCAGCCATCGACTTTAGATATAACTTAGCCGACTCAAAAACAGCATCACAGAGCCCGATTGGATTTCCTTTAAATAGCGTTTATTGAATTATAATGAAAAATTGAGATTAAAGCGCTCACCTGGACGAGTGTGTGTCGGACTCGGCCATGTGTGAAAACATCACACACACACACTGAAAGATGACCAGGACCATCAGCAGTGTGAAGATCCACTGGAGAGACGCCGATGCCATCGGAGACAAATGCAATGTGCGCGCGCGCGTGTGAGAGAGTCGCCCTTAACCCTGGATCTCCATAGAGCTGGTAAGTCCCGCCCCTTCAGCTAGCCCCGCTGGACCTCTTGAAAAATCGTCAATGCAAGTGAATGAGAGAAAATAATTATTTTCTAATCCCGCTTGAATTTTGCAATGAATGTGAACATACGAAGAGTTCAGACATCAGATGCAAAAGCCTCTAAATGCCATTTGAAATTTTCTTCTTTAATAATGATTTTTATCAAACTTGTATATTTAAGTTCAGTAATTTCACTGTGGTAATTATCATTGCCATTTAAGTGAAATCACTGAACTTAATTATACAAGCTTGATAAAAATGATCATTCTAGAAGAAAATTTCAAATGGCACTTAGAGGCTTTTGCATCTGAACTCTTCATATGTTGTCTGTGAATTTTTTATATAATGTTTCGTGTAAAGAATGCTACAATTTAGCGTTTAGAATTTTCATACGGTTAGACTTTGTGTGAGAGCACTTTGTGGACTACAACTCTTTCGACGTGTTTGATATAGGCCTACATCACATCCACCGGCACACGGATCCCGCTAAACATGCCTGTGTCTTTGGTGCACTTCACCGCCTTCTTTCAGGGGGAGGACAAACTTGAGGTGGTGAAAACCGTGATTTGTGGAGGGAAAATGTGTTATGCGGCGACGTCACATATGCGACGTGTAGTCTTTCTCGTTATGTCTATTGCACAACTGCTAGGCAAAGAATGAATATAATGTCAAACTCGTTACGTGAGAAATTATATAAAAAATTCACAGACAACATATGTTACTTTCACTTTCCTGGCTCAATTACGGATGGGCGGGACTTACCAGCTCTATTTCTCTCTCTCTCTCACACACACACACACACACACACACATACGCACACTGTCTCGTTTCCGACTGTTTAGTGTGCCGGCGTTTTTTTTTGGTTTTTTTTTGTTTTGTCTCTTTATTATTTGGAGGCATGTTGTTTGGCCGTTTCATTGTCATCAAATTCATTGTCATCGATGGGGAATTTATTTCAGTCCTACCTACTACATTCAATGCCTGCGAAAAATGTAATAATTTCTAATGTTCCACCTTCTGTTAGTGATGTAATTCTGACTCAAGCGCTATATCGTTAATTCACTGTGGTAAATTAACACAGCCTCATCCCAAGACGTCATGTAACTGACGTCTTGGGACGTCCCTAAAACGGCGGATGTTGACGTATGGTCAAAAGACCTCCCAAGACGTCAGTTATATGACGTTATAAAAAGATCAGTTATAAAAAGATCCCAATCAGTAGCGAATCGCTGTTATTAAAACATATCGTTTCTTTTAGACGCAGATTTAGATTTAACTTAGAATTTTCGTATTGAGGATTTTGGTTATTCGTTTTTTGTCACGACAAATTCAAATGGTTAAAGAGCCTCAAAATGCAAGAAATGGAATCGAAACTGATTCAGGGCAGATTTTAAATCGTCCAGAGAATAACGATCCGGCCCGATCCGAGAGCTGACGCTCGCTGAAATCGGATTGGGAGCGGCTGTATTTGGTATTTAATTAAAGAATCAGTGGTGACAGGTGACTTCTTAAACCGGTTATGCGGAAACGCTCTGAAATGAGACACTTGCTGCTGTGTTTTTTAACGAATCTCTCGAACAAATCATTCAAAACATTCACTTCAGTTCACTGCTGTAATAATGTAATTGTAACACTTTATTTTGAAGTTTCCAGTTCCTTTCAAAACGCAATTTACTATAAACGTTTAAATACCTCTGTGATAATTGTAACGTTTGAAACAGATATAAGTATATAATCTATACATGACAACAGCTCTCTCTCTCTCTCTGGGATAGAACACTGATCTGAATGTTCACTTAGGCTATCATAGCCTACTGAATATAAATATATATAAGTATAAAAAAGTAAAATACTAATTGTAATAAATATAAGTAAAGTATAATAAGTCAAAATAATAAGAAAATAAGATATTTAAAGGAAATTGATGACTTTAACAAATGCATTTGTTATAGACACATTATGTAAGTTTTGCCGCTAAAGGTCGTAGCTAAAGCTTAGCATTGATGATTGTGTGAGTGAGCGTGGAATCAAGTACCTTAATATAATGGTTCCAAAACTGTTTCAGTGGTTCATCAACTCGTAACAGGGTGAACAGCACTTCGGTATTCGCTTTAAGGCCCTCTATCGGCTATAGTTGCACTACGCAAGTTTGCCAGATCGGGTAGCGGATCTGTAGTTTGAATGACACATAAGAAACTACAAATTTGACTTGCTTTACGGCAAGCGTTACAATAGCATATAGGTGGAGCAAGGCTCTGAGTGGAGCAGCAGGTACATATGAAAGATAGCTAGCACTTGGGTAGCTTTTGAATTGTCATCATGATGGAGACTGCAAATAAAAGGAAGGGTCTGATGTCGGAGGAGGCGAAGAAAAGAAAGAGGGAGGATGATAGAGAAAGAGCTTGAACTAGAGTGAACATTGGACCGACTTACATTCGTTGGCAAGAGCTGAAGGAGGCTACATGATGCAAGACTGATGGGTCTCTATTTTTCCAATAAAATGCTCAAGATTTTCACAGACAATGCAAATGGCTAATACATGCTTAACTGTCAGGCAATACGTTTTATTTTTCATCCTTGAGTGAATCTTGCTATTGCGAGAACATTTCAAATTTACCGTTTTTACACAATCTAAAAAACAAATAAATTAAAAAAAAGCAACCAATGTCATTATTTAGTTTTTCTTCATTTTTGATGTCGCAATACATCATACTTTAATAAAACTGTGTAACATATTGTCTATGGACATCGTTATTTCCAAAGCCGGTGGTGGATAAACAAATTGTGTGTGTTTAACAGTAGGGACAATTCCGTTTCCAACCTGTAGGGGGACCGCAGTGGAAAAGAGCAATTGTTGTTGTGACAACTAATTATTTAAGGATATGTATTGTATGGTGGAGAAAATGCTGTGTTACTACTACAAACAAAGTTCTTTCTGATTATGCAGTGTTAGCCACTTTGTACAAACATACTAGGATTCAAACAATAAGACAAACCATTTTGAGCTATATAACAAATGGTTATTTTTCTCTTGACAAAGCTACTCAAACAGTTGCTCGCCTGTCTAATGGAACACATTAAAGCAAGTTTTCTACAACGGAAGTAAAACTGGAAATCGAGGTTAACCCTGATATAACAGGCGGCACAATGAGAAATAACCAATAATTACACTGGTTACAATTGTGGATTTCTCTGGATTTAAAAATTCTTAGAACCATTTGCGCAAATATATGAAATTATTCTAGTGGTTTTGGTATATTTTAATCCAACAATACTACATATTATGTCTTTAACCCCTTAAACCCGAACCGTCCCAGTCCCACGGGTGGGACACCCCCCCCCATAAAAAAAATTCATGATCAAATTACTAAGCAACCACTGAAGGTAATAACACAAAATAGGTATCATTTTAAAGCTTAGAATCTCAACTTTTTAATGCATCTAAACACTAATAACAACTCCAAAGGAGTGCCGAGTAATCCCTCTAAAACGGAGTGTACCGCCAGCAGGCGACACAGCTGCGATAAAACATAATTATAATATTTTTCAAAAATATGACCTTGATCTACTTAAAATAAGCCTCATTTGAAAGCTTAGAGTCTGAATTTTACAATGAATGTAGCCAATTTGATAAACTCCTAAGTAGTGCCGAGTTATTTGCTGATAAATATAAAAAAATGTTTTAATAATTTATGAATTAATTTTTTTGTAGCCTACTACATACTGCAATATGTCAAATACATCATACAGCTCAGATAGTCATGTACCATGTCATTTTAAAGGTCTCAAGGAGTAGAATACAACGAGCACAATTGTTTCGGGATTTTTACTAAACTTGAGTAAGATTTTGTACAATAAGCCCCTCAAGAGACCCATATGTAAATCATCCATGGATGCTTAATTTAAGACACATTTCCGCTCGTAACTTCATTAAACATGCTCCGATTGTGGGAAATGACACATCATTATTTACAGCAGATTCGTACGATTAAAATGAACTCAACATAATCCATGACTCAGAACTCAAGATATCACTCGCGGAGTTCTAACACAAAAATAATCCACAGACGCACGCAGACGCAAAATTTCTTGTCACATTAACAGTAACTTACTGGCAACAATTATCCAGTACTTGCTGTATTTCATTTAACAGTAAAATTACCGTAACACTAACAACAGTACTGTTAAGCATACTGTAAATTAAATAACATTATTTTACTGTAATTTCTTACCATATTAAAGTACAGTATTACACTGTTAATTTTTAATAATACTGTATAGTATGTAATGTTATTGTATTTATTTTATAGTGCTACTGTGTAACCTGTAGAAAATCCGTAGAAATATTATTTTAACTGTTAATGGGAAATAGAAAAAAAGAACAATTGAAGATTTAACTGCACAAGGTTTATTGTGTATTTTCAAACACATTAGCGCATTTATAATATACATTTAAATACATTAATACAATTAAATACATTAATAATAAAAATGTAATATAATACAATAAAAATCATGCATGACTATCATGAACAATTATGCATAAATACATGCAAAAAAAATATCAGGTAAAATAGAAAAGATTAAAGGGGTGCTATCTGATCAATCTATTAGAAAGATAGTTCATAACAACTCATCCACCCACTCCCTGCTGGGGATAAACAGCTGAAACTAGTCTAAGATTGTCTATTGGTTTGAGATAGACTGTCTAACTGGTCAGTTGCTGATTTTAAAGGGTTTTTGGCTGCTTTCTATCTAAGGGACCAGATTTGCAGGGCTGGGAGACACATATAAACTAGCTTTGACAAGTAAACCACCAATCCAGATGAGTATTACAAAATGACAAGTTATCCAGTGTCCTTTAAAAAAAAAAACTAAACACAAAACAACCTCATCATGCACATGTGCCATGAAAAACTTGCATTACGGTATTAATAATCATTTATATGCAGACTTATGTTCTAACTTTTGCAATAGGAAGTTTTCTATCCAAGCTTTTATGCAATTAAACCTTAAACTGTACAACAACGTTTATTTTCACACAACAATTCTTAACAACTTGCAGATAGACAAAATTCACAGATGGATAATAATCTGTTTAAAATGTTCTCAGTGGGTCAGTACTGGACCAAGGTATAGTAGTAGTAGTTAGATAAATAGAATAATTACATTAGATTAGATTTACAACTCATCGGTCGTCAAGATGGATAGGGGTCTTCTTAACATGCACAGCTCACACCTGTGGAAAAGGAGAACAGACAAGACAGTTAAAATACAGTACGTTTTTGTTGTTGTTGTTTTGGCTAAACAGCAAAAACAGACAAAATGATGTCTAAAGTGTAATTCACTTAATACTAAAATCTTGTTTGTTGGACTGTTGTTTAAAATCAATTGTTAAAGTATGTTCATTATGTCCTCAGTTGTATGCTGTGTAATATAACGCAATGCTATACTGTTCAGTGTTGTGTTTATGCCACAAGAGGGCACTAAAGTATAGGCTATGGAGGATGCGTTTGTATTATTATTATGTTTGTCCAAGTTGATTTACCGTAGTCAAGAGGATCATTTTACTGAGAGAATCTTCATTACTCTCTGTGCTGTCAGTTCGACCGATGTGTCAACAGCTGAAATAAATATGCCAAGAACGGCTAAAGATAACTCATCTCTATCGTCCACTCTTTTCTTTTGAATGCAACGCAAGCTGAAACATAACTCAACATCAATTCATTTACGATCACGTGAAAACGTAGGTTAAATCTTGCTTGTGTGATACATGACTTAAAAAAAAGCTTGACACGTTCGCTTCAAATGAGTAGGCTACATGTCAGTTTACACAGTTAAAAAACAAAAAAAAAACAATGATATTATAGCCGACAATACAGTAAATGTCACACATAGCTTTGTATTTTGGACAAAAATACACCTGGGCGCTTTCCGTGGTCCATCTGAGGTAAGTTAACGTTTACGTTAAATGGCAGAACGCCAGGTCAGGATTTACACGGAAAAAAAGCGTGAAAAAATCAATAAGAGGAATTGACACTTTAATTTTATAACAATAAATCCGAATCCTAACCTTGGATATCCGATTTCAGGATACATTTATCGATTTTCAATTCCTAACCCCTATAAGTTATAAAATAATGAACGTGCAGGCGCTTTCACCGACTTAACGTGGTAAATAACAAAATGATTAGACCATTTTGACCTTATAAGAGGTTACATATGAAATATATGTTAATAAAATCACATATTTAATCAAGTAAGTTAGGCTATCAAGATGAAAGAAATCCGCGTCTGACTTTCCGCGGCCAGTTCTTTCTAACGTTAATCTGTTAACGTACGTAACTCATATGGTTTGCATAAAAATATGAATTACTAACCAGATATGTATGGCGAAAACGTTGCCGACAGCGACGCGATGCACGGCCTGCGTGTTCTTACAGAGGGAAGGGAACTGAAGAGTCGAGTTCTTCATAAAATGGCAGCTGGTTGTGGTTATTTTTCGCGGTCATTTCGTATGTATTTGAATTTACAGTAACATTCCCCAAATGGCTACATATTGAAGAGTAGCCTATCATATACATATTATATTAAAATGTCTAGAATAGATTAAATTGAATATAGAAATCGTGGTCAGCTATTCTAAAAAACTTCAAAGTTATTAGCTAGAATCCGTTTGCATACACATTATAAGAATTATTACTTACCAGATGAAGAAGTTCCAGGTCGGCAGAAAAGACAGCAGCACCACTGACACGACAGAGAAACTCTTCCAAAGTCAAATATGCTCTCATGCACACCCCACTGACATAAATTATGTCATAAATTATGACTGTTAATGGTCAACCAGTGCTACATTTTTATTTTAAATGTAAGAATAACATTAGTAGGCTAGCAATTTTACCCGTGGAACTGTGTGGTGTTTTTCGCGGTCAATTTGCACTGCTGTATTTAGATTAACAGTAACTGATAATTTCCCAGAATGCATTGAAATTCTACAGTAACATACTGTCAACTGTGTGCACAGTACATAACTGTTGAAAAAACAATTTAATACTGTGAAAACAACTAAATCTGCTGTAACTTACTGTACATAGATTATACAGTAAGAAACTGTTGAGAAACAGTATAATCCTGTGAAAACAACAGAAATCATTTACAGTGAAGGTAGTTTAGACTTGGCATTTTTACTCATATCTTCATGAAACATACATCAATCATGAAATATTGCACATCGTTATTTACAGCAGAAGCTCACGATTAAAAAGAACCCAAACTCAATGTATTGCATGAATCAGATCTAAAGATATTCGCCGTGGCGCCCTAACACCAAAAATACCACAGACGTTCCTGGCCAAGTATATACTGATGAAGCACTCGCGTTGGTATTTCGCTTATAACTACGTGAAAAATGAACAGATCGTAGAATATTGCACAACATTATTTTCAGCAGTCGCTCATGATTAAAAAGAGTAATGTAATTTATATTTTCAAAAAATTTGAAAAGTTTTCTATCAAACGATACCAACCTTTTGACTCTCCTTGCTAGAGTTTTGAAGTTATGAGTCTTTACTTTTATGTGTGTTTCTCAGACAAAAAACTCTAAAAATGGCCTCAGGGCTTAAGGGGTTAACAATCTGGGATAGTCTTCATGCAAACCCTATAAATTATTTTCTCGATCCGTCTCTGGCGAGTCGCAGGGCAGCAGGTGCAGTGTCAGCGCCCCCTGGCTGTGGAGCTGCAGTAGTCGCACAAACTCCTCCGGCATCTTGTGCATGTGGGGGTGCGGACGCTTCAGGTCGTAATAATGGTATGGAATCGGCTGATCCTGCAGGTCGTTACTGAACGGCCAGAATCCGTAAACGTGAACATGCTCACACAGTTCCAGTGCAGTGCTGATTAAAATAAACCCAGTGGAGAGGCGCGTCTCCCGCAGGCCACGCCCCTTCCAGAACCGGTCCAGTGACCGCAGGTAAGAGGGGCTGAAGAACACCACTGGCTGATGAGGTCTGATTGGCTGGAGGACTTTGAGCACTTTGATTGACACTGATGTGCAGAAGGTGTAGGCGAAGGCAGGAATAATGAGGGAGGCGTTTCCGTACACACTGACCCGCTCCACCAACGGATCCGGATTGTTCTGCAGGTCTTTGTATCTACAGAAACACAGTTTTTAATAAATGCTACTGACAGAACACATATTATGTATACAGCAGGGAAATATGTCTCTGTGCCCAATTTGTCAGTCAATACTACGTTATGTCGACTGACAAATGATGTGTCGCACTTGGAAGCCCCAATTTAACCAGAATACATATTTAAGAAACATACAATACAGACTAAACACATCCTGAACCATTGATCAGCTCTGGATGTTTTTCCACTAAGAAACAAACGTTGTTATAATGTTTTGATTGATACTGTGAAGCTGCTTTGATGCAATCTATATTGTGAAAATAGTAAAAGTGCTATATAAATATACTCGACTTGACAATGAATGTGTTTTCATTAAAGCGGAAGTTAGAATTTTATTTAGGAATAGCACAATCAATAAAAAAAAAACTCCGATGAATCTGAAAAGTCTTAATTTAAATGATAATCAAAGCTGTGTTTTTATTGTGTGTGTGTGTGTGTGTGTATACACTGACCGGATCTGACTGGGGTTGATGGTTACCAGATCCGTCTTCAGTCCAACATCACTGTCATTAACCTCTGCCAAATTAAACCTGAAAGAGACAGAAAACATCAACATTTACATTTACGCATTTGGCAGACGCTTTCATCCAAAGCGATTTACATTGCATTTTAAGGTACAAAATTGACATTCTTATCAGTTCTTATTTCTTCCTTTAACAGGAAGGATGGATGAATAATGATGTTGTGGTCAGTGTGAGAGCAAAGAATGATGGGATGTGTTTACCGAATGACAAAGTCTGGATGACAAATGACAAAATCATGCTAACAATTATGTACGACACATTTTTTAGAAAAGTAGCATTGTAAAATTCAACAAAACCTTTTTGTTTTTAGTTTCTGTCGATATGCACCAGTGCTGCTCAAAAACTCATTGGTCGAAGGACAAAGACAGAGAATAAAGAAACAAAAGCAACTGAACGGACAAGTTGTTCCTGTAGCTTTTGTTTGAGGTCTCAACCACCAACGCAAAACTTTGGTCTCTGTCATACAGTCATACCTAAAGGAAAATAATTGTAATTATATTGCATTTATTTATATTTATTAATATGGTTTCATGTTGATTTAAAGTATTTGTTTGTTTGTTATTTATAAATTTATTTTTAACTAACACTTCAATATCCAGCACACCATTAAAGAGATGTGTGAGCTAATGGTGTTCTCTGACCGCAAATAATAATCAGATAATGGGATGTTCACAAGCTACAGTGACATAATCTCGTGGATAGTGTGTGTGTGTGTGTGTGGGATGTGTTTACCGAATGACAAAGTCTGCATTGTCAATCTCACGTCCACAGCTGCTGTTTTTCAAAATCCCACCGCTGCCGACCACAGCACACCGACCCAGACGCCGACCGGACCAGGGGATGTCCTGCACACACACACACAGTTAAATATGTGGTTCATGGGGACTTTTTTACAAACTGTATATTTAAATATACTCATCACACAAAATGTTATGCTCATACCCCTGGTAAATATAATAAAAAAATACATCTGCTTTGTTTATCCTTTTAATCTTTCATTTAAAAAAATGGCAAAAATCTAACCTTTCATTGAAGTGAAATAATTGAAAGCTTGGCCTTAATCCTCCATCACAATGGAGAGAAGAAAAACTTCGGATGTGCTTCAAAAGATAGTTGAGCATTACAAAATAGAAAGTTGCTGTAAAGAAATAGCTAAAGAGTTGAAAATCCCCATTTTGACCATCAGGGCAATAATTAAGAAGAGCAATCACCACAGAAAAATCCTCCTCGATCCTTCAAGCATAAACTCCAGCATATTCAGATGTCAGACACGACTGGAGGGACCGGATTCTTTGTCAAGTCATCATCTTTATTTATATAGCACTTTAAACAAAGGATTGTTCTCAAACTGGATTTATGATTTACACTAGATAGTGTTACATAAGCACAAACACTTCAAAAGAATTATACTGGAAAGTCGACTTCTTAGTAATTTTGAAAGTATTACTATAATTTACAGCAACACCTTTGCCTTTCAGACGAGGATCATGTTTATATGTTGTGGGGTATCATATCGTAATCTTGTGGGGTGGACTCATTTAATCGTCTGGTTTTAGCCAAGTGTTCTGTCAAACACAGCACATCTAGGTTATAATCTGTAATCATATCATTAACAATAAGTGCTTTTGAAGTAAGGTATCGAATTTATCAGTGGCTCATTTATCTGTTTTTTTATTTGTTGAACCAATTACATTTTTAAACCTAAATGGGTTTGGAAGTTTTTTGTATGTCCTTATTCTGGGAACAGACACAGTCTCTATGTGATGATATCTTGGTGAAAGAGTCTCTATTTGATGGGATTTATTTATTTTTGCAGACGGTCGGTTTAGCCAGTCTGTCTGCTTCCTGACCTGAGCCCCAGACTGTCATGTTTGAGCTCTAAGATTATGTGCCGTATTACTAGAGAGAAGAGCAGCACAAATACCATCTCTTTTCAACAGGTCAGGTCTGCCGCAAAAACTTTTCTAATTGTCTATTAATTCAATATTATTTTGCGGATCTAACTTAGCCAGGCATTGCGTGAGTACAGTCTAGTAAGTATCTCTTCACTCCTGCAAACAGGAAAGGCGGCCAGAGCAAATTACAGTGCCTGACATCGTTGTATGTTTTTTTTTTCATGAAAGATCAAAAGGATAAACAATGCAATTTATTTTTTTACAGCCATTTTTGATCATACCCTAGGGGTGCCATTAATTCTGACCACAACTGTATGTATATATACTGTATGTAAATATATATATATAAAGCCATATACTGGGTACATTTTTATACCCATGTCATCATTATCAGAAAACCTCACCTAGTTTGATTTCTCAGCTGTTTTCCTCAAAAACGGACAAAATTGTCCGGCTCAAAACACACACACTCTTTTTCACAAACTCGCTCTCTCACACACACACAAACACGGACGAACACATGCATTCTCAAACGCACTCTCTCTCTCACACACACACACACACACACACCTCAGGCAGCATACTGTGAAGTGCTGCATTCATTTTGTATGTTTTTGTTGTGCTTGTTTCATATTGGATGGATTGATTGATGGCTGTGTTGCGTTTGGTGAGGATGAATGATCCTGTGGCGTTACAACAAAACTGCAACCGGATTCTGTCATAAACACACACACACACAGAGAGAGAGTTTATGAGTATTAATGTAGCATGATCAGCTTTGTCAGTGTCATCTCTGTTAAAACGACCCACTTCAGTAGCTTTATTGTTTGAACAGTTTGAACAGCTCGTCTCTTTAAACGCCGTGTCTCGAACAATAATGTCATGTTTTTTAGAAAGCTGCCACATTACAGTTTTGCACAATTCTTCAAACCTTCACCTATTTTCTAGTTACTCCAGTTATCCAATCACAGCTGACGCTGAGGGACATCCAGGGATTTATTTTCAAAAAAAATGTGTTTCCATCACAATTTATCAGCTAAAAAAAAAAGATCCGCCTCAGTTGCATTCATACATTTTAATGCACATTTTTAGAATTCATGCGCATCTTGACATTTTTTTAAGCAATATCTCAAAATTTGAATAAAAACGGGTGGGTGTTTTTTTTTTTTTTTTTTTGGGGGGATATGCACCAATGCTGCTCTAAAACTTCTTGGTCGAAGGACAAAGACAGAGGAATAAAGAAACGAAAGGAATGTGAAACTGAACGGACAAGTTGTTCGTGTCGCTCAAATAGGAGTATTAGGATTGAGCTTATGTTACAATGAATGATGGTGACTTTTCACCCGTGCCCTTTCGATGATCTAGTCATCTTTGACCTAGTGTGTATGTTGATTTAATATTGACATTAATATATTGATATTGATTTAATGCAAGTTGTGAAGGAACTTTGTCACGCGGGTTCATCCCTCAGCATTCCAGAATAAAACAGTGATGCACAAACTATTCATTGAGCACTAGCAACAGTGTTTGTGTGGGAGTTGATGGCAGCAATCTTCCACTAAATTATGACACGTTTCATGTTTTCAACATGAATGAAACTGCTAATGTCTTTAAAGTGAATTTTACATGAAACATTGGTAGCTACTTTTAATAAACCTGTAGCCTATAAATATCGTCAAATAAAAAAATGTCACATATCCCAACTGTATGGTAAAACATTAAATAATAAAAGTGATGGTATGCGTCTAAAAAAGACTGACATGTTTGTTACAAACCGCATTGTCTGAGGGCTCTGAAGAACATAAAGCATAAAGTAAAAATAACTGCCATTAAATTATAGCATCTTAATACTACGCAATTAGATAAACTCTCTCTCTCTCTCTCTCTGCGATCAGAACGAGAGATTGCATGTGTTCGAATATTCTTTAAGCAATGATAAAAAAAAAAAAAATCCAAAAAGCAAATAGTTTAAGTTGTCATGAACAAAGCCCTCCCGTCAGTGATGAGCTGAAGACACTTTTTCAAAGAATAAAAAGTTAAAAACCAAACATTTCTTCATACCCGTTTTTGTTTTAATCTCTCCAAATATCAGCCTGATAAATATGGACTTAATACGCAATGAAACAAGATAATCATGCTAACAATTATGTATGACACATTTTTTAGAAAAGTAGCATTGTAAAATTCAACAAAACCTTTTTGTTTTTAGTTTCTGTCGATATGCACCAGTGCTGCTCAAAAACTCATTGGTCGAAGGACAAAGACAGAGAATAAAGAAACAAAAGAAATATGCAACTGAATGGACAAGTTGTTCCTGTAGCTTTTGTTTGAGGTCTCAACCACCAACGCAAAACTTTGGTCTCTGTCATACAGTCATACCTAAAGGAAAATAATTGTAATTATATTGCATTTATTTATATTTATTAATGTGGTTTCATGTTGATTTAAGGTATTTGTTTGTTTGTTATTAATACCTTTGTTTTTAACTAACACTTCAATATCCAGCACACCATTAAAGAGATGTGTGAGCTAATGGTGTTCTCTGACCGCAAATAATAATCAGATAATGGGATGTTCACAAGCTACAGTGACATAATCTCGTGGATAGTGTGTGTGTGTGTGTGTGTGTGTGTGTGTGCAACATATTTTGTCACACAGTATACAAAGTACCATACTCTAGCCTATGGACTAACTTTAAAACATAATAATAATAATTCATTTATAATGCGCTTTTCTAAAACCCAAAGCGCTACATACAATAAAACAAGTAAAATACAGGAGAACAGTTATACACCGTGTCCTGTTCTTCATTCCTTGGATTATACATAGCAGCACTTAACATTCATACAGAAGGTACATCCTATTTTCTCTTTATTATTTGCAATTACTATATTAGATATTGCATTACTGTACTTTATGTAACTGAAGATGTTATTTACTACAATAAAAAAAAAAATTCTGTAACCTCATGCTCTGGATCCTGTTCTCCTTTTCTTTTCTTTTTTAATGTTATATGGTAAATGGACTGCATTTATAGGCCTTATCGGCTATATCATCATGACAAGATCATAATTCCAAGAAAATACAACAGATTGCAGCTTGACAAAATGTCAACATTGAATGCTATGCTAGTCACTTCCCAGATAGCACAAGGCTGTTTGATGTCCTATTTACATCTGGATGACGTATTTTAAAGAGTGTTTGCTCATCTGCAAGACGTCTAAACGTCTATTTGACATCTGAAACGTCCTATGGACGTCTTGCAGATGAGCAAACACTCTTTAAAATACGTCATCCAGATGTAAATAGGACATCAAATACCCTTGTGCTATCTGGGATTGACGACCTGTCAAACGCATACGCATGAATGTGAGGATGTTAAAGACACACCTGTTCAGCTCCCGCTCAGTTTGGTTTGATTTGTACGGGCAGCTCATGTAATCTGACAGCTCCTCCGTGAACCTTTCGAAATTTATACTGAGAGGGAAACAAAGACATTTCATTCAATGGTCAGTTCTGCGAAATAGGATCGCTGGTTGATCTTCATTCTCACGCACCTTTTGGCCGATTTGATGATTGAAAACTTGCGTCTGAGTTTTTCACAGTGCAGCCTCAGAAACCCCTTTGTGATCGCATCTCTGAAAGAAGAAGAGCGTGTCATTTTTTTGTTGCTCATTAACTATTTTTAGGGAAGCCCTTAACCGCAACGTAAAAAAAAATCTGTAAAAAGTAATCGAGATTAAAGTCGATACATTTCGAGATTGAAAAAAGTCGAAAGATTATACATAAGATTAGGATAATACAGTCTTCTAGAAGCGTGTGCATTCATAACAGTCGGCGAGCGTGTGTTTAAAGAAAAGCACTTGTGAAGTCGAACTGCCATGGATCAACAAAAAAATGATTTTAACTTTTATCTGGGCTTTCAAAAATAATTCTACACAGGTGCTCTAACAACAAGAATGTCGCCCATAGCCGAGCGCGCCACAATCTGGTCCAAAGTGTTTCTGAGGTATTTTCGCGCTCGTCTAGACAACACTATTTGGGTCGAGAACACAACAGTAAGTGTTCTGTCTCTCTTCACCGTACTGGATACATGTTAATGGCATTATTCTGTATCCAATTATTTAGGCAGATCCCGTGATTTCCTCAGATGTAATAATGGTTGAGGAGATTCTCTGATATGATTGTAAAGCGCTTTGAGTAGACATATGAAAGAGCTTTAAGTCTTACTCATTCATTCATAAAGCTGGATATCTCGATCCAGTCTGAAAAGTGTTTTCCGGGTTGGTTTACCTAGGCTAAGTCTATTCCTGCGCAGATATATTTTTATATTACGGTTATATTTTTAATGTTTTATAACCTAATGCTGGTAGATTGGCACCTGTTGAATTTCCTTTTGTTGAAACGAAATACACACACAAACACACAGTGTGAAACACTACACCATTATGAATGTCTGTGTGTGCGGCAATGTGAAAATGACAAGCACACACGCTAAATGATCAAAACCTGTTGAACCAGCCCACGCTTTAGGCGCCCTTTAACCTAAGGCGCACTTTTCATACCTAAACCTAACCGCGTCCTCTAACTGACGCTTTCCTTTAGCGTCAGTTAGAAAATGCCGTAGGATAAACGTCAAATATTGAAGCATGGTCAAAGGTGACGCCTTGGGGTGAGAATGCGTTGGTTGGACACCCGCTACTTCAGCGGGGTAAACTTTTTGTTTTCATTCCCCGGATTCGCTGAAAAATGGCAAAACCTCCTAAACGACTTGACCAACAGCTATTTAAACCCTATTGCCGGTAAAAGGCAAAGCTAACAATGTTTGAGAAGCTTAATTTTCCGTATTTTAGCTCTATATAATAAGCACTGCCAGGCCCGGCGCCACGAGGGGGCAAAAGGGGGCATTGCCCCCTCAGATCTGATTTGTGCCCCCTCAGTTTCATTTTTGTATTCATGGTTACAAATGAAATGTTAAACCTTTTGAGCGGTACAGTCCCATAAGGGATGTTCAGTGTCGTGACATCACTACCAGATTCGCGTTGGTTGGCACTGAGCCAGAGACGGACGGACAGCGCTGTCATATATCAAAACTATGCAGTGTTTCAACCTCATAATGTTTATTTTAGGTTTCAGACATTGAAATTCACTTAAGCACTAGCAAAACAGTACATTTGGAGTTTGTAAAATACACACGGATGTCTGTGGAAGCAGCAATAACAATCTATTCAATTATAATTTGCCAACGTGTGTTATTCATATCAGACAAACGTGGAAATGACTATAAAGTTTACTTTATTCTTCTCACAGTTCACCGGCCACTTTCTTACATATATCTCGGGAGAAACTGATGATGACTGACAGGACTCTCTGAATTGACTCTGTGCACGAGAAAAATGCTAACTTCCGCCTTGAGGGCGGATGTTGGGTACTTCGGTTCCGGTTGCCGTTGTTTACATCCTACATCAGTGGACCTAAAGCTTATAGCTATCTAAATATATTTGTCTAAAACTATGTTCGTTTGTTCATTGTCAAGTCAACCAACACAGTTTTCACTCATATTTGGGTGGAGCCAGGCGCTGCTGCATTGTGAAAAGTAAACGATATTTCACATTTTGTCACCGCACCCAAGCAGTCGCTTCACAGAGTGGAGCGTTGCGTATCCATGACAACTAGAAGGAAGTTTTTAGGCTACTAATTATTTATTATATTACACCCTTTAACCAGGAGAAGCCCCTGGGTTTAGAACCTATTTTGCAAGGGAGACCTGTTTAGAAATATGTGTAAACAGCCTAATATGTGTTAAACAGCCTAACTCGATAACGAACGAACCGACGTCGGATACCTTTACTCCCTGTATGACATGTATAGTGGTTGTCAACACTGATCTATATATATGACGATAGTGGTTGTCAACAACATAGCCTCTGAACATCATAAACAAAACAATGGCCAACACAACTGTTCTGGAAAATGCACTTTCTAACGCATGATTTCGCATTTTATAATGTATAGAGAGATATAACAGTTAACGTTACCAAATCGCATAGCTTGAGCACAGCATGGCAACATTAATGTCCGAGTGATTCCACGTGTACCGCGTATGTACACGCCGTCAAATGTCCGAGCGAAACAAAACAAAATGTAGATCTACATCTGGGGAGCGATATTTATTTTTTCCTAGGATGGTAGGAGTGACGGGTAGGTTGGGGTTGAGGTAGGTCATATGCTATATACTATACACTGTATATATATATATATATATATATATACTGTATACACAATAATAACGTTAAGTCAACGGTATTCATAAACACGTTGAAAAGAGATTATGCGTGTTGATAGCATGCCAAAAATACGTGATACGTGTCATACATACGCAATTTCATGAGATCAGTCAGAGCATGGATGTTGTTGTGACTTAACGTTCCCTTCAAAATTATGCAAATACTGAGAAATGTAATATTTAAACCCCTTCTCTCTTGCTCTGGGGAGCTGGAGGAAAATCATTAGCCAGTCGATGAACATAATCGACTGTAATATTCGGCAAATGTTCAAAACATCTGGAGAAACATACATCCTCTACGTCGTCCATCAGGCTACCGGAAACTAGACACCCCATATCGGTTTCGCAGCCGGAATTAGCGCTAACGTGCACATGGTCCATAAATGTGGTGTCGTCTTACGTTATAGATAAAGATCAAGATTATTTATAAAGGTTTAAAACAACCAAACACACTCACTTACACATTTTTGACAATCGGAATATCGGATAGTTGATGACATGGTAAGCAAGTTTGTGAATATTTTAAATAAAAAAGGAAAAATGAAATAAAAGCGATACACATCTGTCATTCATTGTGGTTACGGTGTCACGAAAGAAATATGAGGGGGAACGTTCTAAAATAAAAACTCACTCTGGGGAGTAAGTCAGAATATTTTAAACTTAAGCATGAAAGAGTTCATATATGAATAAAAAATTATGCTGGCTCATCTGTTTATTACGTGGTTGCATAGAGCGCTGTTATTTAAAAATCTGTTGTTCCAAAGCGAGGTGTGTTGATTGTTCATTGATGGTATAAAGTTAAGCCCCCTTAACAATTTCACATGCCCCCTCAGTCATTTCATCCTGCATCCGGGCCTCAAAAGCGCCGCAGCGTGAGTTTGGCCGGGAAAGCTCGAGTAAGGGAGCGTGGGGAAAGTGCACTTTTTCTTCGTTTTTAAGGAAAACGCAGTTTTTGTAATGGCTTTTTCATAAGACCAGTGCAGTTCGGTAGGGGGCCTCAGTGGGCATCTTTAACAGCCTCTCCTTTACCCCTACTGGCTGAAATGGGTATCACACGTGTAACCCACTCCGAACGTGAGAGTCAGGCGCTCTAACAAGGAGGCTAAAGACTGCAGCCCCTAGTGCCTGTCTAGACTAGAGCACCGATTGAGATCAGAGGAGTGAGGTTTACTTGCACAGCTAGCTGGCCTCCCTGACACAACATGTCCGAAATTAACACTTTTTTTGGATTAGCTCATCAAGTTCATTGATGGACATCAAACCAGTGTCATTCAGTAGAGGACAACAGGGGACAACTTTCATAACCCCTCCTTTTATTTGAATAATCCATGTCCAAATAAAACAAATTAAAAACTTTATCCATCAGGAAAAGAGAGAGAGATGTAAAGGGGAACCATTGACATTATGACAAACGATCTTTTTTCTTTTACAACCACTAAATGTTAAATAAAATATTTATAAACTTGTGGTTGTGCATTGTTTTGAAGTCTGGGCAAGATGTATGCATATATTTGTGTGCTGGTCATATAATTATAATATCTTCAAAAAGTTGATTTATTTCAGTTATTCCATTAAAAGGAAAGTTGTATATTACATGCAAAGTTTCTGAGGTTTTGGTTTTGTGGTTTTCACAAGGCATAATTATCAAAATTATTACAAATAAAGGCTTGAGATTTCTCACTTTGCATGTAATGAGTCTAGTTTCACTTTTTTAACGAAATTACTGAAATAAATCAACTTTTAGTTGATATTCTAATTATATGACCATAATTATGTGTGTGCTTCAGTGTTTGTCATGAGTCCTTGCTGTATGTCACACCACTTCAAGAAGTCTGTTTTGCTTGTTTCTCGTTTGGTTCTTGTTCTTGGATTTACTTGTTTGGGTCTGGACTCTTGTCTGTACTGGATTATAATAAAGTCAATATATTTCTGGTTGACTTAATTACACTTACAATCATCAATAGGCTACTGATAGATCTCTCAGTATGGGCTGGATATTTACAACACCACCGGGTTCCAATGGATAATAAAGAAAATGAAATTCTAAAATAAGGCGAGTATAAGTAAATTTGATTGGTTTTCATGTTTCTCAAGGGATATTCCATTCCTGACAGTTTATTCTGTCCTATTACACGAAACCTACATGTCATACAAAAAGAAAAATCGACAAGATCAAAATTTAATTATATTACTATACTTGTGTAGATATTTGGACTCGCTAACTATGCCTTATCGCACACACACACACAATTATAATTGTGTTGGTGACACCAACTGGCCTTATGTGGAATTGCGCCAAACAGCATTTCCTTTTTTAAAGGTACAATGTGTAAAAAAGTTGAGTATCTATTAACAGAAATGCAATATGACATCCATAACTATGTTTTCAGTGGTGTATAAAGAACTTACTTAATTAACCGTAATGTTTTTATTACCTTAGAATGAGACATTAATAGCTCCATAACCGCGGGAATCCCCTTCTATGAAGGTCGCCATGTTGTGACGTCATATTCCTACCGTAGCCGAACGCGAACAAACAGCGCTACAGAACGCGTTTCATCACTACCTTGAAAGAGAAGTAGCGGAAAGCTGGAAGCTAGCCTTACACTCCGTGAGTAGTGACTTTTCCCTTGTGAGTGGTGTCAAATATGTAGTTGGGATTGTTTCATGTAACTTAGTTCTCCCTCGCTGTGTTATGGGTTTGTTATGTTGGGGATAGATGTGCTGTTACGTTCGTGAGACAGCTGATGATTAGTATTCATTAGGGGTGTCCATGGTTAACCGATTAACCGTTTAAAATTCCATAACCGAGTGAAGTGGTGTCAATACATATTTGCACAAAACTTTTGCGTTTTTTTTTTCTGATTGTCGATAAAAAAATATTGCGAAATGACAGCGTTTCTATTAACGGTGTTATGCGACTAAAACATTTTTTTTTTTCCTTTCGCGATAAGCCATTCCAAAAATTATGGCAACAGACGTTGGTATATCACAGCCACCGCACTAGACATTATTATTATTTATGGAAGGAGACGTGGTGTCATCCAAGCATTAATGGCAGGGAAAGTCGCAGAGTTTCTGTGTGTTTCTCCCTCATTTATCCTCTGATGCGGTCTTGATTGTGGCATTTCTTCTAGGTTTTGTCTAGTAGGCTATTCCTTGTATCTTTTATGAATTTTAAAAAAGAACTCTGCCTCGTATTATGTCCAAACGGTCTACTTTTGTGTTCATTCGTTTCCCCTTATTTAATCCGTTGGCCTAATTGCAAAATGAAAAATGAACGGTTGTTGTATTTTGTAAATAGCAAAGTTGAACACCAAAATGTTCATTTGAACTGTAGGCTTACACCAAATGCTGCGCAAAAATATATAGGCTATATATAGGCTAAATATCGACGAATTTGCCCCTTAAACATTTGAAATATTTGACAAATTAATATGAAAAAAAGATTTTACTGGTTTTCTGAGGCCAAATTAGAACCTGGAAATGATATTTTTCCCCGCAATGCTGAATGACAACGCATTCTCACCCCAAGGCGTCACCTTTGACCATGCTTCAATATTTGACGTTTTAGGCGCCCTTTAGCGTCACTTACATGACGCGATCCTACGGCGTCATCTAACTGACGCTAAAGGAAAGCGTCAGTTAGAGGACGCGGTTAGGTTTAGGTGTGGGGTGGGGGTAGGGTACACGCGATCCCAGGGCGTCATCTAACTGACGCTAAAGGGCGCCTAAAGCGTCAGATATTGAAGCATGTCCAAATGCTTCCCAAGGCGTCAGTTAAGTGACGCCTTGGGGGTGAGAATGGGCTGTGAATGAGAAGAGCCGTAACCACAGCCTGCAGAAATGGGATTTATAAGTGATTTATATAGGCTATAATAAATGTGTCTGATAATAAAATAATATAAAATAACGAGGCATTAATTATTTATTAATAAACTATTGTTTTCTAAATCATTTTCGGCTAAAAACAATTCTCCATCTCCGGATGCACATTTAGAGAGAAATTAATTAGCTACATAATTACATAGTCAGAAGATATTGGCCTTCGATAGAATTTGTTCGTTTTAAATTGGACATTTAAAGCTTTAGCCTACAAAGGATATAACCCCTGTAGACTAAAGCTTTATGTTCAATTTAAAACGAACAAATTCGAATGCGGTGGCTGTTTCAGTTCTCGCGCTTCAGTTGGCGGAGATCATGAAGCGCGCCTGAACGTCGATAGAGACTTTTAGATCACTAAAGTCGATCACGAAGAGTTTTCAAAATCAGAGAAAAAAGCCTATTGTGTGTAGTAAATAGTATCTATGGGATGCGGAGATGACATGATTGCTCAGCCACAGTAACAGCTCATATTAGCCAGCTAAACTATTACTACCCTGTTAGAAAAAATATATAGCTGCTCCCTCGCTGTATTATGGGTTTGCTACAGTATGTGTGGAGAAATGTGCTGCTGGTTACGTTTGTGAGACAATCAGCTGATTACTATTGTTATTATATTAAATTATATATTAAAACCCTTGATCCTCACCTGACTATGGCTTTGTAAACAGTATCCATGATGTGGTTTATAATGGACTGTGGTACAGAAACAGTGACAATGTTACACACTCTTGGCTTACTCTGGCTATTCTCTGCTGTCTCAGCCGACGAGTTTGTCCCGTTTTAGCAACCGTAGCTTCTTCGAAAGGGAGGGGTGAGCAGTGGGCTGAGCCCTTAGTGCAAACCTGGTGCAAACTCGCAACCGAACCACTAGATGTCGCTAAAAATCACACATTGCTCCTTTAAGTAAATACGTTTCAAATACAAATATGTAGCATACACATTTAACAAATAATTGTTTTATGCAGATTGAAATCGTGAAAACCTGATGTTATCAATGTTGATGGCACCGATATTGGAACAACATGGTGTGTTCAGTGTTTTATACAAGATTTCAAATGTCCCATTAACATCCTGGCTGTAGATAAAGCAAGCATGCTATTTAATTTATTTAACTTATGGCATTACATTTAAAATTAACATTTAAAAACGATTGAAATTCCATTGAAATCACGTTGATCTTTAGTTCAGTTGAAATTTCAGCACTGTTTCAATATTTGAAATACCATTGAAATTCCGTTGATCAAATGACAGGATTTCAATGTTGTTATTAAAACGATTCGATGTTGATCCAATGACTTAGGCTAATGTTGACAACGGAAAGTTGATTTACTCAATGATTGTTTGTAATCTGGGAAAGGTTTTATAATATGTGAAACAGCTTCTCTGACTCATGATCAGCCTGGGCTACTCCAGCACAACACATCTAAAACATTCCTATTCCGACTAAAATTATAACGACCTTTTCATCTGAAATAATGACAATTAAATATCACTTGTGCGTTTCTTAGACTCCTCAGAAAACAATTGAACAACTTTATGACGCCGTGCACATGTATCTGTCATCAAGTAGAATAAAACAACTCACTTATTAACACGCAAATCTTTAACTAGGCATAAACTTAAAAAAAAAAAAAAAAAAAAAAACTTAGACTTAGGCTACTTGGTCACTTAAAAAAAACAGCAACACGGAGCCCGATTGGAATTCATTTAAAAAGCGATTATAGTAATTAAATATCGAGATTAAGCGCTCACCTGGACGAGTGTGTGTCGGCTGTGTAGTAAAACATCACACACACACCCTGAAAGATGACCAAGACCATCGACAGTGTGAAGATCCACTGGAGACACGCCGATGCCATCGGAGAAACATAGGCTACAATGTGCGCGCGTGTCGCCTTTTACCCTGGATCGACCTCTCTCTCTCTCTCTCTCTCTCTCTCACTCTCTCACACACACACACACACACACTCTCACTCTCACTCACACACACACACACACACACACACACACACACACACACACACACACACACACACACTCTCTCACTCTCTCACTCACTCACACACACACACACACACACACTGTTTTTACTGAGACTTAAAGAATGGGCATAAGTAATTTAACCCCATTTTATCAATCAATGCTGAAAGCTTGATAACTTCAATGTCAACAGAGATTTTTCAGATCGATTCTGCGCAGATTTTGCTCATCTCAAACGAGCCTCATTCACTGCGAGGAGGGGCAAATCCATCGGCGTCACGTTTTGAGCGTCAGTGAGAACAAAAAGGAATACATACCTTTCTTTCATGATGTGAAAACTTTCTCTGTTTGTGAAACACATGGTATTGCATGTTCAGGCAGGGTCTTGTCTCAGAACTTCAATGAAACTGGCTGAGCAGGACAGGTTTATTCTTCAATTCAATTAAATTCAAATGTATTCGTATAGGCCTAGCATTTTCTCAATAGCCTACATAGGCTATTGTTTCAAAGCAGTTTTACAGAAATTGCATCATGTTTTCATTGAAGCTGGCAAAGTCTCTACCAGACTTGTAGTTTGGAGATATTTATATCGTATAATCCGTCACCGCCGAAAGCCTACAAAAAGTAGGCCTACATCTATGGCTTTTTTTCAAGTTTGGATGGGTTAACAACGCTGGAGGTGATAAACAGGAATATCTGGTGGGTTTCGTTTCTAGAGAACGGCGTTCTTGCCGGCCAGCCTTTACTTGTGACGTCATTTGCAAAGTATGAATTGAGCTTCCAAAGCCGGCGTTGGGCCAGAAGTCGTTAGGTGTGTTCGACCTCGCCTGCGGCTGGATGCTATGGCGCTCGGAATGTTCCATTCGGCGACGAGAAGAGGCTTGTTTGAGATGAGCAGAATCGATCACCGGTGATCAGCGCGAGATGCATGCCGGTTAGAAATGTGTCCGAGAACGGTCCGCCTGGCTCTGATGTCATGCCGACGTATGTCAAAAAACTCTCGCGAGCGCAAGGCGGAAGGGTCGGATTCTGCAGTCGCGCGCAGTTGCTCTCCACCGACTGCGCTGATCAAAAGCATGATGGGAAACGACTTGCTGACGACACTGCTTAATGCTCATTGGTTTAAACAACAGTGATGTAGGTAAATTCCATATTCATAAAGCTAAATTCTCCAAATAAAGGCCATGTTTTAAATTTTTTTTCAAATTGAAACTGATAGGCTATATTGTGAGTCTCTTAAACGGGTTAAAAATAAGAAAGCTATGTCAGTAACTCAAATATAGGCTACTTTAAAATTTTCAAGTGAAAATTAGGAAAATTTCTCTCATTTTATAGATGAAGTTTGTAAGTCTGTCTATTTAAAGTAAGCTTATTTTTATTTTTTTATTATTAATTTTATTCTGATGTTTATTTATTTGTCGCTGTATAATATTTGTTTCACAAATTGTAGTGCTTGTATGTTTGTCACTTGCATTCTAATAAAAAATAAAATAAATAATAAAAAACAACAGTGATGAATTGTTCTCTTTTAAAATGTTTGATTTTTAAAACTGATATCATGTTTTATGTGTATACATATGGGTGAATAAACTCTCTGACAGTGCCATATGGGTTATTATGTGATGTCATTTTTATTAAAAAATATATAAAACACGTCTGTATTAAATAAAAAATGATTGATAAACACATATTTGGAATGTAGCCTTATTAAATAGCAAGTACTTTGGGTGTCTTGTTGATTATATTTATTTTTATATAAAAGCAACCGAACTTAAATCACATCCAGTTTATTAGCAACACGTGCACGAGCGTGAATCCCGTGAATCCCGCGATATCAGAATTTGATCTCACAGGTGTCTGATTCACTGCGAGAACCGAGATTTGTCCGGCTTGAATGCGCTTTTTTCACTCCTCCTCAAACTGCAGCCGCCTACTCTCGACTACATTGCAGGCGAGGCGCATCTCAAACAAGCCTACTGACAAGCAAGACAGATAACACACGAATACGTGCGTGTACGTCTCCATTTTTTATTTTTTTATTAAAAGTAAAGAGCATTACAATCAAAGTAGCAAAAAATAAAATAAATAATAAAAAGTATTGAAAAATAATCAACAGTACAGTTAAAGTAATAAAGAAAAAAAACCAGCCCGATCTCATGAAAGTTCGTGTCTATGGCACGAATGTCATTTCTCGTGGCATATACGCCAAAAACAGTTTTTGCGTGTATTTGGCACGCGATTTTCGCGTACATATGATACGCACTTTTTTGCGTATAATACGCACGAACTCCCCACCCCCCTCCCCCCTAAACCTAACCCAGGGTTTTTTAGTGCATACCATATACACGAAAAAAACACTTTTGGCGTATAAATGCCACGAGAAATTACACTCGTGGTATAGATACGCATCTTCATGAGACTGTGTTGAAAAAAACACACATTTTATCACATAAAAACATTAAAAGTAGAACAAATAACCACAGTTTTAACAGCTTTTTTGTTTTGCATAGAAGAAATAGTAAAAATATATTGTTCCAATTAGCACAGAAAAAATAGTTTTTTTATTACTGAATTTACACTTATGGATATGGAATTTGGCAACGAATAAGATTAGGTTTACTAGAAAGAGTGCACTACTGTCCTTCCCACAGTCATTAAAACAACCAAAAATTACATTTTTGTAGTACAGGGAGAACTCAGGAAGAATATTTTCAACTATAAAAGAATTTAAGTCTTTCCAGAGCTTAGCTAGCTATATGTGAATTCACAAGACCAAAATAAATGTGAGATAGTTTCAGGATGTAAGCCACAAAAAGAGCATTTATCAATGTCATTCTTAAACTTATTTAAGCAAACATTTGTGGGGTAAATCTCCATTTGTTTTATATGGAGACGTACGCAAATATCATCTATGCAGTCTATGCAGACGTCACGGCGGCGTCACGTTAAAAGTTAACGTGTGGATTACGTCTGCCCGTCTGCCACAATCTAAGTTTACAAACAAGACTTATTTTGGCACATTTTATGTAGGACTATGATACACTTATTTTTATAATGCTGAATGTCTGGTAATGTACCATACATTTGGTATCCCAATGATAGATGTAACTTTTTAATAAAAGTCTATGGCATGTATGTATTTTGATTATTCGATCTTCAGAGATAAAAAATAAATAAAATGGGCTAAAAAAAAATCAGAAAAACTGAGTCTTATCATTATATATTAGTGTGTTTCAGATGTGTTAATGCTCTGCAGCAAGCCAGCAACAGTCTGCATGCCTCGAGTTCACTCATGCTGCATCCAGCATTAATTAACCATTCAGAAACCATTTTAGAGTTTATTGGATTTTAAACTAAAATTAGTTAGCCTGTGATTGCTTGGATCAGGCTACTGCTATTCTCATTCTGAACAAGTAATTAATCATTCAAATTAAAAATGTTTTAACATAAATGTACTATTTAATAGAGCTACACTAAAGTTTTTATAAAGCCTATAAATGTCATCTAGTCATACTACACATTTTTTGCTACTGTTGAGAGCATACAAAAATCTCGCCCAAGTCAGGCAAAACAGTTGACAGCCCATATAAATACAGTAAGAGCAGTCTTTAGCTTTAAAAAAAAAAAAATCATTAGAAAACCAGAATGCCTGTAAATAAACAATATGTTACAGTAATGACATTTCACACAATAAAAAAAATTGTTCCAAACAGCACCACAGCAGAACAATTGCAATTGTCTTAAAGGAGTAGTTGTGTGGATATTAAATATATAGCCTCTTTGTTTTGTTTTTTTGAAAGAATAGGTTGAACATTAACCAGTAATGTCAATAGAACAGTGCCTTGCCGCCATCTACTGGCGGTTTTATATTTATATTTAGCAGTTTCATATTTGTTTGGCCGAGCTCCTTTATTTCGGGATTTAGGCTACAACTCGTTATAACCATTTTTTTATAACATAGAATTTCAGAATATAATTCCACCCACTGCCACTCTACTATATCTATATATTTTGTATTATTATTAGCCTATATAGCCTATTCCCATGCATGCTCGTGCATAATTGATACAAAACGAAATTCACTTAAAGAAAGTCTTTCTACAAAACTCATTAATCATGTCTGACCCACTTGTCTCCCGTCATATTTCGCATCCTATGATGTTGCTCATGCTGTTCACTGTTCATAATCAACATAAATGAAAATTAAATTAAAGCTGCAAGCAGCGATGGGCGGGCCCTCGCACCTGTAGCGCGTCGAGGTGTGAGGCGGCCGCGTTGCATATTTTGCAGCTCAGCCGGTGCGGCTGTGAATTTGCTACGATGCTTCATTAAAGGTCACTTCCTATTGCCAGCAGGTGGCGCTATGACTGTGGGTGAATGTCGGCATGTAGATTTGTTCAGGGCGGGACTCTTGTCAAATGTGTAAAATTTGGTGCAGATCTGGGCATTTACAGCCAAGTTACTACAACTTCCTGTTTCATGGCGAATCATCGACGCCACGGACACGCCCATCGACGAAAATGCACAGATAGCACAACTTTACATCGTCAATGCCTTTAGAAGGCACAGCAGAAATCTGAAGTCGATCCGACTAAATCCCTAGGAGGAGGAGTTAAAGTACTGAGTGTGTAAATCGTCCCAAAATGGGCGCCAAATTCAAAATGGCTGACTTCCTGTCGAGTTTAGGGTATGGGTTCTTGAGGCTTTTTTGTGCGTCTTGATATGATACACGTCCCCACCAAATTTCGTGTTTGTAGGTTGAACGTGGACGAGGGGCTAATTTTTTTCAATTTTCTAGGTGGCGCTAGGGAGCCATTTTGCCACGCCCATCCGCGAAACCCACAAAATACGAAATTTTTCACCAGTCCTGACATGCGTGCCAAATTTGGTGAGTTTTTGAGCATGTTGCGGCCCCGAA